AGTGCTCATTTCCTTTGGCTGCTTACTGGGGTCACGTGGTCACACGTTGGGGATTATGGAAGTGGAAAAAGGTCTGATTTCGTTTGATGGATTCTGTCCTTGTGGCTTCAGAGCACACAAACCATCCCAAAGTGCAGTTTTATTCAACTCCCCCTTCAAAAATAGCATCAAATGCATCTGATGTAGCTGTGTCACCCAAGTAAATTACTTGTGTATTTATGAAGTTGCTTACTCAAACACTTGACAGTGCTCCATTCACTGCATTCTAGCCCCACTCCAAGTTTAGACCCCAGGAGGCTCTTCCATACGGATTAGTTTTCTTCTGAATATATAGCGCAGTCTGACTTATCTTTGGTCTACATAAAACAAGAGAATTACATCTTCACTGATGGAAAGAAGTGACCGACAAAAAATTCTTCTTGTATGTTTAATTTTTGGTGCATTTTAATCTCTCATGTGCAACATTTTTACTCGTGTATTTCTGTGAAGCAACATTTCTGCTGATCTGTAATATTAAAATACTTGGCTGGTTTGGTGGAAGACAAAATGGATATGAAAAGGATATTGCACAGAATTTACATTTTCCTCTGTCTATTTGAACATCAGTATCTCTTAATTTCAGATTAAACCCACTTTTCTACCAGTTGTCAGTCAGAATTTTGATTTAACAAGTATTTCAGAAACATCAAACTAACACACCAAGAATACATTTCTATACAGATATATCAGTGGCATCAGACACAACATGACAGAGGGAAACAAAATTACACAATACTTCAGATCATTTTGTTCAAAGCACCATCAAATGATATTCAAGACCTCACTTCCAGCTGAAAAATGGAATCCCAGCGGTGAGCTCAGTGAACCCTTTTCATACAACCAACTTAAGATAATTGCACATAAACATGCAAAAGGAGATCACGATCGGCTGTCTTTGACAAATCTGTGGTGTTTGAAAGTCTGGAAAGCCACAAAAGTGACATTCTGCTCTAAGAGTGAATGAATGGCTCTCTGTGTGTCTGTCAGAGGGTTGTCATCACAGAGGAGCCTTTAGGGTTGACTTACAAAGGACATGGTCAACAACAGCACAGAAAAACACATTAGTGGCTATTTATTTGTACTTCGTGAACACGGTGTAATAGGATACTGAGACGGCTCTGTATCCAGTTTCTTGGAAGACATGCATCTACATAAAGCTCATAAAGCCGCTAACTGTGGCTCAGGGTAAGTCTTTAGTCACCCTCACCGTGTTAATGTACCACTCAGGAGGTTTTTAGTTATCACTAAATGTGTAGCAACTTCAGCAAACAGTCTCAGAGGAACAATTGTAAAAACACATTCCCATAAGTTATTTGTTCATATGCTTAAACGTGACTTAAGTACATCTCTCACTAAAGCTCTAAGCTTAAATAGTAACAATGTGAACATTTCTTCTTATTGGCAGATCATTTTATTTTTAATGTTTGTTTAATTTTTCTCAGAATTTTTAGAAATATAAAAAGCTGTTTAGGACCTTACGGTCCAGTGTGTCCGGCATCCATAAATGTTCTCAGGTTTTTAGCTCAACAACTTTGTCGGCTGAAGTGAAAAAACAACTTGTAGGCCTGTATTCTTTCCCCCTGGAGAATCTACACTGAGGACAATGCTACGTGTTTTGAAGGCATCCTGCAGGGGTATAATTCACAGGGTTCTTGATATCAGCTTCACTTCACTTAAACTCTTCATTCCAACAAGACTTGCAGGCGCACTGTGACAAATACATTGTGTGCATCCGACCCAAGGCTCAAATATCCAAAGAATGTGTGTTTGGCCATAAATTGCCATCTAATTGTCCCAAGCCTCTAGATAAACACAAAAATTAATACATCTAAAATAAGTTTATTACGTAAACAAAAGTAATTTAATCTTCTCTACACAAATCATTGAATTTATATACAGAATCAATTTAAAATAAATCTTTTATCTATCCTGAATTGAGTTTATACTGTTGAAGTTTCTGTTTTTTTCCTTAAGCAGTTATTGTATTGCAAGTTTTCTACAGACAGTTAATGTTGCAGACAGGAGAGACCTTCTATATCTTTTTTATTGCAATATAAAAGAAGAATGAGAGGAAAATGTTGTTACAACACAGAGTAAATTGGATAGTCAGTGTTGTTCATAGGGCCCAGCATAAGTAGAAGATGGTGTGCAGAGGGGTTTGGCAACAGCACATACGTTGTGTGCTATTTCCTAATCAGTAGAGAGGGAAAAAGAAAACAGGTTTGTGTCTGTGTTACAGTGAGTCCAGCAGAGCTAAAGATTTACTGAAAGCACATTCTCGCCTTTCTTCACCTTTCTCTGGCCTTTAAATCATACTCTCTTGGTGATCAGCCCCATTAATGGATTTACCACCAACTTTCTTTCTAACTTCAAAATCTTACTGCTGTGTTGTAGGTCTATGGAAATTGTATATATTGTATAAAATATATTTCCTCTCTAATTTTGGGTAGTTGTACTCTAATGCTGCTGAAATTGCTGCTCAACTGATTTACAGCAGTCATCATACAATCTTTGTGTGAGTATGCTGGTCAGTAATTCTTATTTGGTTTTGCGATTTGAAATTTAGCTGTTTAATGAAATGACACAACTATAGATTGGAATGGGTCCTACTAATTTGAGCTGTAATAACTTACAGCAATAACGAGGACTAAGCAAAGAGAGTTAAGAGGAAGAGAGCTGTGTGACAGGGGAATAAGACATTTGTGTGAGTGGAGTGGTGGTTGATATAGTGCACAAGGGCAGTGGGACTGCACATAAAGAACAGAGTAAAAAAAATGAGCAAGTAAATCTGTTATGTCCACTGCATCATGTTTATGTGTGCTGTGTGCAGTGTGTTTCCAGGGGCTTCCATGCTGCCACAAAAGGCCCCTGTGAGACCAGCTTATTTACCCTGCAGTAAAACCCGAGAGGGAGTATACCCTGCAGTAAAAGTGGAGAGGAGGTGCAGTGGAATTAGATTTAGGGCCACCTCCAGCCCTCTGTTCTGTGTGTGCCATCAGGGAAAAACCCCTCTATGCTGCTCTTGTTCAATTGTTTAACTTGAGTTATGTTATGTGTTACGGGTCAAGTTTAAATTGTGTTGGATGACACACAAACAAGGTTCAGAATAGGTTTTAATTAAAGAGAGAGGTATTACATTGTTCTCAGTTATTGGTTACATAGTCGCTGGTACAGTGACACATTATTAATTTAGCATAAATAAGCAGTTGTGCAATTAAAGGTTATTACATTTCACAATGCCGTTGCATAAGCATTAGCTTGTCTGTACAAGATGCATTTTCACATATGAACGCAAAATGTGCTTTTGCTCGTTCGTTCCCAGATGTGAGGCAGAAAACTTATCAATGCCATCTCAAGTAGAACTGTCACATAACTAAGGGTTTTAGCATAGCTGGAAACCAGGCGACCAGCATTGAGTTTAGAAATGTTCCATATGCAGTACAGAGGCTAATGGCTAAGCACAGCCACCCACATGGCAAAGGTACAGTACTGCACACGCTTCCCCAGCATGCTCCAAACAATTTGGAAGGTTGGAATCAGGTAAGAGAGTGACATTCTGAACCCCGTACCTATTGGAGAGGGTTGCTTTGTTACATTCCACATTTTCATCAAGTTCAAGTACAGTCAAACGGCAGGACAGGACATCTGCACTTTTTGGGTCTGCATGCAATAAAAGAGCTGGTGTGTGTTTGTTAGCAGCTGAATGAACAAAGCTTACAAGCAGTGACATCCAAAGTTGAGGTTCACACCAGTAGCTATGAATCATCTTTGATTTGTGACTTGGGGATGAACCTGTGTTGCTTTGACAACTTGTAAAGTGGCAAAATGTAAAGTTTGTAAACCTCAAAAGAGTATCATTTTTTGCATTTTTGGCTGAGTTTTATTAAATTAGCTGTGGAATACAGATAAAGGATGTTAACACAAAACAAACTACAACTAGAAGCCAAACAACTAATCAGCTAAACTACACTGAATTAACTTTTTTACATTATACAAAAAAGGATAGTTAAAGGTAACACTTGTCCAAATTGAAGTAAAAGAGTGTGTTGAAAATGTATTCACGAATTCAAACATTTGTTATATTGAACAATTATTTTCTGTATTAGGATGTGCAAGTTGTGTTTAAACCTTTGACAGTGTTTTGTATAAAATGAGCCCACAAAAAAAAAAGATAGGCGGTGTACGGACATCACACTACTTCAAAGTTACAATCAAACTACCAAGATAAGATGTAAGTTATCCATTGATTTGGTTTAACCAAACTAACCTCAAACCACAAACGGACCAAAAGCTTCTTCATCAATCTAACTACTGTGCTCAGTTCTTGCTTTATGGCCCCACCGGCTTGTGAAAAACGGCCTGGGTTCATTGTGATGCAAGTGGGTTGTGTCTTTCCAAGGCACTTGATTCTTTTCATTTCCTCAGATTATGAATTGAAAAATCAGTGATGTTCTTTCAATAATGCTCCCCCCGTTCAGGGTAAAATGCACTTAAAATGACATGAAAATACATTGCTCTATGAAATGCAGGGGTGATGATTTTTCCATTTGTGCACTTTGATGATATTACTGACTGATGAAAGACATTAAAATTACCAGATTTCAAATTCCATGCACTATGATTTTGGAATAAATGTCATTTGAACAATCAGAAGATAATAAGAAATCAAACTGAAACAAAAATTAAAAAAAAGACAGAAGGCAAATGACTAAACCTGAAAAGGCAAAAAACATCTCAGTGATCTAAATTAAGTTGATTTGATAGCACTGAAAGCACATAAACAAAGAAAAAAAGAAACAATTGTAGCAAAACAGAGAAAAACCGATCTTACAGCTAACAAAACTAACAACAGCCAAGGGTCATTCACCAGTGAATCCCTCTGCTGTGATGGACTGCACGGGGCCGATCAGATGCAGCCTATGCGGTACAGGTACACGTAGCTGAGCAGAAGGAGGAAACATTCAAACTACTTTGTGGTCTCTGGGACTGTCCGGATGCCACTGGTTGCCTTGAAGCTGTAAAATTCCCTGTAAAACTTCCAGCCATACTTTGTAGCAGAATAGGTACTGTTCCTGAAAAGAGATGGACAAATGTGGCTTTTGAAAAATGTCTTTTTTTGAAAAACTTGATTGCTCAACTGTAGCTATTCTCTCTGCACTCACCTTGGTTTGAATCATCCCATGCCGCTGACGTCTCATCTCTTTTACGATGTCGCTCACGTTTATCTGAAAACAGATTAAAAACAGTTGACTGTATTACATTACATTTTTGGAATTGAAAATAATTGAATAAGACTGGCGCTTTTTTTTATGTGACCCAGAAATATTTCATCTTCAGATGTCAAGGTTTGAGAAATTTAAATGCAAAGAAGGTTCTTGAGAAGCACAGAGAGAGTAAACTTTGCAGAAGCAAATAGACAAATCCATCCTTTTGCTCTATTCATGGGACACACCCTACCATCACACTGGAATGATGAAATAAAACCAAGGATTCCACATTTTATCCTTAATATTTTTGTCCCTTCCCTATTTCACTCACATTCTATCTGCAAAACACTGGATGCCTGAAGAAAAACGTTCTTACATCAGAGAGACATGCTTGAGTTTTGAGGTTAACATGTCAACAACGCAAAATCCTGATTTATACTAGATCCTGATACCGTTAGATAAATCTGAGCCCGTCTGATGATGTGGTGCATTACTGACAGCTATTGAGATACTAAGTCGGAGTGATGTTTCCATTGGCATGACAAAACTGTTTCAGTAGACAGATAAGGCTGGCCTCCACTTACAGGCAAGTCTTTCTCAATGAGGTTCAGGATGATGTCCGTACAGATGAGAACTCCTGTACGTCCGATGCCTGCGCTGCAGTGCGCGGTGATTGGCCCCTTGTGGTGCACCGCCCTCATGTAGCGGATGAAGCGAACCAGCTGCTCGGAGCACTGTGGCACGCCGTGGTCAGGCCACTGGGTGAACTTCAGGTGATGAACGAAATGTGTCTCACCAGTCTGGAATGACAAAGAGCCTCAGTCAAAAAAAAAAAAGCTAAATGCGGCATGAAAACGGCAACACTGCCCTCCTTTCATACCTTTATGTCCACCATGCGGATGACTTTGATTTGGAAGTATTCCAGATACTGTTGGTTCTCCAGGTGAAGCTTGAACCTGCCCGTGTCCAAGGGCAGGCTCCGCCTCTCCGGCCAGTATTTGTGACACTTGATCCTTCCCCGTTCTACTTCCTGAGTCATCATGGCAATGACATCAGATTTGTTTTCCCAGATCATCTGCCAGAAAGCCTGCACAGTGGAGGGAAGAGGCCCCTGGCAAGAGATGTAGAAGAACTCCTCGGTTCCGACTTGCATGCGAATATAGCTTGCATTGATGTACTCTTTATTCTCTCCAATGACAACACACGTTTGATCATCTATAGAATAAAAAACAAACAAAAAACAAAATATAAGAATACTCTCATTTCTAATCATTTCATGAAGTCAAGAAGCAAAGGGTTGTTTTAACCCAATAATAAGCTAAGTATAATGGTGCATAAACACAGTGGCTGGAGGAGAGAGGAGTGACAGACTTAAAAACATTTGGAATGTTTACTGAGTCTTACTTGTGTAGTCCAAAAAGCACAAAATTGATATTTGACTTTTTGACAATGAATTTCTTGCAGGGTGTTTTGGCAATAAATTACTGGCCGTTTTTTAAAGTACTTACATCTACAGCAGTTGCAGCAATCTGCAGGGCATATGGTGTGGTGGAGTGGTATTAATTCCACTGGGGGTCACTACTTGTTTTATCACGCTCATTAATCTTAACTCTGACCCATTTCACCCTTGCACTCTGTGAGGCTTTCAGAAGAAAACACTTCTGTGCACATGCGTGTCTTTGTGCGTGTGTGTTTGGCAGCTATGTTTACATGAACCAAATTCCTTGGCTTATCTTAGAGAGCATAACATTCATGCATACACACAAGGGTGTTTTTTTCTCTCCGCATCCGCTCCAAGAAATGCATTACGACTATACAGTTTGTAAAACAGTTTGCTTCTTCATTTATACTTATAAATCGTGGATAAAAACGATAATTCTCATCATCACTTACTTGGCAGGCTAAGAAAAACTATTCTGGCGTGCGTTACCAGCAAATTATTGACTAAATGTGGGAGTCGAAATGCTTTGCAGAAATAACTAAAGCCTTGTAAACAAATTTCTCCACTTTCCTCAATAAAAACAGTCAGCTTTTTGCTCCTGGAAAAACAGTGCCAACACACAGGCTCTCCTATAAAAACCATGTCTGTGAGCATCCAGCTTCTACAAGCTTTACTTTACATTCTTCTCAAGAAAGTAAAAGAGCTCCTCTTACAGGGCAGGATATCTCTGTAGCGGTTCTTGTCTCTGTTCTCCGGTGCTTTTCCCACCAGGCAGTTGTCAGAAGGCTTCAGATGCTCCAGAGCCTGAAATGAACAGCGTGGGCAGAACACATAATAGTTTCAGTGTGTGTCTACGCACATAGCTTTAATATGTTTTATTGACATAGGAGAAGTTGATTCTTTACTACCCGATTTGTACAACTTTCAAGTAGTATATATGCCAGAATGCTCTTTCTGGACAACATTTCTGCTTTAATACTATCTTCCCGGGAAAGCTGATCCAGAAGTTGACAGCCTTGGCGACCCAACTCTCACCTGGAACTGGATTCTGAACATATACGCACCATGAAGTCTTTGAGCAGCTCCTCCTGGTCCAGCTGATGCTGAAGGATCTGGATGAGCGCTTTGACCCTGGAGCCTGAATACTGACTGGTCTTGGCCGGAGTTATAACTGCTAGAATGGCCAGTTCCTCCTGTGATACTAAGGGTGGGCCTGAGGAAAAAAACAACCACTGGCTTTTATTGCTGTGTTCAGATAAATCTTTCACTCCAACACATGAAAGTAGTGAAATGTACACAACACCTGTTTGAGGTGAGGACACCTCCTGACTTGAGGCTTCAAATACGTTATCATCCTCTTCGCTGCTCCAACCATCTGTCTGGGTTTTCCGGATGTCTTTGCACGACTGGTCCAAAAGCTTGGTCACAATTTGTTTCCTGGGGGAGTCAGGAGGTAGGGGTGAAACCACACCATTTTTACTCTTCAGTAGGGAGGGATGAAATCATGCAAGGCTGAGCTTCCTTTTCCTGTCACCTTTCCACCTAAAATGCAGGAAGAAGCTAAAATAAACTGTTCAAAAGTAGGTGCAAAAAACAGTTCTCTCTTCATTACTTTGGTTTAGAAACTAGAGGGGATTCTTGCTCAAGAAAACAAAAAAAACATTGAGAACTGTCTCCATGTATATTGTCCATCCCTTTACAGTGCCAAACAGAGAAAAACAACAATAAACACTCACATTCTCTATTATTAATATATTAACTAATATTTTTGTATATTTTAAATGTTTCTCACTTTGTGACAACCTTACCTAATGCCTTTGTCAAAACTATTTTGTTAAAGATTTTTTTTAATGAAAAAAATGTTTATTCTGTTTTTACTTACGTTTCAGCAGTGGTAATATTCCAAATCATGACTGTGTAAGAATATCTCCTGTACTGTATATAAGACTATTATTATGCACTTCCCAAATATGACTTTTCTCTACCTTCCATGTCTCAATGAGGCTCACAGCTCAAATACAACAGTATTGATTAAATGTATCTACATTTATTTACTGCTCTCTGCTCCCTCCTTGTGGTTATTAATGGAACAGCAGCACATCAGATGAAAGGAAGAGGTGGGAAAGGGAGAAAGGAGAGGAAATATACAAACAATAGCAAAGGAGAGGTATTTAGAATGTTAATACCTGTCAGAGGCTCCATGCAACATGTCAGTGACATTTAGAGATGGGCAGCAAGCTTGATGAGAGGGGGAGTTACAACTTTCCTGCTCCACAGACAGGCAGCCAGAGGAGGCGGCAGACAGAAGGAGCAAGATGTTAGTAGATGTTAGTAAAGAGCTAAGAAGGGGTGTGATCTGACTTTTACATAAACACAAATACATGAAAATTTCACAATAATTCACGGGCATGTATGCTTGAAAGTGTTACCTCATCAACGGAAACCTCATCTGTTACAACAGTCACTCTGTGAGGTGGGGGGGGTGGTGAGGTAAGGATAACCTCTCTTTCATTAGCCACCAGGTCTGAATTCACTTCTGAAACAGAAATTGTAGCACTCAATAAATGTCAATATTGTACGTGTTGTCTGTTAAGGTGACACCATATTTGTGTCAGTGGTGTATTTTATGCAGCTCTAACCAGTTTTTCAATGTCGTGGTTTAGATTTCTATGCTAAAGAAGACCAGGCAACCCTAAAGTGAGCATTTACTTTTGACAAATGATTGATAACAAGAAAAAAATCATACCAGGAGGATGCTCAACTGGCCTACTCAGCATAAGGTCAGGTGTGGAACAGGCATCAGGGCTGGACACCGGAGCTGGCTGCTCGGCAAAAATAGCCTCTGTTTGAGCAGACATATTTGGTGGTGTAGGTGACTCAGCATAGGTCAGGGGCAGGATGTCTCTGCAGATTGTGAGCTGAACGGTGCCCTCAGCCTTGCGCAGGATGTCCACCACCTTACTGTGGCTGAGCCCGGACACGATCACACCGTTCACCTGGCATGCGCAAAGTAACAATCATGAGCTTTCCTGTAAGGGAGGTAATAAAAGCTGTCGGGTTGTGATGGTTGATTACCTCCAAAAGAATGTCCCCAACTTTTAGTCGACCGTCCTGCTCAGCTGCTCCCCCCGAGCAGATCTCTTTCACCCTGAGCATGCTGCCATTTGTTCCCCCGATTAAAGCGAAGCCGAGGCCCCCACCTTCTGGTTTTTTAAATTCCACTTGCATGATGCAACTCTACAAGGATAAAAAAAAAAATATATATATATATATATAAACTAAATAAATATTATATATGAGCTTACTTATATGCAATATTATACATAACACTATCTAGGGAAGGGATATATTACATCATATTCACATCACATTATATCAGATTATCATGTTTGAGTCCAGAAACACTTGAGAGGATGGGCAGCTTAAAAAACACAGGTGATAAAAAAGGGTGTCAACATTAAACAAGAAGCTGATGGGAGAAAAATTTAAACTTACATCCTGTTCTTGAGAGAGAGAGAGACCTCTGAACCTTCCACCAGTCTTTGACACAGCTTCAGCTGAAAAAAAAGTGGAGTCATCAAAGAAGTAGCCTTTAAGGCTGAGAAATAAAGTTGAAAGATGAAAACCGTTTAAAACAAGGGGTGATGTCTGGAGTTTGGCCCCTAGATAACAGCAGACCTTCCAATTTCATCCAATGGAATTTTCAAAAGAATCACACAGGGAAGAAAATCGAACACACCAACCTTCCACCTCTTCACCCATTTTAGGAGAAGTGTTGATGAGTGCCTCTCTTTATATGACAGATCAACAAGGCTGAGTGATCCTCTTAGCTATCCCTTACTGCTCCCTCCACTTTCACCAGGCAACTAAGCAACCTGCTCTATAGACCATAAGCTGGATGGCTCTCAGCCTGTGTGTGTGTGTGTGTGTGTGTGTGTGTGTGTGTGTGTATGATACACTTGACTTTGCAGTTTAATACACCAGTGGAGGGCCAGAGGCTCGCTAATTATTAATCCTGCATTGAGGGTCCAGGTTCTGTCTGTCAGTATTCAGATCACATCCACAAACACATGAGTGCACATGCACGTACACACAAACTCACACAGCTGCACAGAGACCTAGCTGTCAGCACCAAGCTCCGGCTTCACACAGACAATGGGGCAACAGGGAAAAGAGTGAAAAGGAACTAGTTACGTTGTAGGTTAAACATGCAGATGGAGAGGTTGGAGGAGGCAAATGGAGAATTACATGAGGTAATGGAAAGAGAAAAAAAAACTCACTATCTTCAGAAGGAAACTGTCTCTCTGGAGAGGATGGCTCCTCAAAACGAGTAAAGAACTTCCTGTCCTTTTTCCACTCAAACAGACCTGTTGAAGACAGGCTTTTTCAGAACTTATAGATTAGATTGGTAAATAATTACCTATAATTTCCAAGACTACAAAAGGCAATGACAAGCTGTCACTTGCTTCCCTTGACACTCATGTTTTCTTCTAGTTATCACTCCTCAGGTCAAGACAAACTTCTGGTTTCTAGGCAATCCATTGCTGCAGTTAATGCATAACAACTAAACTATCCTGTGTATCAGTCATCCACTGATATACTCTCTTACCGTTCCACTTAGCCTTTGGAGTGACCGGCTGGTCTTCTCTGTGACATACAAAAATGACAGAATTATACAGAGAAAAACATAAGCACCAATAAAAGTATGGCAGCGCGTACCTGATTACTTTAAGCTTAACCTTACGAGGGGCGATCTCACATGCTTTGACTGCATCCTCTAAAGTCATTCCCAGGGTGCACCTGCCAGAAATGTACAGGATCTTGTCTTTGGGCTGGACGCTGCCCTCCTCGCTGGCTGGGGAACCTGGTACAACCTCCAAACAGTAGATGCCCTGCCATTTACTGCCTATGCCACCTGTCAGTTTTATTCCTGGAAAAGACATTGACAGAGGTTTATTCAAGTAAGGCTGACTGTTGTGACTGGTGCTTATTCAGAATGATCAAAATTGGCTTTAGATCCAACCCAGCTGTCCTGAAGGTGTCTTGTGGAGAACGATGTCTGGCAGGCTGTCACAGGAAGGGGCAACCACCAGGTTGCTAACTGCTCTCCCCAGTGTCATATTCAGTCTTCTTGGAGATGACCTGAGAATTGTCATGGCAACATCATCTGCCACTTTAGTAACGTTGTGCCCATTTACCTGAAAGACAGTGAAAGAAACGGTTTTTCAAAAACAAAAATGAATTTTTTTTTAAAAATTTTACATTTTTTAAAAATATATAATTTTTCAAGTGATGTGCTTACTATGATCAGCCTGTCTCCTGCCCTGAGACGCCCATCTGCCTTTGCTGGGTTGTCCAGTATTTCTTGTATGTAATAACAGTTGTCCAGCTTGCTTCGAGTGATGGTGAACCCAAAGCTTCCTCCCCTGGACTTTGTCAGAACCACTGTAAGCTCAAACTCTTTAACCAGGCCCTGTCAGGCGAGAAGAAAATAAATCTCATTCTCATGTCGAAGTTACAAAGTTCCTTCAAATATCTATTGCATCCACTTAGAAATGGTTTTGCAATCAGTTCAATCTATATATATATATATATATATAGAGAGAGAGAGAGACTCTCCAGCTTTTGTTATATCTAGTCTAGTTTAACACATGGAAATTCCACATATACACTTAGAATTTCTCAAAAATTTTTGAATTGCACACTTGTCAAAAAACTGAGGTAAAAAGAAGACTTTTCAATTTACCTTTCTCCGACTCTCTTCCTCCTCCTCATCAAGCTCTTCATCATCATCATAATCATTTTTGTAATCTCTCACTTTTACCTCCGGTTCTTCTCTGGGCTGTGTGTGGCTCTCGGCAGGTGGCACAAACACTGTGGACAGCAGCGTGGATGCTCCAGCACAGGGAGTCACAGAGGAGACAATCTGGGCCGTGATGGGGGTTGGTGGTGGGGGCTGAGGTGGAGGCACTGTAGGCCGAACGTTCTTGGAGGTGGACTTGTAGTGACTCTGAAGAAGTGCTTGCTGGATGGGATGATGCTTGGTCTTTGGTGGCTGTGTTGTGAGTGGCTGGGTCATGGGACACGAGGCTGAGGTGTCAGATGAGAGGTTAAGGGGCGAGATGTTGGTAGTGGGGGCGTGAGAACTGACATTTGGAGTGTGAAAGTTGCTGGAGTTTTGAGGGGTGAAGTCTGTAGGGTTTACGACTGGAGTGTTAATCGAGAGGCTTTGAGGGGGCTCCATCGTGGAGCTGATGGTTAGGTACTCTTCATCTGCCATGATGGTCAGTCCATTTCCCATAAGGCAATAGGTCACACTTCCATCTGCCTCCTCTCTGATTCCACTGCAAGTAAAATGGCACAAAAATGTTTGGTTCTGTTTGCTGCAAATCACAGACTGTAAATGTTTAATATGATTATTAAAGTATCCAGAAGTATTATGGATAAAATATGCATTCTTTCAGAATTTTAACCATTTCCATATGTGTCTTCTGTATGTTACCTGGTGCAGCTAACCTGTAACTGGTAACATGCAGAAGTAATACATTTTACCGTACGTATTACCTGGTATACAAGGGCTGAGAAGAAGTCTTAGAGTAAACATCTACCAGCGTCACAGCTGAGCTCAGTGTTGTTGCAGCCACCACCTCCTCTACATCCACGTTCCTTCTGTTAGCTTCTCCGTCCTTCTGTCCCCTCACTTCCTCATCAGCTGGATAGGGCTCTGGTGGAGGTGGTAGCGGTGGAGAGCCAGTTCCAGGTGAGGGAAGTGAAGTGGGCGATGCTGGTGATGCAGGGGAAGCTGGCGAGATTGGCGATGGAGGAGATGTGGGTGATGTCGGTGAGGGCGGTGTGCGAGGTGGAGACGGAAAAGCCTGGTCATCATCCTCAATATCCACAACTAGACTGTTTTGGATCTCCGGGGGCGGTGGAGCTGCTGGAAACTCAGGGTTGTTGTGATGTTGTTGAGGTTGTTGTGATGTTGTTTTCTCTATTCTGAAGGTTAGATCTTCCTCCCGGGTGGGGGGCACCGTCTGGACGCACACACTGATTTCACTGGAATACTTAAGGAACTGACTGTAGTCTTCCCCAAGCCGGATGTCCAGAGAACGGGATCGGACCTCTCGTACGGGTGCGGGACTCTGAAGAGTCAGACAAAAATTAAGAAGGTGCTCGGGTCCCTTCCATGGGACTTTTCAGAGGGCCTGCACAGCAATTTGTGTGTGTAGTAGCATACCAGAGAGTTATCATCGACGTCATAGAGCACTCCAGTTGGTCTGCATATCAACAGATGAACCTCTGACGGGGCTCCCCGCAGGAGGAACAAGACCCTCTGAGACCAAACAGAAAAGTTTGACGATCCACAAATACCGTGGTTGGGTATCGTTTAATTCGGACACCACAGGCAATCATCCATCTGATTTTAAAAGGCCCTGTGTTGTTTCCATTGTGCTCTCTTTGGTGGTGCATCAAAGGTTAAATGGCACACTGTGACAGAACTGGCTTGCTATTTTCATTTGTGAGGGATTAAAGGATTAGAGCACCAATGACGTGGCCAACATCTTAAGAAAGAACAGGGCCACTGGTGTTGCTAATGCACAATCACTTACAAGCCCATTCATGTTAAGAGTGACCGGCTGTGTTTCCACAATTACAGTCTGAAAGCTTTTTCCCTCTCTCACGTCCACAGTAATGTCAATGTTTAAATGTTAGAAGATGCACAGTAAGATAGAATTATACATCATGAATAATTAAAAGCAAATTAATAATTAAACCCGTTTCCTGAAAATTTTGAAGTTTTTTTATGCATCTATTCTGCAGTATATTCATCTAAACCTTTGTTTAACAGGCAATAATACAAAGAAATGTCTCTTTCCTAAACAACTGCAATGTATCAAGAGCAAACAAACGCATCTAGAAAGTGATGCCATAAGTTGCTCTGTACTCTTTGTTGTCTGATTCTGATCAGTAAAGCACACACACACTGTGTCTCTGGCTCAGTCCTACTAAAATAACCATAGATCTTCCTGTAAAAACAGGTCACCTTGATGATCCTATGTGCCCTCCAAAACTGCAACATCAGCCTCTGCAGCAATGACACCTTCACACATTTGCTAGTTACACATGCTACCGTTAACGACCATATGCACTCATTTAATGATATTTTCTAGTGCTTCTGAATCACGATATTATTCACTAGCATTGCTGGAAGTGTCACTAAGTGGTGAGACACAACTCATCCTTTGGCGGATTCTCCTTTCATATCCAATCCCCCCTTATCGCTTAATCTGCTGAATGTGGACTCTCGCAAAGTGGTGTGATTATTTTCTGTATATTATTTTTGCCCTTCTCTACACATGGTTTCAAACATCAAATTCAAGAACCCACGGAACATGGCTTTCTTTATCTTTCTGTTAAATTAAGATTAAAATGTACAAATGACCAACTGAAGTTCCACCCAAAGATCTTAGAGATATATACTTTATCAAAGATGTTTTTATATCGTATATATATACATATATATATATATATATATTTATATGATAAAGCCAATTATAAAAAAGGAAAACGAATGGTTAAAATATGCATATCCAACCTGGTATGAGAGGTTTTTGACACGCTCCTTGTTGACAGAGAGAATTACATCTCCTTCTCGCAGCAGGCCACTTTCTAGTGCTGGCTGTCCTGGGAACAGACGTTTAATGCGGACCACGCTCCCCCGATCTGATGCCGAGTTCAGTTGTGAGATGTAAAAGCTGAAGCCGAGACCGGAGAGACTCTTCTTCAGTACCACTTCATGAGTGTTGTCTAGAGAAGGAAGGAGATGGAGGGTTATTTTGCACTATCAACATGTGTTGTGTAATCTTTAATCTGCAATGTGGGCCACAATTTAGTGCCATGTGATCGTAAGCAATTTATCAGTCTCACCAACAAGTTATCCAGACAGAAATTCTTAATTTAGGAAAAAGCTATTCAACAGTTTGCTTTTTTTCACATTTTGTTCAACATTTCTTTCTCATATTTCCAATTTGAAAAAAAAATGACTGTAGAGATGAAGCACTCCCCTTTTCTATGCGCTCAGCCAGAACAGAACAGGCAGTTTCAAGGTTTCAGTGTGTGCAGTCTCAGGGGATTGAGGCACCATCAGCGTCTGCCCCGGACTCTGACAGCAACCACAATGTAGCTGTCAGATGACTCACAGTCACCTCTGGGCCATGTGCGTATTTGTGTGTGCACAACACTGTCTGATGTTTTTTCTTTTTAAAGACAGTACGTGTCTGTTCCTTTTCCCTCTCACCATCAGTTACGAAGCTGTAGTCCTTGGCTCGACCACTCAAGGTCGTTTCCATGGAGATTTCAGTCCTGGGGGGCTGTGTATATGATGCACTGTGGACCAAGGCAGCAAAGGGCGAGTCAGGTCTGGGCTCCAAGACGACAGTGGGCTCTCTTTCCAGCAGCAGGCTCACCACCTTTGGAGGACATATAGGAATGTCAGAAGTACACATTAGAACATATACCATAAGGGCTGTTATAAGAATAATATGAAGAATTATCATGTTTCTAATTAGCCTTGAATTCAAATATTTGTCCAAGTGTCTCTCTATGCAGCACAAAAATCAAGGAAATATCTAATGTCTATTATATTCACACTATGGTTTAATAAACTAAAACAACTTCCTTAACTCGACTAATTAAAAAAATTGAGATGAAATTTTTTTTTAGAGTTAGTAACAAACCCTGAGGTCTTGACACACTAAAGTGGATAATTAATAGCAGTTTCTTCCAGAATCAAACTACAACTTTTGCGTAAATGTGTTAATATGCAGATGTGTGTAAGGGTGCATGTTTGTTAGGTGTTTACCTCCCCGGTCCTCTTGAGGCACTCCACAGCTTGTTGATGAGTCACCCCCCTCAGGTTAGACCCATCAACCTCCAGCAGTCTGTCACCTGTCATATGCACAAACACCAGCCTCATCATCATTAGCAACTGCAATTATGAAAACGGTTTGCCTTTGAGTGAGTGCGTTTGGTTGATGGGCATGTCAACAAATCTAAAAATCGTGTTTGCCCACTGAGGCATAAACACAGAGGCACAGGTTTAACATATTTATCTCTTTCCACATATCATATAACAAAAGTTTAATCTGGATCCAAGAGCATATGAAGGTGCATCCAAAGACAAGCGTTACAGGAAAAGTCTGAAAGTTGATGAACATTTTCAATTTCATATTCATTTTAAGTTTAGAGTTACACTTAAGTTTTACGTTTAGAGTTAAGTTTAGAGCGATAAGTAAGCGATAGTAAGATATAGAATTAAATCAAATCAAATTAAATCAAATTTCTATGCAACAAATCTTTTACATAGCAGGTAGAATGCATTTACTTCACAGACGGCATGAATAAACTGCTATTCCTGACAAAATGAAACCTTCATTATTGAAAAATGAAGAAAATCAAAAAATCACTGTATTTTATAACATTGCTTTCACTTACTCGGAGGTTGACTGTATGTCCTGCACAACATTAAGCTTTAGCAGAAGCTGTTGAGCTCTTCATAAATTAAAAGTAAGCATTACCTATCTGTATGCGTCCGTCCTGATCCGCAGAACCCCCAGGGACCAGACTCTTGATGTAAATGCCTCCATATCGCACATTAGTGTTCAGTCCTCCCTTTCGCAACAGAGATTACAAAGAAGTAGTCGTTATTCATTAGTGCATGACATTGCTCTCAAATAATCTGTGTTGTCTAGCATGTTACTTCAAAAATCAGTTTGGGTGGAAGGAAGGCATTAATTTCAGTGAGGTTTTAAAACAACTTAGACTTATAGTTTTCACCAGGATAAAAAGCACTTCACCTTTTGCCTAGAATGTAAAGAATTGCATGAAGAAAAATAATCTTCTTTTTTACACAAAGAAACATAAATATTCTCTTGAAAAAAGGAAACATAACACTCACAGCAACACTGATTCCAAGGCTTCCAAAGCTTTTTTTCAGTTCTAATGCAAACCGCTCTCCTGCTTTAAGGCTTAAGATCGAGGGAGACCTTGCATACCCATCCTAAAAAAGATCCAGGCAAGGGAAAAGGTTTATTAGTTTATCATTTTAGAAGAATTAAGTACTTAGAGCCTAAAAAGATGTTGGAAAATAATAATCATAATACTATTGCAACATGTAATTAAATTAAATTAAGACAACAGCTAACAATTTGAATATAACGAACCTAAAGTTCCATTACAACATAAACATCCCAAGCTTCTATCCTCTTTCCTTCTTCATAAAAATAAATACTGAGCGTATAATTTATGAATAAACTATACAAAGAAACACTAACACCAAGTATGAATGCAATAACATCGAGGCCTGAATCTAAAGCTGACCAAAATAGAAAGTAGGGGATTTTCAGAGGAAGAAGGGGGATTTCAGGTGTAAATGTCACGCCTGGGGGAATGTCTCGTCTTGATTACCTATTGTGTACACCTGGGGTTTCCCTCCCTCATGTGTTTAAATAGTCCTCGTTTCCCCTTGTCTGGTGCGGGGTCGTTCTTGTCTGCTTGCCTTGTCTCTTGTCCTTTCGTCCGTCGTCACCCCCACGCCAGGTTTGTTTTCGTCGTAGTTCTGCCACAGTCTTAGTCACGTTTTGTCATAGTCTTGTTTATCTTTATTTTGTTACTTTGTCAAGTCATAGTTTTTGCCACAGTATTGTTTGCTCATTGCTTTGTTACTTTGCCCACAGTTTGCCACAGCTTTGTTTTGTACTTTGTCTGGACATTCACCCTGTTTTTGTTCAATAAACCTTGTTTCCCCTCATTCCGCGACTGAGTCCTCCCGTCAACACCCACCTCCGTGACAGTAAACATGTGTCTTCGGGGTACTTTTGATGCCAGTGGATTAAGACCGTCATAATCCTATCAAAGTGAAGTCTTAATGAGTTTTTCAACTAGTACTGGATGACCTTGTCGTAATTGTTAAACGTGCTTCATGGAAACAGTAACCCCTGATTATAGTTGACTGAGTGCCAGTTTCTACCTGAGCATCATGTATTCGTACGACAGGAATGGGAAGCTTCCTGCTCTGTTTTGGGGTTGCCATGTTAGACAGTGTAATGGCCTCCTCCAGTTCCTCAGCGGCCGGACGGTACTCTAGGCCACTTAGGGTAGTCTGTGACCCAAAACTCCTCTCCATAGACAAAGCAAGAGTACTTTGACTCAAGGATCCCAGTCTGTCCTTCAGGGAGTCTGACAGGAAAACATCCAGGTGAAATAACAAACCTCAGTCCATATTTAAGTAATGGTCTAACAGTAAGTGCATATTAGGAAACACATAATGAAACAAGTCTCACATTTCGGCTGAGACACGATGAGCTCCACCTCATCAGGACTGCTTTGCAGGATGGCAGCGGCATCACTGAAAGTCACTCCCTCTAAACTGGTCTTATTCAGGGAAATGAGACGTCCTCCTGGGGGAGAAAATCAACAAATTACCACAAAATCTTTGTGATTGCCTGTTATGTGTGTTCTATAAGTGCTTTGTACCAGGTTTGATTCGTCCATCTTTGTCCGCTGGCCCTTCAGGCACAATAGAAGCGATGAAAATCCCAAGGTCCAGTTTTCCTGTACTGTCCTCTCCCACTATGACAAAGCCTGCAACAGGGGAGCGAGTGTAAAGAATTACTTGAGATGTTGCCGTTCACAGTCACATAGCGGACCTAAGTTAACTCACCAAAACCCAGTTTGGGGTCTTTCTTAAGGGTAACACAGACTATCTCCCTCTCTGGTGGAGTCCGGGTTGGTGTATCAACTGCAAAATATACGTTTAATTTATGACAAACAGGTTACAGACATGAAACTATTTCCCCTTTGATATCCAGTTTCCAAGTTCAGAGTCATTGGGACATTTTGAAAGCAGAGAACAGGTTTAACTTGCAGAAATATGATAATAATGACTACAATAATAAAGCAAATCTTGACAGCAGTATGCAATTTAGAGAAGCAGAGCATTTATGTAAAGAAAAAAAAAGTGTATTTTTATACTGACTCACCATTCAAAGATGAATCCTATATCTGAAGGACAGTCACAAAGGAGGGGATACTTTTTCCTATTTTCACTTTTGGGTTTACATTTTAAGATGCTTGTGTTGCTTTGAGGTGAGCAGCATTAGTGCATTGCTCTACATTGCAGAATAATCCATCCAAACCATTTTTCCCCCCAGCTTTGGATATGAAAGGGTACAATCCAAAAGCAATTCACAAAAACAATGTGATTCACACTCAAACATGAAGATTTTGACATCTGGCACATATTATACAGCCGTGATGATTGTGTTGGAGCATCACGCATCACTGCTCCTGCTGACCTTATTCTGTTTGCTGTTCAGACATGTATGTGTGTATTGGGACTGCATTTGAAAAGCTAAACAAATTTGGACATGTTGTCTTCACACAGAGAGAGGCCCCATTTGGAAGGAAACATAAGGCTAAAGGCGATGTTTGTATAATGCCCGCTCCTTTTTCATCATTTCCTGTGAATTTTGCAGAAAGCAAATGAGCTTAAGAGACTCACCTCGCATGGAAGATGAGGTGTCAGAGTCTTGCTTCTGTAGTGAGATACTGGACATCATTCTTGGAATTGGGCCTGGACTGCTGCAATAAATATGCACAGTTACATTTAGTAACATCCCTATAAAGTTACTTTGATAAGAAAACATGAATCTGATAGCAATCAGCGGTTACTTCCAACACGGTCGGTCTTTCATGTCTCCTGTTTCAGGCGGCTCCTTGTTCAGCTCTCGGCTCATCTCCCTTCTCATCTCTCTCTGCTGGCGAAGCCGAGCCTCCAGCTTGGCAGTTAGGTTTTCGCAGGACTTGGAGAGGGAGTCCGGTTGACCGGGGGTCACACCTATATGGTTCAACATGCCCTCTGAACAGGATATCCGCTTCAGGCTTCTTCTACGAGCTTGGTAGGCAGATATGTTTTCATCTGGACAAAGACAGACTTTTCAGTCATAGTAATGAACTTTAAAGGTTTACATTTTTTTTATCAGCAATAATCCAGACTATTAGATTCTACACAATTCCTGAGGTTTTCCCACCAGGTATCATGGTGTGGTTGAGCTGTCGTGATGTCATCTCGCTGTGAAACTTGTGCTGTGCTGAGCAGAGGTTCAGGAGGTACTGTGCTATTTTTGAGCTCTCCGTCACAAAACTGTGCTTTTTCCCGCTGGGCCCACCACACTCAATAATCAGTTTACGTCGCTGAAAAACAAACAGTATTTTTCATTCTCAGATATTCACTCATTCCTGAAGTACATCTTCCAACAAACAAGTCACAGAGTGAAAACTATAGAAGAATACAGTGGAAGCTTAAAAGCAAAAGTAATGTAACATAGAAATAATTCTAATTAGAACTAATTTTGAAATAAACCATTTGTGTTCATTTACAAAGTGCAAGATCTCTTCAAAGCAGGTTGTGAAAAAATCGGACAAAAATAAGCCTTGTTTTTACCCCAGTAGAAATGGAGTCTGTTTCCCTCCACAGAAAGCGTCTGGTGACAGTTCGCAGGTGGTTCTTTGTCTCATACACAATGATTCCTTTGGCACAGACTCCCAAAACTAACTCTCCTATCAGCGGTCTTTTCTCTCTTCCCACACGATGAAACATAACTCCATACTCTGGGAGCTGCTGGGCAATCTGACGGGTGCATAGAAACACAAACACATGGCCTCACCATCTCCTCAAATCAAAATCAAATTCATATATGTAGGATGTTAGGATGTTGGAAGATAAAAAAAAAATATATGTTCAAGGTAATAGACTAGCAGTCTGGTTACCTTGAGATACTCTGTTTCTGCCTCCTCTGGTAGCAAATTGGCATGACTTGCATGTAGTCTTGGCAACTCCTCCTTAACAATGGGCAGGGCAAGCCTCTCCAGCATCCTCTTGGACACATAATGCTCTGGTTGGTAATAATTCTTCCCATACAGCTAAAGAGACAGACAACACAATCAAATATGTAATTATGGTACATGCAGAATGACAGATGACAATGGTATTTGAAGACTTATTGTGTGTGGGTTTCTTTTGTACCTCAGGCATATAGTCACCAAACTCAGCCTGCAGAGCGAGAGCAGCCAGGAACAAACCCGTCTCCTCATTACAGTAAAGCCTGTCCTCCAGGATATCCTTACGCAGTTGTAAGTAATATTGGTGACGAGTCAGCTTGTGACTGTAGATGAAAAAACAATTAACAACAGAAAACCAGTGTTTTTCATTCCTATTCTTTTACGCTATTGATATTGATGTTATTTTATGGTACTATGGTATTCTATGGTATTTGTAATTCATTGGACGGCTGCTGCACTTACAGAATAAAAGCTGTATCATCGACAAAAAATTTGACTCGGAGGAACACCAAAAAGGAGGATATCTGCCCTTTTTTCCAGCTGTCAGGTGCAACTTTTGAGATTTTTGTTTCGTGATCCAAGAAGAAATACTCATCATCTGTGGAATGCCAAAGAAAAGCCTGTTTTTTAAAAATCTTTGGTCAAATTCATGTGTTCACCCCACCAGTCTGATAAACCTTTCAGTATAATTTTTACAAAATGTGGAAATTAATATTATTATATTATAATTTTGATATTTATCAGTAGAGAAAAATCAAATCAAGTCCCATACAATATATCCTCTTACCATCTAGGAAGGACAGACCAAAGTAAAAGTGTTCCACCAAGTTTGCATGAGCCACCACCATGTCAAACACATCTCTTGCTCTGGATTTAATGTCACAGCGAACAACCACGTACTGTCCGTTAGGCAGCACTACAGTCACTTCTCTCTGAGATGAACTTGAATGGCCTTTTCTGGACTGTCATGTGCAAACACAGAGATATGCATGCACATGAAAAAGAAAAACAATAGCCACACCAAACAGACACAATAATATAAATAGAAACGTTTTAAACATGCAGCTATTCGAATAGACAGTTCAGCAGGTAGGAAAGACACGTTCAAATAACACGATAGACAGACATTCACAGATCAGGAGCACACAGAACTACAGATAGTGTCTTGAAATCAATTATTTACCACAATAGAGCCGGGAAGCTCCAGAAAAACCTGCGGGTCATCGGGCATTCTTATGAACTCAGGACCCAGAGCCTGAAAAAAAAATTGCTGTCTAAATTCTCATTTTCATATAGCTTTCATTGTCTAATAGGTTAGATATTACATGCCAGAATCATACTTTTTGCTTAAATCACAGTAGTATGAGTTTTACAAGTCCTCTGAAATCATGTGAAAATAGATAATGGATCTTACCTTAGCTTTTCTCTGGCTCAGGCTGAGGGAGGATTCACTGAAAGTGATGGAGGGACTGTGAGATCTGCCTGATGCCTTTGGAGAGAAATCGTGATGGGGGCTCCTACCAATCCAGCTGCAGGTGCTGTCCCTATGTCTCACCCCTCGAGGGAGTCTGGAGTGTGAGAGAGGCGGGCAACAAAGGACAAGTGGTGTAGATAAAATGAGTGGATGACTTGTTTATGTTGGCATGTATGCACAGCTTACACTTGGTTACTGTAGAATCTCCAGTGCGGTAAAATGCTACTGGAAATGTGGTGTTTATTTATAAAACATACCTTTCCAAAGGAGATTGGTACAGTGAGGGAGAACTTCTTGGTCTTTGTCTCCAAGGTCTTTGAGGTAAACTCCCTAAACAAGACAAATAAATATTTCACAGCTTAAAAACAGGTTTTTGTAAAGTCTAGATCTAATTTAGGAATCCTATAATGGCTATTAAAATGATACAGATCTGCAGGCGTCTTGTGACCTCTTTTACTCTGTGTACCTACCTGACTTTGAATCGGAATCTGTTGAGTACCTTCTCCCTTCAGCACTTCCGTCACTGAAGTCTGAAAATGGCCCTCTCTTTCCTGTTAGACAGGTAAAAGATGAAAGATGACAGCAATGTTTGATTCCTGTCAGTCTCTGCGAGCGGTGATGATGAGATGTTTGGAAGGAAGACGAGCTGGTGGGTGGGAGTTAGCCTGGAGCATCCTCTACTCCCTGTATCTGATTATTGGCTCTTACTGGAGTCTAATCCCAGGCTTGCTTTAGGTTTAAGATCTTAATCCTGTTGACCTGTCCAGTGTCTTGACTCAAAAGAAGGGTCCCTGTAACTTACTTCTTTAAACAAGTTGTGACCTCTTTCCAAAGGCTAAATTTGTTCACGATATGAAGAAAAAACAGAGCTTGATGGGACCAATATGCAGAACATATTTCAGGTTGACTCTAATTCCCAAAATCCCACAGTAGGATGAGTTTGAATCTGCTCCAACAGCTTCTTTCAGGTAAATGTACTGAATAAATCATAATTTACAAAAAAAATCACAGAAAAATCCAGATGACCTGAAAACCCTGAAAGATGGTGGCCTGACTTACACACGTCTTAACTTGATCATGTAAATGTTGCTTGTATTTAATGTATGACTTGTTTATTACAATTTAAACATGGAAGCTCACCATGAAGCCTCTCCCTGATCATCTGGCTCCTCCCGCTCAGAGGGACGTTACTGTCTGGCAGAGAGCCGTGGTCCAACTGAAAAAAAACAACAACAAACAAATCTGCTATTTGCAACCTTTTTTATTTTCTATCACTGAAGGTGCAAAACAACTTTAATTTCTTGCACATTTTGAGAAGCCGTAATGCCAGCAGGGAGCAAAACGCTGAGGGCAGATGTCTAAAACTCACCGATTCATGGAAAACCTCCTCCACGAGCTGTCTGATGACTTTGGCGGGGGGCAGCAGGATGGAGGCTTTGTGCTGAGATTCGCAGGCTTCCAGGATGGAGGTGAGATTTACCCTGCGGTGGGCCAGGTCCTCACACATGCTGAGAAGGAGGCTGTTTAGATGGTCGCTCAACTGGACTGGCTGGCGAGGGATGACAAGCCGAGTGGGAAATGGTTATGAAAAAGCCGAGGTGTGCGATAGTGACACTGAAACAGAGTTACAGTTTTGTTTCAACGGCTCCTACCTGATTTTGAGGTAGATGAAAATCAACTGACCAGTAGAGAGTCATTCCCAGTGAATACACCAGCATCTGTGTCACAAAATGAACTCATTAGGAACCAGTTATGGATATTCCAATTCAAAAGTTAAGCTAAGTTAACTTTCACCATGATTAAACTGTAGTAGAGTAGACTGGTCAAATAGCTAAGAACGAGCTGGCATCTTTGCAGTCACATGTGTGAGAATGTTACAGGTTAAACTCTGGCTTTGAAGGATGAATGTTTGCTGGCACAGCACAGCTATTACATTACATAGCATCTAGCAAAATGAGACGGAAGTGACATTCTAGACTCAAGAATCATACTAGTTTGTGCTTTGTGTCTTTAAGGCCTAGATAAAAAATAACTTACCAAAAATGATCTAAATTCTCAAAAGGTTATATGTCTTTCTGTGACAACCAATATAAAATAGGTGGTTTCTTTTGTGTAATATATATAGAGAGATGTTTTCTCTATTTTGAAAGAAAAAAAATATATATGACAGAATCTTACATAATCACTTAGTAATATATGAAAGTAAATGAGCTTGGTGTACACGTTACACTAAGCATACAATCTGCTAGAGGTGCTTGCTGCTTGGATTAGCAAGAGGATTTACACCTTCTTTCAAAGACAGTCAAATATCTTTGTTAACCCATGTTTGAATGGAATGGGTAAATTTCATTAGGTTCTGGTTTTCATTCACCACTCAGGGGTATTTTCTGTTGTAAGAATAAATCTTACGTGGTCGTTTGATTAAATAATATGTTTTTTTAACTTTATCTTGTTGAAATTTTGTCTTTGTGGACACGTGTTTTTATTGTTTTGTTCCCTCATGTTCGTATTTTTACTCATTTGTAGTTCAGATGCAGGTACTGCATCTTTCTCTGCACTACCTGTGTTTATTTTGCTCTTTATTCTAATTTTCTTTAAACTTTCAGGTATTCTAGATTTTTTTCTTTTATGTCTGTATATTTTAAAAATTACAAGGTTCATAATTCATAACATTTGTTTTATTTTTGTAATTATTTGAAGTAATGACTGTAGCGTCATTTTAATGAAGAGCAATTTTAGAGCAGAAATTCTATTGCTCAGCCACAAGATGGCATGATAACATCTTAGTCGACCTTCAGTCCATGACATCCTGAGATTTATACTCAATGGAACAAAGCTTTGTGCTATGACATAAGCGGGAACCAGTAAAGGACCGTGTGGGGTTAATGGTTTTTGACAAAAACAACCTCAAACAACGGGGAAAAAAACACACACAACAAAAAAACAGAGACAAAGCAAAACTGAACCTACAAGCCGGACAAGCCTGTCCCAAACTTCCATGTGAGGCTTTAGAGCCTGAGTGAGGATGTAGCACTGACCCTATCTGTGGCAGGTTTGGTTGAGCTGGCACGGTCCTGCAGCATCTCTGGAGCAGCAAAGGCAGATACCTCATCTGATAGGCCACAGTTCTTAAAAGCTAAGGTACCAGTGGCTGACAGCAGCAAGGAGGTGGGGCTTATGATATTGCACATGTTGTTGTGACCTGAAGAAGGCAAAAAGTCTACAATAAATAACGGCTACAAAGCTGCTGCATGGAGAAATTAAGAAACAAAAGACTAGAAAAAACAATGACACGATATTATCATAGCCTAACGGTGTGTGTGTGCCTGTGTGTGTGTGTGTGTGTGAGCTCACAATGAGGCAGTCTATCTTATGTGCCTTACCTTTGTAAGAGACATCAACTAAACATTCTGCAGCACCAAGCAGAAGAGACCAGACCTCCTCCTCCAGCAGAGGTCCTCCTCGAGCCTCCAATACTTCAGCTAATGTTACAAATGTGCTGCTCATTCTGCCCACATTCCAAACACACACCTGAAGATACAGAGCACAATGAAATAAACACAGGTATAAACCTTGGATTTCACCTGTCAGAGGTTGTTCTGGGTTATACTCTGATGATAAGCTCCCCCACCCTGGTTCTACAAAAAAATCTGACATGTGCCAGAGCTCTGGGGATGTTTTGTGAATGATGTACACCTTTTATGGGGGTATTATCATTTTCTGAGTGTCATAATCAACCCATGAACACCGTGATCCTGCACATCTCTTGGTGGGGATATAACAGCATGGATTCCAACTAAGTTCCAGTCCTTTAGTCGAACTACAGTGAAACATAATTCTTAAAACAACACGGGAGAAGAATATTCTCGACCCTGGGTTAGATTAACCTACAGTCTCATGGCATCTGCTCTCTCCACTCTTTGCATTTTGTAACAGGCTTTGCAACGACCTGAGGTCAGCTCTGAAGAAGACACCAAAGCATCAGACGCGGTCTGAAGGTAGTGTGTTGTCAAAGGAAGGGTGAGAGTTAGCATAACATAGGATTTTATATCTGGAATATTTCTGTAAATATGACAAGCTATCAACAACGGAATATATGTGCTAAACAATATTTTTGTTCCTTCATTTGTCAATAACTAAGTCAAAATAGGAAACTGTTCCTGAACACATCACAGCGAGTCGCACAGTGACTTCAGTTCAATGTACAGATTGGAGCTAAAGCAGTCGCACAGTCATTGCGTGGATCAGATTAATGTTTCATAGGGTAGCAAGGTGAATCTTTATTCTATTCTGAATGCACCAGCACATAGATAAAGGGAAATCATAAATGCCAGAGTCAACGACAACACCGCAGACTGCCTGACAACTAAGATACAATAAAAAATAACCTTACCTCCTTCCACCACCTTAAAACAAACCTGGTTTTTGTTGTGTTTTTCTTACCTCCAGAGGTTAATTATCTAATTGAATTAACTCAAACAATGTCCGGGGACAGGTTGTTCTTCCCCATGGGCACAGCCTGTTAAACCCGTCCACCATGCTTGTCTTTCCACAAGAACACTTTTAGTTTATTGTGACTTTGTACTGTTCTAAATCTTTAGGAGCGACAATATAATAGGCTTGCTCTTACTAATACAAACCAACCTAATTACTTTAGGTCTGATTAATTCCTTCTCTTAAACTCCAATTAATCTTACGAGATTAAATGTGTGGAAAAATGTGCTAATCACCAATCAAATGGAATGTTTTGAGTCACTGCATGAAGATGATTTGGGGGAGATTTACAAAATAATGCTTTGCTGTTATGATCTGGACGTTATCTCAGAAGAAAGTGGGCAACTTGCAGGGTGTCCTGACTAAAACTTAAGCAGCTGTGCTTTAGCCATCTGTTTAAAAGGGTGAAACTATATCTGTACAAGGCAACGGGGCCCCAAACAGAACTGTGGTTTTCCATTTGCTCTGACATGTGTCGTATAATATGAAAAAAGAGCAAATGAGCATTGTTTCATAAAAAAGCAGCACAGCATTTATTTCCAAGTCTGCCCTCTTTTGTTTGGCTCTCTGTCAACATAAGCATTAAACTCAGAGTATCTGTTAAAGCATCTCTATTTCCTTGAAGCAGATAAGGGGCCGTTAAAGCAGATACAAGTCCATTCCACGACAAACGTCTCTTGGGGAAAACTTTGTGTGGCAAAACAGACCACGTCCATGCATGCAATCCTTTCTCCCTGGCTTACTGGTTCTAAGATTCTACTATTGGCTGTGTTTAGACAAAAACGCAGAACATGCCTCGATTAAATGAACTAATCACTTTGCAATAAAAACCCACTTTGATTTCTGAAGCAGAATGTAGAGGCGGCCAGGGGGAGCTGAGCTGTATTTTGGTGGAATTTAGGACAACACGCCTCCTCAGGATCTAGGTCTCATGGCTCTTCCTGACAACAAGGTGTCAATAAACCCCCCGTTTGTGCAAGCTACTATTGCAGTTTTCAGTTTATGTAAGCAGGAGCAGTCCCCAGCAAACAGCTAATCTCACAGGGATGATTTTTTAATCCTAAAAGGAACAGGGACGTTTGATCTCATTCTTAGCAGTCCATTAAATATCAGGCAATGGTGTGCACTTCGTGTCAGATCAAATCTTTGGTAAATGAACCACTACACACACATTTCCTAAAAGATGAAAAGGTCAGCTGCAACTCAGCAAACTGTCAAACACACAGAGTGAAATGCGGGCGATGCGGAGTGGGGGAATTTACCTGGCACCATATGTAACCCGTGTCAGCTCTGATCCTCCGTGGACGGTTGTTCTTCAGTGCTCCCACCGCAGATCCACAGTAATCCGTGTGATCATCGCAATGCCGTGGTGATGTCCTCGTGGTGAAGGCTGCTCGCCTCTGGCAGGTGATTCATCCACGACACCGACCGTACATGGTGCCACATCTATTGGCTCTGCTTCCACCACCCCCCACCACCACCACCACCACATCCGAGCTCCACGCTGAAGATCAGAAACTTTTTTTTTACAGTATTCGGCGCTATTCTTAGCGTCTCGCCTTTAAACACTTGATTGGATTAACATCGCGGTTTGACAGCGGCAGGTCAGGGCCACCAATAGCGGGTGGCTTGAGTTCAGCAATAGCGATTTAACTAAATCCGTCTGACGCCCAAAGGTGCGGTGGATCCCCGGGTCGGTGCGCTACTACGGAGAGAGCTGGGAAGGACAAACGGTCTCGGCGGACGCTGGCCTGCTGCCGTAGGGCTGCTCCCCAGCAATGGTCATAACACTGCGGGCTCTCTTCGAACAGGGGGTAAGGACGCGTAGTAGCCTCGTCTCGCTGCGGAGGTCGGTGACGGGACGTTTGTCCATGCCTCCGTCCCGGTGCTTTTGCGCTCTCCGCAGGCCCCGGGATATCTGCGCAGGGACACGGGGATGGGAAATAAATAAATAAGGAAATAAATAAATAAGACGCGATCCAGGGTGGGTTTTTTTTTTGGGGGGGGGTTGGGGGGAAAATTCAAACCACTCAGGGCCAAGTTAACGAATTTTTTTTTTTTTTTTTTTGCCTGATGTCCTCCTTGGCACCGCCGCTCGGTCACATGCGCAGAGCGTGGCACCGTGGACGCCGTGGAAGCCTTTAAGACTGATGCATAAATGGTGCCTTCACTGTTTCTGCTACGCTTAAGGTTTCGACAGAGCCCATGGCTTCGTTCTCAGTCTTCCCCGCTGCTAAATGGCCAGGGGATTATAAAACATCCAAATAAAACCTGAGTCATGCAAATAATCGTCCTCAGCTGGTTTTATTAGCGTAAGGTGTCTGGATAGCTGCATATTCCCTGTGTTATACATTCTAGGTCGGACCATCGAACTGACTTGCAACTATATTGTTATTGTACTGAAAATCAGATTAGTCACATTGATAAATGGAATATTTTATCAGTACAGCCAATAAAATGCGCATCTGGGCTCATTTAGCAGCCTCCCCAGGAATAAAGAATCACAAAAACACGATGCATGGTCATCCAGACTTATTCTGATGTGTCCCACACATTTTCTTTATGCAGACTGTGTGATATGTTTACAAAATATTAATGATATACCGTGCTGGGCGAATGTCTTGTGCCCTCCCTCTTTTTCTTACCATTGTAGGAAAAATGGTAATAGAGAGGCTATATTTTGAATTGCATTGAATTGTGGAAATACAATTAAGCAAATGCACACAGCTTGAAACCACTTAGACTTGTTTTCCTTTCTCCAGCAAACGTTTTGCTTTGTGGCTGTTCCAAATGAGTCTTTTGAGTATTGGTTTCTTTTTGTTTTTATTCTCTGTTAAAAAGATTTCAACCTATATTGATGAGTAATTGTGGTCAAAATGATCCGATAACTATTAGGACTGTTTAGATCCTGGCTTTGAGGAGTCCAGTCCATAGCTGATAGTGCACTACGAGTATTACTTTTTCATATTCAGGTATGCTTTTCTTACAGCGCAAGTGTGTTTTGTCATGCTGTATGGAGTTGTTGCTAGCCTGATACTTTACAGGTGGTATTACATGCTGATTCAAACCATAACACCACCTTGACGCTTTCATGATTCCTTCATCTTTGACAAGATTCTCTGAAATACTGGCTGACATGCAGCCTTGGACCATAACAGAGCCTCCACAGTATTTCACCAATGAATAGTTTCCCATTGTTATCTCTGTCCCTACCCCCGTTCATGCTAACTGGCAATAGTCGGGATCAAAAGTTGGATTGATGAAACCTTTGGGTACAGATTTTCAGCCCAGCTTTCGTGTCTTCAGACTATTCTCTCTGTTTCCTTTTCTTAAAAACAATTTCTTAACAGCCACGTTATCACTGAAGCCTTCTGCAGAGATACTTTTAGATGGATTAATCTGGATGACCAGCATCGCTCTGGTCTTTTGTCAGGTTTATGCTGGATTTTTGCTTTTGGGGGGGCATAGTGTTTCTTTCACAGGCTGGGTTTTTAGGTCCCCCTTGGTTCCATTTTAAAAGTGACTTTTAGGAAAGGTTTTGAGGTTTTCAGTCTTGGTACGAAGTGAATATTTAGTCTTGGAAACATTCTTTTCCATAGATTTAACTAAAATGGCAATGATTCTGTCTTTTTCTTTATGAAATACTGCTGGTTACAGAGTGCCTGATCATACTATGAAACAGCTCCGTTTACTGTTATGTGTAAACACAGCCCCGGTTCATCCCTGCTTGAGTGGTTCATAAGTCACTGTAAAGCAGCTTAACAAATAAACTAATGCACAAAATATCCCCAAAACATTCCATTACAAATGGTCAGAATATGAGTCAGACTAAACAGTATTAAAGCAGCCAAACTCCCAAGAACCCCCCTCCAAAAAAATAAAAAGACCAGCAGTTCAGAGTGGCTATCAGTACAGACTTTTCTCAATTAAAATTTATCTCTTTGGAAAAAAGAAAACCAATAGGTCTGTCTCAACACATGCATACACCAGAAGCCCACTGTAAAGCAAGGGAATCTAGCCTTTTTCACTATGGTAAACAACAGTATTAGAAATAAGAGGCTTCACAACGATCCGAACAACCATAGGGGGCACGAAATGATAAGCTAATTCATCAAGTCTTCCCCGGAACTGGACCAAAACACGGCATAGACGGAAGGAGAGGAGCAGGGCTGGATGGTGGATGTGGGAGGCGGTGGGTGTGTCTCCGTGGCTGAGTGACGCGCCGTGGGGACGCATGCCCCGTGCGCGCACCGCGTCCCGGCCTGTCAGTCGCGAGCCAGATGGAAACGTAGGCTATGATTCTGGTGAGGTCATGTATTTTTAAGCCGCACAACGGGACAAATCATCATTCGGCGGCGGCACAAACCCACAGTCAGCCGCTCCGGAGCCGTTCGCAGCCGGCCGGACCGCTAACAGGACCGATCGTTGGGTGGATTTGATGATAGAGGTAAGATGAGGGTTCACACCTCGGCTCCCGCAGACGCGCTCATTGTTTGGCCGTGGGGGAGGGTTATCTGCCTCACGCTGCCTCACTGGGGCGGCTGTTGTATTCTCGCTGCAGCCCCGCGGATCTCCAAAATACGCTGTTTTCCCTGCCTTTTAAAGACTTAATGCGTACGCAGCCCGGCTCAGATTGAATGGAGGCTGGTGTCCGCCGCCTACTGCGCTCTGGGCTTCTCTTCCAAGCCCCGTCACATCACTTTACGGGGGCCATTATTATTAGTGCGATCATGTCCTCTTGCTCAGTGTCCGCCCGGCTTAATCTGGGCTGCCTCGTTTCTGCAAGCTGAGCTCTTTTCCATATATTCATTTACCTCCCAGCCGACAAGACGGCGTGAGGGGTCGTTTGGTCAAGGTTAACACACTGAGGGGAGAAGAGGAGGCTACCGGATCGATAGGGGCTCCTCAGTCAGTTTCTGCTGCTCATCTGTGCATTGGAAAGTGTAGAGGGGAATTTATAGCCCCCTTGTCGTTGCATGTGGCGATTGAAAATGATTATTTCCATTTTGGATGAATTTGTAACACAATCTAACGTGACAAAGCGTCTGATCCACTGGGCACGTTATGATGGATGCCTGAGACCTGCCCTTTATCTCTTGAACAGCAGATGGGAGATTTGGCTTAATACTGGCTCGGTTGTTTGTTTGTATATATGTGGCATGTTACAAAAAGCAAGCTGACAACATGACATCAATTCCTGAGTGTGTGGGTTGCCCCTTTGTCAAATGGTCCGAACCAGCACTGCTGGAAACCAATTAGGCCTTTTTAAGTATTTGAAACCTTACATTAAACCCTCAGACGGATGCAGCATGTTTACAGAAAACAAGTGTGTAGTCATTGTAAAGGATGCACACAACTGCTCCTGCCTCTGTGCCGAGCATATTAAAGCTCCCTGCTGTCATTTCCATCTTCATCTCTGGGAGTTAAGGCATCTGGAGTGCCGCATGAGAGCTCTAATGTAGCTGCTGTGTTCCCTGTAAATACTGCTGCGGACACAAAAAACGCCATCCAAAAGACCGGAATTGATTTCAGAGGAATTTGTTGATGCAGCAAGCAGCTGTACAGCATCATGACAAGTTATCTCAGCAGGATACATTAATATTAACGCTGTGTTTGGCCTCGGAAATTTATGGCGGCCAGAGATATCGAGTGACAATTCTCAGCCCGTGGTTTCCCTCCTCTGCAATTGCCTGACCTTAATTATTTTCATGGATGACTGTTATTGCTAAAAATAAATCGTGTGGCGCGAGCAACACATCTCTGCAGTTTTTTACCAACGAAGTATCCATTCAAGCCATCGCTGCTCACAGTCGACTTCCTGTGTGTGTTATAAAAGAAGCAAGGCGTCTATTTTCATGTTGCGAGGGAGGCGGATGTTACGGACGTCTTGGTGACGTCTTTCTGTGAGGAGCAGAAGGGGAACTGACTCATTTGATTCTGGCACTTGTCTCTCAATATGGACCGTGTGTCGGGAGCTTGGGTTGAATGGAGAGGCGGATCTCAGCTTGTGTCGGAATGAAAACAAAAATTTCATTTTTGCGTGTTTTCAAGGTGATCCTGTTTTTACGTCAAAAAGCTAAACGTGCTTGGGAAATGTCATAGACACAACCTGGCTTCTCCCTGTTGTGTTTTAGTGGGGTCCGCAGCACGCTGGTGCAACCTGACCCAGTTATCATGTGTCCGTGGCAGATCTGCATGAGGAACTGAGGTTCTGGGCTGCAGTCCAAACGGAGGAATTATCACTGGGCTTGTTTTTTTCAACGTGCCAGAGTCCCTCTGCGAGTTATGTTTCATATGATGAAGTGGACCTCTGAGTGGCCTGCTCTAAAGCACGCCTAATGATATCAAATCTTCCACCCATGTGTGTCTGCTGAGTTAGGGAACTGCAAATGTGAAAGACAGCAGCGTCTTGTCTCCCTCCTTAGCGGCTTTCTCGGGTGTAACATTTTGTTGTCTGTGTTTTTCGTCACTGGCCAGTCTGCCCTTGCACTTGTCATGATAAAGATCACAAAGACTTTAATGATTTTTGTTTTCTCATTTCACAGAGGACATTTTTGGATGTGCATAAAGCAGTTTTCGAAGAACTAACCATGAACAAAAACAGGAAAGAACGAGAGTTCTACAGCCTCGATGTGGGGGATTCAACATTCACAGTTCTGAAACGATACCAGAATCTCAGGCCCATTGGCTCAGGAGCGCAGGGGATCGTCTGGTGAGTTTTTCAGCCCCGTCCAAATTCTGCTAACAGCTATGTGGGCAAATTGTGGTCGTTTCCATCACGCCGCTGGAACATAACCCAGAATCGGCGAACGTTTTCCGTCACCTTTTTCTCTGCTCCCCAGCTCTGCTTATGACCAAGTCCTTGAACGAAATGTTGCCATCAAAAAGCTGAGTCGGCCGTTTCAGAATCAGACCCATGCCAAGCGGGCCTTCAGAGAGCTAGTCCTAATGAAATGTGTCAATCACAAAAATGTAAGTGTGCAGCTATTTTAAGATACTTTACTTTTCAGTAGTGAGACACAGGCTGGTTTTTGTGTGCATAAATGTGTCCAAAATCCCTATGTAAATGGAACATTTTCTAATTTTGACTCATTTTATTTGTGTCTGCTCACAGATTATTGGTTTGTTAAATGTATTTACGCCACAAAAATCATTTGAAGAATTCCAAGATGTGTAAGTACCTGGACGCTCAGTATTAAGATTTGTAAATAACAGTAGAATCTGTCAAATGCATTTCCTAAGAGTCCTTTCAGCTCCAACTTTTCTGGTCCTGTTAGATACTTGGTGATGGAGCTGATGGATGCCAACCTGTGCCAGGTTATTCAGATGGAGCTTGACCACGAGAGGCTTTCCTATCTGCTCTATCAGATGCTGTGTGGTATCAAACACCTCCATGCTGCTGGCATCATTCACAGGGTAAGCAGAAGCTGTCCAGGAATAAACTGCATAATGGCAATCCAGCGTCTTAAAGTGTGAAGTCCCGAAATGTTGGACCTGCTGTGTTACATGACATTGAAGTGTTAGAGCCAACGGTCAAGTGGTATCATGCTGTGTAATGAATGTAGTCCTTTGATAGACAACTAAACTCTTTAGAACATTGATTGTGTAACTTTGTATAATATGGATATCTTTAAAAAAAAAAAAAGCAGTTTGCATCAATGTCATCATTAATAACAGATTGATAGTGGCTACTATCACATTATACAAAGTCCTCATGAGGGCAGTTTTACAATGTTAGAATCATTATTTCTTCTTAGAATGAAGGAGTAGCGGAACTCTGTAGGAGGAGAAAAATCAATATAGCTAAATGCCAGCTTATTTGTCTGCAAATAAGGAAATAACATCAATAAGTACATTCTTACTGCAGAGAGGGGAAATTCCAGCTCATTAGCTAATAGTTTAAAACCAATTAATATGTGACTTTTAAAAAAAACACACAATTTTGTTGGTCAATACTTTGCAGTTTGGGGTCCATTTTGTTTCACCATGATAGACTTCATGCCTCTTTCCTTTCCTACTTACATCCAAATAGTACATCAAAGTTATTGGTTCTTGTTGGAAAAATTGAAAGAAATCACATTCTCATGCTTACTTCTTCATAGGACCTCAAACCAAGTAATATAGTTGTCAAGTCTGATTGTACGCTGAAGATATTGGACTTTGGCTTGGCCCGGACTGCCGCCACAGGCCTCCTGATGACGCCATATGTTGTTACGCGCTACTACAGAGCACCAGAAGTCATCCTGGGCATGGGATACCAGGCAAACGGTGAGCGGTTTCCTTAATATTCCATCAGTTTTTTATTAAGTCAGTGGTGTCTGCGGTGATTTTCAATGCACAGAAATGACCTGCAGACAGAACATATGAAGCTCTTTTTAGATGGTTTTTCTGCATTAGATCTTTTATAATTTGCACTGAGGCTTTTAAAGATGAACCTTTCAGTTTGTGCTCTGGAATCTGCTTTCTTCTGGACATAATGAGATGCTGTTGGAAGAAGATGCTCACTAACAAGCGACTTACTTGAAACTAACCTTTTGTTATGCATTCCTGCCTTCTTACGAGCTTTTCTGTGTCCCACTTCACTAGTGGACATATGGTCTGTGGGCTGCATTCTGGCAGAAATGGTTCGCCATAAAATCCTTTTCCCAGGCAGGGACTGTATCCTTATGTCTGTTTAATATTTATTTTCTGTTAACCAGATCAGTCTTTGTTATATCTTTATGCTTCCGTCAGACGTTTCTCTAATCTCATTCCGTGTAGGGTAGGGCCAGTATACTGTAACCGAGTGTAAGAGGTTTTATTTAAAGCTGCTGGGCAGTTATGGGCTGTACATTTTCATCAGAACGTCACTTAACTTTTTCATGTGCTCGGCCGTGCTCTGTGTGGCTCTCTCTCATATATCTGCTTCTTGCTGCATGGACTCAGTTTTCACCCACCGTACGTTTGCCATTCTGTTTTCATCCCTCTCACTTCATTTATTTGTTTTTTTTCTGCTTTTTTCCTCCATTTTGTTCGCACAAACCTGTCCCCTGTCATCTCAATGTCCACCTCCAGTGGATGTATGGTCAGTGGGCTGCATAGTGGCCGAGATGATCAGGGGAAGTGTGTTGTTCCCCGGCACTGATCGTATCCTTCTCCATCACTTTCATCACTCCATTTGTCATGAAGGTCACCATCACCAGAGTTCCCTCTGTTGTTCTGTTGCTCCACCCTGCAAACCCTCCATGACCTACATTTTGCTCTGCAGTACTATTGTGAGAATGTCAAGCAAAATTAGCAGATGAACAACAGTAGTAGAGTGTAGTCATTTACTTAATGCATTGTGTGTTTGTGTTTCAAAGGTCTGGGAACTGTTCAGAATTTCCTTTATTTCCACTTAATTATGACCAGAGACATCTTCAGATTGTAGACGATTCTCATCAAATATCAAGGAGAAGCATAGAAGTTAAAAATCAATTGAAAACATTTAATAATTAACATATTTTACATATCCGTGAGTGAAAAAAGTTTCAGATCTTGGGAACTATCATAGCTGGATGAAGCACACGTTGTGAAAATAAAAAATCCAGCAAAAGAAAATGGAAGTTTCATGGTTTATGTTGAGTGTTGTCCACTCAGTGATGAACTCAAAAGTCAGTTTCGTAAAATTTGACAAAGATCCCACATAATTCAGGTTGCTCTACTAAACATTGTTTGGAGGGAATATAAGTTAATGTTGAGGAATGACCAAGTCAAAGTCCTGAATTCAATACAACAGAGGTGGAAATCTTTGCAGTTATTTGCCCGACATGGTCACACCTAACATTGACATAAAATATTTACACCCTTTACAGAGATTCCTCCCACTAACAGATACACAATGCTGCTCTCTCAGGAAATGATTAAATATTTTACTTTCGTCTGGTTCTTTGTATTGAGTTGTATTTTTATCGTAATATATAAAATTCTGAATTGTGGACGAAGAATTTCAGCCCAGTTTAAATTGGATCATCTAAACGTGTGTGTGTGTGGACCCAAAGAGCTGTGAGGTATTTGTGTGCACCTCAAAGAAAGTTAAATGTCATGCTGCCCTTATAGTGTGTTACTGTATCAGTGTGTGTCTGTGTTTGCAGAAGGCCTTTTTTCCCCTTAACATTTCCACTTCAGACATCGACCAGTGGAACAAGGTAATTGAGCAGCTAGGCACTCCAACTCAGGATTTTCTAATGAAGCTGAATCAGTCAGTTAGAACATATGTAGAAAACAGACCACGTTATGCCGGATACAGCTTTGAGAAGCTCTTCCCAGATGTCCTATTCCCTGCCGACTCTGATCACAATAAACTGAAAGGTAGTGTTCCCTGTGTTTTTCAAATTTGGACTCAAACAATCAGAAAGTCATTTATCATACCCCGTCCATAGTTTTGTGATTAATAGTCTGCATCCTATCTGTGTGTTGCATCTTCCCCCAGCGAGCCAGGCCAGGGATCTCTTATCCAAGATGCTAGTGATTGATGCATCGAAGCGTATATCTGTAGACGAAGCCCTCCAGCACCCGTATATCAATGTTTGGTACGATCCAGCAGAAGTGGAGGCGGTAAGTGGATCACTGATTGGACTGCGTGATTCTTGAAGCACGACACAAGATTGTATTGCATCACCTGAAGTGGAAAGTTGGCATTGCACTTGTACCCTCGTGGTGCCATTCAAGCTATCTTGTCTTTCTCAGCCCCCTCCGAAGGTCCTAGACAAACAGCTGGATGAGAGAGAGCACACTGTGGAGGAGTGGAAAGGTTAGAGGACTTGCTGAGCTTCTTAAAGCTCCACTCAACATTTCACTGCTTACTGCCAGTTAACTGCTTTCAAGGTTTCTGTCATTCAAAAGTGTTGTGACTGAATTACATTGCTGAACTTTTCAGTAATGACATTTGACAGCCACGTAATGTCAGCCACTTTACATGTTGACATGTATTCACTTTGATTTGTTGGTCAGATTTTCTGTTTGCGTAGTAACACAAATTCAGCCTGACTGGAAAGAGTCGTTGGTGCAGTTAGAAATGATCTAGATATGGAAACAAACAGCTCCTGGGAGGTGTGACACGTGGCTCAACAGAGCCTTTTAAAGCCTCCCAGTTAGTCTTTTCCACTGAGGGGAACCTGATTCTGCTGCTCACAGGGGAGAAGTATGATTGTGAGTAAATATCACTTTCAGTTGTGCAGCGAGATGAGCTCATCCTGCTGCCTGCCAGGTGATAATGACCCCTCACTCATTTTTAGAAGGGTCACACCAGCATAGTTGGTCCAAACTAGAAACGCAAAGCTGTTTGGACTGTAGAGTATGCGATATATCCAGACTATACAGAAAAGTATATGACACTAAGTTACACACACACACACACACACACATTGATGGTTCTGCTCTGTGTCTTTGGTTTCACATGACCTTTTGCTTTCTGTAACTTTCAGAGCTAATTTATAAGGAAGTAAGTGAATGGGAGGAATTTTCAAAGAATGGTGTGATAAGAGGCCAGCCAGCTCCTTTAGGTGAGTAATCATTATAACTTTGAGAAATAAAAGAAAAATGTGTGATTACAGTCAATCAATAGGAATTTATTTATCAAAGAGTCACATCTTAGGTATTTATCAGAGGTTTTATCAAAGCTTGAAGGTATCATCATTAGATTTGGATAAATGACTGATTCTTCATGATAAGTTCACCGATGGCATCTTTGAGCGGTACAGTGTGTCTAGTTGTTTCTTATCATTTCAATAGTGAGGTTCAGTTGTAGTGGAGTAAATACAAATATGGTTATGAAAATAATGATGCTAAAATATAAAATAAAGATAAAATATTTTCTTATAATATTCTAACTAATCAAGAACTCCATATTGGGAACAACTTTTAAATGTAATAATGCTAGATTTACATTATATATATTGCTAAAAAAGTTTACCTATTTGTATTAGTCTTCAAAATCCTCACTTTTCATGTTTCACAAAATGGCTTCTTTAGCAGCAGTTCATTAATGGATGTGAACTGCCTGACTCCTCTCACATTAAACATTTTGCCTCTGCAAATTGGGACTTGGAAGATTATTTATAACATGAATGCAGTTATTATAAGAAAGTAACAACTGACTTTAAGTTAAAAGAAACTAAAAAAATCATTAGACTCTGAGCTTATCAGAAAATGTCAGTGTTCTGTGTAAATTTCTATAAAACCTATGTGTTGACGTGTTTTTCGCAGCACAGGTGCAGCAGTGATCGACAGCCCTCCTCAGCCCACATCCTCTTCTTCCTCCTCTTCGTCAGCTAATGATGTGTCGTCCATGTCTACAGAGCCCACTGATCCCAGCAGTGACCCCACTATGGCCTCTGAGACGGACAGCAGCCTGGACAGTCACACCTCTCTGGGTGCGCTGGCCTGCTGCAGATAACATCTGCACACAAAAAGAAACTTTTCCTCATCACTTCATATGATGAAGAGGAGTGAGGCAAAAGGAACTCATGTTAGTTTGTAGAGCTTCGCTTTTACTGTACAGTTTGTCCGCCCCCCCCCCTCGCAACCTATACTGCTGTAAATGATTGTGGTTTGAAAATGTATCATGATTATTGTATTTTTGCTGCAAAGAATCAAATTATGTTTTGATGTGAAACTGTGATGTATGTAATGAAAGAAAGGGATGTGAGTGTCCTTTACACACCGCTGTTTCTTTAACCGTGGCTACAACATCAGACTTCGATACTGTTAGCATTGCAAATCCATGTTGAGTTTATTCTTCTTATTGGCTTTTCATGCACAGTTGTATTGGACATTTCGAGGGAATCTGAACAAGTTCCGTTTAACATTAGCACGGTCCAAGCATTAATGATTTCCCCCCCAAAGTCATTACATTTTTCTTCCAGAAAGCAGCCCAAATTAAATGTATTTGCTTTTACGTTGTGCCTCTTAACAGGCATTGAAAAAGTCTGTTGCCCTAACAGAAGTGTGTTTTAGCTTTCTAGAACTGACTGAATGGATATCATCTTTTTACTGACTTAGATATATTTTTTAGCTGACGGTCTGTTAGATGAGGAAGAACTTGGTGAATGTAAATTTGCAGAAATTGTGGAGCAGAAAGGAGTGTTTTTTTTACTGCTGTAAAAACCAATGTGAATGCTGTAATTGTGGACTGCCACCAGAGTCTAATTTTGTCACTTTATACTTTTGGCTTGATATGTCAGACACTATTTACAGTTGACTGATATTAATCACTTTTAATTTAAGTGCCCTTACTCAGTTGAGTGAATTTTTAATCCTCTGGCAGATGCCCTTCTCCTCTGTGATGCTTCTTTCTTAGTTCTACCTCACACACTCACACAAACAAATCCACACTCTTAGAGATATGGTATTATAACACATTAATGTTTTTTTTTGTTTTCTTTATTTATTTTAAGCTAGGAGGCATCTATTGTATGTTATGTACATCTCATTCAAAGGTACTATTTATATGCATCTTATTAATTTTTTTGGTGAAGTATAATTCATGGATAAGTATAGTAAGTGATTGATCTGTACATTTTACTGTAGATGTATCTGTGTTTTCTGACAACCAGAAAACCAGCCAGGGTAACCTTTGGATGTATTTGACAACTCAAATTCCCAAACTGTCCTCTTGCCCTTTTCATGGTTGGGCACTCTAGGCAGTAACCCTTTAGAATAAACTCCCAGAATGCACTTTGGGGGATTGTGACACATGTCCTGACCCTTTCTTCGCCTCTGTTCAAATGATTGTTGTGATTTTCTCTTCTGTGGTTATTCCTTCCTCGATCTCTTAGACAAATAGAACTGTTAGACTAGACTTACATATTAATGCAGAAAGACATCCAGCATCACTGGGATGATGCTGCTGTCTTGTGCTGGTCTGGCCAAACACTGTCAGCAAAGGGTTAAAATAAGTTTTTTGCATTTTGGTAAGACCAGATGTGGATATTTTAGCCTTTTGTTTGGAATTCGCCTCAACAGACCAGTTACACTATACATTAGAAAAAAATCATCTACATTCAACTCCATCAAATAAAAGGGTTGAATTTTGATGTCTCATTTGTTCTTTTTTTCAGTGTAAAAAAGGGAACTTATTATATGCATGGGATTTCTACACCACAACATATATAAGGCCTTCACTGGTCTTCAAGGGGTTGAACTTGGGAAGAAATTCTCTCTATGGTGTATATTCATACAAAATTTTATGGAATGACAGAATGAGAGATTCTTGGTCCTGAAATGTTTTTGTATGGCACCAGTGCTGGTCAGTGTAGGCACAAGACAGACAAGAAAATGAGGGCATGATGGCAATTAGCACTGCACTAGAGGTATTAAGTCTTAAAAGCTTTAGGGCTGGTTGTTCTTTCCAGGGACTGAGCTCTTCCAGGACCAGGTGAAGGCTGTTTGGTCTGCTTTAGTTGGTCCGGGTTGAACCTGTTGTCAGGTCTCCAAGTGTTTTGAAGAATTCCTCCATCTCTTGCTGGAGGAGAAGGTTTCGATTTTCTGCGTCTTGATGCGCCCGCTCCGAATTCCTGAGTCGGATCTCCAGCATGTGAAACTTTTTCTTCTCCTGATCCAGCTCCTCTTCGAGACGATTTACCTGGGACTGGTATTTGGAACAGGACTCCTCCAGTCTGAGAAGAAAGGAGAAATGGTGACAGATTACATTTAAAGCTGATTTGTATTAGTTCTAATAATAAGAGAGAACAACTGACTCAGTCTTACTTGTGAATGCAGGTTTCGTAGCTCATCCTCTGTTTCTTCAACTCCTGCTTGAGCTGGGTGAGCATGCTCATAAAATCTTCATTTGTTCCAGCGACATCCTCCTCATTGCCACTAGCACTGTTTTCTGGAGTCTTTGTACCATCTCTCATATCTGCAGGTGTCTTTTGAACCTGTTCTAGTTTCACTGCCGAATCACTACTCTCAGGTTCTGAGAGGGAGATCTCAAATGAGGTCCACATGGATGAGTTGTCAGCTGGCAGGCTTAAGCTGGAAGGAGCAACATTGTCATAGGCAGACAGTCTGTGGGACTGTTGGAGGACTCTGTTAGACAGCGACGTTCGAGAAGAGTCTTCATCAGAGTCTTTCTGTGAGTCTCTAAGTGAAAGAGTGGTTTCTTTAAGGGAAAGTGTTGAATCCTTCAGAGACAAAGTGGAGTCTTTCACTCTTTCTCCAGATGAGGTGGTGCGCCTGTGAGCTCGGAGGGATGACAGACCATTCATCAGCCAGCTGCTTCCACCAGCTGCTGACACATCTCCTGCCGAGCCCCCTATTTTCCCTCTTGGCCCCCCGGAAGCTGCGCCGCCCTTAAAGGAGCTCTTCCAGGAGGGTAGAGCTTTAGGCTGTTTACTAGGGCTCACAGCTACCTCACTGCCTTCGGTTTTACCATCCACTTTTCCGTCCACTCTCTGATCGGTGTTGCTTTGAATTTGTCCCTCAATCTGACCATCGTCATCTTTTTCCAATGAAACAGTGCTTGATGTCGTGGGTTTAGTTCCGATAAAAGTCGTGTCAGATGGAAGAGTTTCTATTGGAGTTTTGGAGGCCACGCCTGTGCAAGGGGCAGGGTCGGTGTCTCGCTGTGAAAGCCATTCCACTTTGCACCGTTGTGTCTCCGGATGAGATGCAGACTCAGTTCTGGCCTCCTTGTGTGGATAGAGTCTCAAGTGTTCACTGATTAGCACAGTCATGAGATGCTGGACCTGGGAACTTCCTGTTAATTATGACAAACACAGTAAAGCTATTTGAGAATTTTTTATGCACTGTTTGGAAAGTATGTTTTTGATGAGAACCGGCTATAAAATAACACATTGGCCTGATATCCTACCTTCCATCATTGTGACAGGATCCTCCACTCTAGGCCGAAGGATGTTGGGTCCAAACACAGTTGCTAGGTTCTGAACACTCATCTTATTGTCATTTGAATGTGACTGTACCTCATCAAGAAACCTTGAAGGAAATACATGAAATTTAAGAAAGCAAAATATGGAATTTTGATGGCTCCATCTTTCAGTGATAGAGGCCAAAATGATCTTTTCCATCAAAAAGAGATTGAAATGATGATAAAGAAGGGCTGAGTCATAATTACTGAAGCGTGTGGGCTCAGCTTGGGATATTTTCATACACACAGAGAACAGGGGGGTGGGGGGGCTCACTTATATAGTCATTGATGTCAAGAATGTGGGTGGAATTGATGTGATTTCTCTATATTCACTGGCTCACGTGGTGTGCTAACTGTGACGTGGAAACCCCTAACAAAACTCTAAATTGGTTTCATAGCAAATAGCAAGAAATGGTTTACGTACCTGCAGATGTATTTGAGGAGGTTATAGTTGACCTGAGGAAGGGATTTCACCTGTTTAATTAGTTCAGTTATGGCCTGAAAAAATATAAAAATAAAATGTTTTGTTATTGCAAATTGAATATAAAGAAATATGTAAGTGTCTGAAAAACAGCATCTCATTACCAGATCTTTATCCTTGGTGAGAAGTTGAGCACAAGAGAGAAACTGTGTGTATTTTGAGAATGGTATTATAGGCTCTGGTAGCTCCCGAATGTACAACTTCAGTAGTGACGCCACTGTGTGGACATCAGTGGAACTGTAAGAGAGGGGATCCAACATATGAGCATAACATCAGATAATACATCACATAATGGCTTGGCGTGCTGAAGTGCAAAAAATGGCCCCTGCCGCTGCATCACCTGTCAAATGCTGGCTTCTCGCCACGGTCGAAGGCATCCTGCAGCTCTCGAACACTATTAGTTTGCCCAGGGGCTCTGAAAAGACCCTCCTCTTTGAGGCCATGCTCCCGTATGAAGCAGGCACATTGTTCCACCAGGACTGGCACTGTTCGCCGAGAGCCAGACTGGGCCTCATATGACATAGTCTCCTCCAGGTGCTGTCCGAACACACCTGCAACCACACAACCCAAATGATGTCAGGCCAGGAATTGACCCATGTGTCCTATGTACACTTCTTAAATCATGCATGTACAAGAGCTTGTGTGCATGTATAAGAGTCTCACCTCCTCCCAGTGGAGCCCATATAGCTCTTCGTATGGCTCTGACCCATTCCTCCATGTCACTGAGTGAGTTGGCCATCAGTAGGAATGATTCATGGCTTACGCCGCTTCGATCCCTTTCTCCAGTCCCTCCTGAAAACACAGCCATACCTCATTAGTCTCTGAATCAATGTGGCAAAATGATGAACATATTTCAAAACCACTTTAACACTTTGAGATTCCACACAAGATACTATTTTCACAAATGAAATGTAAATGTGAAAACCCTGCCTATTGGATATATCAGTGTGAATATTTTTAATAACCCTATTAACCCAAGCACCCCTGTGATGTACAAAGAGATAGTCATGCAGTGCTGCCTTTCCTTCCTCTCAGTTAACCCAGCTTGTGACCACCAGTTTTGACATTTAGGTTTGACATTTGGCTTATTTCACCAGAGCTTCGTTCACCAGAGAGACTTTGTGGACATCCCTCTGAAGAACTGGCCAATCTAGGTTTACAAAAGACACAAAAGCTTCATCAGTTATGTGTCCTGCATTTTCTACATAGCCCTACACCGTGGTGCATAGTGTTGTAAGTGAAAGAAACAACCCAGAAAGAATAGCAATCCCAGGGGACAGCAGCAACTGCACCATACCTCTCACTCAGCTGCTTTTCTTTCTCTGTCCAGACCCTTTTCCACAGTCTATCTGTATCGTACTATCCACTGACAAATTTAGTCTGCAATGTATAACTTAAATCAGTTTTACAGATTAAAAAAGGAGAGTATTTTCCATGTTAACCAATTTATATCAGTTGTTTTTTCAAGGTATTGTACAGTCTATGTGCGGATCCCAGTTGCAATTTTCTTAAATTAAGATATTCTCTCAAGAAATTAAAACACTACAGATGATGAATGCATGTGAGCATCTGATCTTCTTTTGTTATGATCACAAACCTTATGTGAAGATTTGAAATATCAAGACAAAGGAGGGATGGTAGCGATATATATATTGTTGCACGAAAGCTGTACACTTAAAATAATTTTATTTTCACTTTCCGTCCCACATGTAATATAGATTAACGGGTGTATCTTGCAACTGTAGTGATCCCAATCTTTATTGTACCAATCTTGCCTTAGAAAAAGGGCACCTGCACCAGGATCTGTTCTGCCTATGGGAAATTATTTGAAATGTATTTTTACTCTATTTTAGTCAGAAATGTTCTAATAAAGATCAATAGTGTCTGTGAAAAATCTGCAGGGGATCCATTTATGCATGTTTGAATGCTTTCTTTCTCTCCTCTGTATTTCCTTTCTGTCTGCTCTGTCTATGATGTGATTAACAGCAGAAAATGAATTATATTGGTATTGAGTGCCTGGACTTTAGTAATCATCTTTTCTGCCACCTTTCTGCTACTTTGCATATTCCATGCATGTGTCCTGGCCTACAGCGGTGCGTGGCTATTGATTTACTCTAGAGTCTTTTTCCATTCATCCCTTTCCTCCTGGACCAGCAATGGTTAAACAGAAATGACCACGTGCCTGTGATGTGCGGTTTCTATTTTAAGCAACACTGACACATGGTTAGAAATGATCCAAATTTCTAAAAAGGTTGACACTGTAAAATATTAATAAAGGCAAGGGAATCATTTACAGAAATTCCACAGTACAGAACATAGAAAAACTATACGAGAAATATGGTATCATCAGCAAAAGTGTGTGGATCAGGGTATCAAAGTCTAGAAATGCAACTGGCAAAACCAACATGTGGCAAATCTATTCTGTTAAAAGATAGGCTTAGACTTAGACTCAGACTTCCTTTATTGTAATTGTACGAAAGCACACAGCCGTTGCTTGGCTACCAGGTATAGCAAGGTCTGTACGTAGGATTTGCGATAAATAATTAAAAAACCTAAACTAGAGAGATATAACTATAAATATAAAAAGAGCTGAAAAAAGTGATGACAGATTAAATATCAGTGACATGGCCGCATCAAATAAAGCACTGTATAGAATTAGAGTGTCTCACGTGGTAAGGGTGTTCAAAGTTTTAGCAATCTGCATGAAACTGTGACAAATATAGCAGAGAAAAAATAAAAATAAAAGTAAAACATTCTTAATCTTAAAATTGGTACGTTTTCCATGATTTACATTACATGATTTCAAAAGAAATCCTGAGATCTCCCAAGAAGGATAAAGCCCAAAATACTGGTGATATTCATGTCCTTAAGTGCCATAGTATTAAAACCAAGTCTCATACTTACATTTAAATACTTTTTGGAAATCATGGAACCCAATACTAAGACTATCTGGCTTATTATCAGTGTGATTCCTATGGAACTGGCAACTCACATATATTTCTTGATTTGTCACCATTCAACAAAGGAGATGAAGGTCTGTTTAGCAGCTACAATCTTGTTTAGAAAAGAACTCCCTCTCCCAAATGTCCAACAACTAGTCTTCGGAGTTAAAAAATATTCAGATTAGTGTAGAAGATGATGGTGCTGCTTGAAAACTGAAAACGTGGGGTAATTTGGAAAAACACCGCAGCCAGTCGATGAGTACGTGCGTCATCCCTCCCTCTTTTTGGCATTCAACACTAAACAGAAAATGCAACATCACTATAACAATAGAGCTGCCATTATACCAACTCACCTGGAACAATTTCAAAAAGGTGGCGCCCGGGCTCATCCTGATTGGCAGGTACCTCATTGACATGGCAACCCTGAAGAGGAATGCAACCCTGCACATAGAAAAGAAAAGGAAGGTTTGAGATACACAGAAAGACAAGTGGTGGGTCTGGACTTGGATGTGTGGTGTACGCTGCACATTATGGAGTTGTAAGCACACTGGACTCTGGGCAGCTGTCCAACAGAGCAAGGTAATGATGATGGAGGGAGGGATGACTCAGTGAAATATCTCCTCATCTACTTATCCCTTCGGTAGTTTTGAATGAACTTGAATTTGTGATCCCGGTAGCAAAGTAGAGGTCTAAAGTCAACTACTAAGTGCTTATACCAGCACCAAAGGGCAGCTAGTGTTCACATTATCAGTGTGTGTGTCGAAGCAGTAACACAACACAATGGCTCTGAAGGAAAGTGAGGGGATGTGTCCATTGACCAATGTGTAAATGATGTATGAATCGAGTTAAGGCATAAATGCATGTCCAAAATGTCATAAAATCATAATTAAAAACAAGGTATTATATAAAAACAGGTCTAATATAAAAACAAAGATTATAAAGAAAAGTTAAACATTTTACTGGAACACTTGCATGACAGTTTTTGTCTCTTAACATGAGACAGTGTTCATGTTATAGACTGGCTGCCTCTGTGTTGAAATACTAATCAGATTAAGTTACACTGATATTCAACAAAACTGAATCCAAGCTTTAGACAGGTGAAAGATTGCTCTACATGTGTGTTATGTTGACACACCTGTGCCTTGCTCTCATCTTGGTCCTTGTAGAAATACAGAGCTTCAGTCCTCAGGACGAACCACCGTAGCTGCCAGTTTTTCATGATACTGCGCTGCCTTTTCAGCCATCCTGCCTTCAGGGCTTTCTCCTGCTCCAGGGGTGAGCAGGGCCTGGAGAGCCGAGACAACTCTCCAAGCACCATGCTCTTGGATCGTGCTGCGTGGTCACAAAAAGATCAAACCAAGGAAAGACAGTTTGCAGGATTAAAAATATCAGAGGGAGTTAAGACAATATAGTTACATTAAGACATAATGCATATGAACATGCATCAAGCTGTAGCTAGAGATTTCCTATGGTTTTTTGCCTAATTGGTTTCAAATATTAATAGGAGGAAATGCTGTTTCGCTACAGCCTGGTTCAGATCAGCCAACCTTTTACTTGCTACGGAGAGATTGCAAGAATGGATTATATATTAGCATTTGTATGCCAGTGGTAGAAAGCAAAATTAGTGACAGTGGAATGATCCCCGGGGAGTGAAGGAGAGAGATAAACAGAAGGCAGAGAGAGAGGGGAGAACAGGGAGGAATCAATGGCGTCTTTTTCTGTTAATTGCATCCTGCATTCTGCTGAGGACAGCAGAGAAACTATCTGTAAGGGGCTGGTCTGAAATCTCTCTTTCCATTTCTCTCCACCACATTCCCTGTCTCTCCCTCACTCTCGCTTATCAGCTTTCTGTCTGAGAGACTCCTCATTTTATTTCTCTCCTTTCTGGATGTCCTTGCTTTGCAGAGTCATGATTGCTGACAATGGAAAAATGAAAGCAATTTGGGCAGTTATTAGCAAAACAGCAGAAGCAAGTTGCTGTTGATATACATTTAAAGTTGGCATAGTCATGTCTTGTACACCTTTAGTAAAGTAACAGGAAATATCTAGAAGGAACCAATTTATTGAGCAAAGGGTTATCATGTAAAACAATTAAGTTGTTGTTGACTGCATTGATTATGTTCCTCAAATTGAATCCCTAATTGTTGTCAAAAGGGCAGCCCGGTGTGGTGGTTAGCACCATTGCCTCACAGCAAGAGGGTTCTGGGTTTGAGTCCCCGGGGAAACCAGGACCTTTCTGTGTGGAGTTTGTATGTTCTCCCTGTGTCTGGGTGGGTTCTCTCCGGGTTCTCCAGCTTCCTCCCACAGTCCAAAAACCTGCATGTTAGGTTGATTGGACATTCCAAATTGCCCTTAGGAGTGAGTGTGTGGTTGAGTGTCTCTGTGTGGCCCTGTGATGGACTGGCAGACCATCCTCCCCCGCGACCCCGTTAGGGAATAAGCGGTTCCTTTGAAGCTTCATGCTCCTAAAATCTGGAATGGTCTTCCTGAAGATTTGAGACAGGCCTCAACTCTGACAATGTTTCAATCCATACTGAAATTGGTTCTGTTTAAGTGTGCATTTGGAAATAGAATGTATTTCATCTATACCCTTTACTATGTCTAATTATTATTATTTTTATTTTCTTGTTCTTCTACATTTTTATTCTTTGTGAAACACTTTGAATTGTCTTGTACATGAAATGTGCTATACAGATAAACTTTCCGTGCCTATATTATTTTTTTTAAGTAGCTGGTGAATATCTGAAAGAGAGAAAGGTTTCAGGTTCAAATTGAATACAATTATAAAATACGATAAAATACACGCCTAAAATAGTAAACCACCCCACCTGTTACACAGCTCTTAACATTGGACTGTTTGGGCTGTTTTACAGTTTTAACAATAAAGCTTGGCTGAGACTAGACATATTAATGACAAGATAAACTGAATTTCTCCGTGAAGGGACAAATTAAGCAGTTTTATATTCTGTTCTGTTCTATTCTAACACAATAAAACATGAATTCTCTCAGTGAGGCCCTCAGGACGACGGCAGTTGAATGCAGAGTACAGAAAAAAATGACTTTATATCCACAAAGAAATGTGCATATGTTCCAATTATTCATAATGGGATCAAATACATTTTATCTTGAGATAAATGTCAATGAGCATTTCATAAACTACAGCCCAAAGAATGCATAATGAATGAATTGCTACATGATGTATTTTAGCATACTTCGGTGACGAGACCAGAAAAACTAAACAAAGAAACAAACAAAATAAAGACAGAACAATCCAGAATTCCCAAAATATTAAAAACAGTTCCAGTGAAAGTCAACACACAGGCAGCCTTTTGTAACATATATATATATATATTATAAATATTTTTTTTCAGCTCTTCCACTGGCTTGAATTTATATGTTTATTTTTTACATACTTTTATAAATCATAAGATGTCTCATTGCTCCACATTTATCTGATCTACCGTAATTCTCGTTTTTTGTTTTGCTGATTACTCAAAGTGCTTTCACGATATAAACCACAGACACTCATTCAGCACTTCTTAGTCTGTACAGGATGACAGCACACGCAAGAATTCATAAAACATACATTACATTGTGATTCTATGGTACTTTTTTTTATTTCAGCAGAATGATTCTGAATTAATGATTGAATGATTTTTTTATTGATTGATCAGATCTCTAAGCCATTTTTTAAATGACTAAATTATTTTGCAAATGACAACAAATGAACTGTCTTTTACCAACATATCAATTTGATGACACTGTCAGTTGTAATTAACATACCGCAGTCTCTTATTCTGTTTTTTCATACTGTAGGCTGTGTCTCCACATGAAATCATAAAGCAGTGGCTAACATGGTGCATTCCCATTGGCTTCGCTTTCTTAGTGTCTTAAAAATGTATCTTGAAAAAGTAACAAAAGATATTTATGTTTTTCCCATTCTGTTTTACTCAAAAGGCAGTAGTAATCATTTTGCTGGTAACTTAACTCAGAATGCTTAAACATGTCAAATATCTTTTCAGTCTTTGGATTCAGTATCTAATCTTCTAGGGCAGATCCAGCTCTGTGATGCTGTTTGAATTGGTCCCGAATGCTGTTGCGTAAAAGGGTCAGAGGAGAGCAGAGCTGGGAATCTAATCAAAGGAGAATACCATTACAGCAAATGAGAGATGGCAAGTCGACAAGACGTGGCAAGAAAACTGAAGCGACTACTGCACTCTCCATCTGAAGGAGAAAGCAGGGGCGCTTCCCTCTCCTCATCTTTTTATGGCCTTAATTTTGAGGCTGGTCTAAAGCATGCCAATTAACATAGGAGACAGTCATCCTCCCTCGCTCAACACAAGTGTCAGACCACATAACCATTTTTTTAAATCTTCTATATGCCTTTCACTCAGTTGGAAACTGATTAGGAATCTTTTTGGTGCAGTCGGACTTTTCCTGCTTGACAAAGAGAAAAAACTGTCGTCAGGTCCACCCGAAACAGCATGTACCATGTTTCTAACAACCACCTGCTGTGGAGCAGATTAAGTATTTATATCCTGCATCATAACTTCAGTGGCAGAATGTTTTTCTCTAATTTACAGCTACCACATTCATCTTCACAAAGTCATGTGAGAGATATGTATATGCGAAGTCCAGACTTCAGTGGCCACAAATGGATTTTACCCTGATTAGCAGAACTATGTTTGACAGTCAGCTGTTGTGTTTAACGGGAGTGGAGAGTCCTGTGTTCCTTCTATATAGAGTTAGTCAGCTGCCAAAATCCACAGCCAAATAGCTGGGGTAAAACCCTGAGCAAACACCGGATGCAAGGCATTGTTGGAGGCAGAATTATCCTTCCAGCAGCCATGTTTACTACGAGTCGTCTCCAGCGGAATCGAATCTACTAGGAATGAATAGAATCACTTGAGGGGGACATGGCAGATTACATCACCCTGTAGTAGAGCCCGTTTAACTCCGCTCAGCTATGGGCACAACAGCTGATGCCTCAGCATTAGAGATCGTGCAAGGAAACTCTAACAAGAATGACGGTGAAGCATGCTGACCCCAGCGTGCAGATTTCAATCTGCCATGCCACTATTTTCCACTTTATCAATGAGGTCACAGACAGCCAGGACTGCCGATGATACTACACAGACAGCAGCGGGGAGTGGGCTCTGCTGAGACAGGGAGGGTTACAAAGAAGCAAAGGAGGAAAGAAGGGGTGACAGAGAGGAGAAATGAAGCCCACAGTGCAGAAGGGATGGAGAAAAAGGAGGAGGGACTCTGCTTACCCCGGCGTGCCTGTTTTATCTTGGGGCTCAGCATGGTTACCGTTGCTGTGCTGCTCCCTCTCACAGAGACATGACTGCATCCCCCGGTTCACACACTATTCCTCACTCTCACACACACACACACACACACACAGAGTCAGCGCCTCTTGCTGATGCCTCGCCCTGTTACTCCTCATCCTCTTGCAGCATCTCTCTCCCTAATCACAATCTTGCACTTGGACTCTGATTTCATACTCTCTCTCTTACACACACACACACACACACACTCATAAGCACTTAGGCATGTACTCTCCTCTTCCCTTTCATCTGGCTCCCTGTCTCTGTCCCACCGGCCCGGCGTGCTGTTGTTCTCTCATACCTAAAGCCCTGCCCACTCCCTCTCTGGCTCTCTCTATCTGTCTCTCTGCCTTCTGCTGCACATTCCCAGTATCAGTTTCTCACCTTCTATAAATACGTCTGGCTGTGTGTCCTCTGTCTTGTCACCTATTTCTTTACATCATGTTGTCCTCATAGTCCAGCCCAGCTGCTCAAAGAAATTTGATTATGGTTTCATTTTTACCTGTAAGTAAAACCTCAGATCGATACATTTGAATCAGTGAGCGATGTTTGACCAGCTACATGTCTGAACAAGTGGACATTAAACAGTCTTTATCTCCAAGGATTGATGTTAATACATATGTAAATAGGTACATGTAAATAAAGTTTATTCTGTTTATTAACTTTATTTTCTCTTTAAAAAATCGATGATATGAAAGTAGTTGTAATATGTACAAATGTATGGACATGGTGGCTGCTTTGGAAGCATCCCTTTCTCCATTGTGAGATTACACTTATTCATACAGTGTATCATGTTCTATTACATGTTCATAATCTCTTGCTAATTGTAAATAAGCATAAGTTGAATGTACTGAATTGTGCGACTCCAAAATTACCATCACCTCTTAGGGTAAGGTGAGGTTACTACTGTGAGCTTAAGTGCAATGGTCTGTCTAACTCAGACTTAAAAGTTAATTAAGATTTTATTTCAAAGATGTGCTATTTAAGGAAAAATCCATTACTATTGATAGAGTGACTGTGAGGAAATGTGAGGACTGCTGTTCCCTCCCATCGTTTGCCATTTGGGTTTCTGGTGAACAGAATGTAAAACCTTGACAAATTGCCACTCACCTCTTGGTTTTGTTGAAACTCTTGATTATAAGGTGTATTTTTTTTCGATGGACAACAGATATGTCATTAATACCGAAGGATATTCCAGTGGCAGTGCAGGGTAAGGTGCTTTTAACATAGTTCTGATTATCTTATATCCTTCAAGTGATTTTATTATTTCCCCAAACTATTTTCAGTGCCAGTTACCGTTCAGCTTTGAATGTTCTGTGTGTTAATTTTGACTGGGGGCTTTTTAAAATTAATTTCAGGAACTGGTAAAATGTATTACGGCGCCACATGTAGCAACATTAAGCCTATTAGGCATGTGAATCTCAAGCTACACAAATGGTTTGCAGAAGTATTTCCGAAGTCAGTGTGGTTGCACTTTACCAGATTCTAAAAATACTGCAGTTAAAATACTGTTGAGTTAGTGACGAAAAAGGGAGAATTGTTCCCATGAAATAAGTGAAAATTCTGGATAAAAAAAACTAGGAGGACATCTGTAAAACAAAATACTGGTTCATGACAGACCTCAACACCCACAGTCTCTTTAGACTGAGTCTCCCAGTCCCCTTAAATATATTTGAGATTGTGTGGGATGATTTTTAACAAGCAAACGAGTAGAATGATTTGTCTCCCAATATACATCTATATATAATATTTTTTAAATCATAACATCTTTTGTACTTCTTAAACGATAACATAAAAAAGTAACAGAACAACAGAGGGAAAAGCACTTTTTAATCGCCTGCTGAAACGTTTGTGATTGTAAGTTATTGCAGATGTTAAGCAGGGCTGATCAATTTTGGTGGTCATGAGTAACGTTGAGACTTATGACTGAGTCAGGCTGAGAATTTCAGTATCGCGGGCAGATGCCATACTTCTCTGTCCCTCTAATCTGTGTAGTCAAAGCCACAACACTCAAGAGTGCAATGTTCATGTTCCCACTCACTTCAGCTGTAGCGGATGTGATAAACCAGATAAATGCTGTTCAACAGGCTAAGCGGCAGAGAAAAGCAGCTAAGAGAATTCAAACAGAGACCTGACCGGTTGTTAAACACAAACAGAACAATCAATAGTGCTGATTTGCCTGTGTAGTTGTTATACTGGAGCTCAAGACAAAAAAAAAGAAAAAAATCACTTCTCTCAATACAAAGATCTTAAGTGGCTGGTAAATTTAATCCTGAGGCTTACCTGCTGGTTTATTTGGTTTGTTATAGATCTGAGAAGTCCTGGATGGCTTCATGATGCTGAGAGTGCCTGAACAACATATCCTTCTCCACTGGGACCATTTCTGGAGCAATGCCAAACAAACACAAGCGCATTCAGGGCATGAAACAATGATGAGTGAAATCTCTGTCCGAGAAACAAATCAAATGACCATATTCACCGAGAGAGGTGCACTATTAACGCAAATGACAAATCACTGAAGAATGCTGATGTGGACAGACGCTGAGAACGAAGGAAGTACAGACAGTCATGCAAGTATTACTTGCCGTGTCATCTCAGAATAGCTGACCAGTCAGTTCTCAGCCTGGAATCAGACTGTGCACACCTAAAGAGAGCATCACATTGCCACAAGAAGCAGCTCCGATCACAAGTACCGCTTTTCAAACAAACAAAACACAGCTGTGTGATTCTCTCCTGCTCTTCTCTTGAGTTAAATCTGCAGTCTGCCTATCATTCAGGAAATAGGCCGTCTTGATGGAGAAGTGAAAACTGCTGACTTCTGGGTAAAGTAGAGCTTCTCCTTTGGATGTCTTGACTGTACATTAATTTTTAGTCAGAGCAGAGCTGCAACCAAGGCTTTGGCTGTTTAGGACTCGACTATGTAAATGAGAGGGTCACAAGCTTTGAGTCTGAAAAGGTCTTGAATGGGAACTATTATTATTCATTCTTATCAACATTTCAGAAATGACCAATACTTCTTTCTACAACATACAAATACTTCATAGCACAAATGGGGCATCATTTCAGAAAGAAAACAACCAAAAATAAGTGATTACAGATTAAGAAAAAAACACATTAACCATTAGAATACCAATATGTTACAACCAGGCAAATAAAATAGCACAGAGGAGTAAAAACACTGTTTAAGAGTCCTACGTGTGATCAACAGATGGTAGAGTAGACACTAAATTATATGCCACAACGGGGCCGCTCACACAGTCCAGACACACCAGCCTCTGAGGGCGTGTGGAGAACATCATCTATAATCCAGAGTTTGGGTCCTGTGGGACACGAAGGAAATGAGTGTCTGTAATTGAAGGCATGAAAAGAGCATGTCCCATTAGTGTGAGCAGAGGAAGCATAATGGCATAAATGATTTGGAACAGGTTGGTAAGATAATGTCATTAAGTTAGGGAAGAAAAACATTTACTCCACCTGCTAGTAACCATTCTCAGTATCTTGTACTTTGATCTTCTAAAGGCTTCACAACATGACAATGTATTGACAGGGGTTTCCTTTTAAAGCAGCGACTGTGACATTAAAATCTTTTCACATCGACTATAAAAACAGCTGTAAATGAGGAATTTAAAAGCTTTAGTAGCAGTTATCCTGCTAGGAACTTTGTACACAAATCTTCTGTTTTTTTTCCTTGAAATCTAACTCTATAACAAAATATAATATAAAGATATAATAATTTATTACATCGAAGTACAGAATATCAATGGCATTAGAGAGTTGTTAAATAAAAACAACACACAATCACAAAATTGTCTTAAATATCTATGGCAGGTTTGTCCTCTCTGGTTTGTCTGCTGCCCACCCATTTCCTCCCGTCCAGCAGAAACGACAGCACCACAACACAACGCTGCCCTAGTGACCTCTGTCGCACTGAGCTATCACACTGTCTGAAGTAGGTGGTCGTTCCCGTGGCAATAGCATCAAACTGCTCAGTGAGGAGCCACACCTCCCAAAGGAGCGTGAGCGCATTCATTACCATCATGACCAAAACCCAGAACTCCTCTCCAAACAGAGTGAGCCATGATGACAAACTGTGACTGCCTGACGCCATCTTACTGTATAAGTAACTTATTGCCATGGCAACAAAAAGAAGGTGAGCCGTCGCCATGGAGAGGATGAAGAGGAGGAAGAGGCGATGGTTTCCCCGGCCGATGCAGCGGTTGAGGAAAAGGCAGTGATGGTCATAGTCTTTAATGCACACCTCGCACAGCCTGCAGTGTTTTGTGTTGTCAGGCTGAAAAAGCTAGGAGGAAAACAAAGACAGGGCAGGCAGGTGAGCCACTCACCAGGGAGAAGCAGCATAACAGGCTCAGTATATATGTGGGTGAGGGTTAACTATCAGAACCAAGTAAATCAGGTCTTACCTCACAGTACGGGCAGAACCTGTGAGGACTCTGGTTATTCTCCACCAGGTCAGTGATACAGGAGAAGCGAGGATCTGCATCTGCCCTGTCCAGTGCCCCGGGGTCCCGAGTCAGAACCTTACAGAAGAGAGCTAGGAGCATGGAAAAATGGACCAAGGACACCTGGGCCAAAGCACCAGATGGCCACACACGTTCACGGGGTTAAGGAAGACACCAATTAATAACTAAAACTTTCAAATGGAGAAACACAAAGTGAAAAATATGAAATATGTGGGAAAAATCAGCTAATCCAGCTCTAGTGTGTAACCCTTTACCAATACTAACTGCGATCCATTTTATGCTTTAACATCAAAACATTTTCGTCTTAGGGCAACACACGTTATCAAGATATATTTATAGACAATAAACCTAGGATGTGTGACCTCCGTTAAGGATATTGGGCATAATTTTTCCATAGAAGCAGAGTAGGGAATGAAACAAACCAGCAATGAGAGTTCCCAAGTAGACTGGATTGGGTAATCTGGAAGAAAGACATGTGCTATTTAGATGAGAAATCATTATAACTACTATGAACTACTTTTTAGTGAAGTTTTCTCAGACCTTTGGTATGTGGTCATGCGGTGGTATTGTGTAAAAATGCTTCTTGCCAGCCAGGGGAATAGCAAAGCACAGGCCAGCCCCCCGTAGCCACCCAACATGGCTGCTGTCAGGAGGATGGCAGCTCCACTCAGAGATGGAAAAAACAGCGTCCAGTAATATAATACTGGCGAGAAAATAACACAATGTAACAAATAATCAAACAATGTAGGGCACACCTTTGCTTTTGTTGTATTTCTCTGTTAATTGAATGATGAAACCAATCGTAATATCTACCATGAGACTCTGTGGGTTTGTGGTTTACTGGCTCGTTAATGTACCGACTCAGTAGTTTGGTGAGTTGCTGATGTCTAGAGAAAAGCACAAGTGTTAATCAGCATAATACTCCCAGGAGGGACATTGATATGGCAAAGCAAATATGCAGGGTATCTTTAGGGCACCAAAGGGAGGGTTAACATAGAAGAAGGCAGAGTCACCTGAATGTTTTCCCCTGTTTGCTGAGATCCAGTGGAGTAAGGCCACTGTAGTTTTTCTGATGGAGCATCCCACACCCTGTCCTCTGCAGCAATGTCCAGCACACCTCAACTCCACCCCTTTCTGCTGCAACGTGAAGTGCAGTCGCCCCCTGCTGGTCAACTGCCTCAACAGCACACCTCTGCAGATTAAAGAGTAGAGTAGACGTCATTAACTTTGTAACCTGTTTTGACTAATTTTTTGTTATTTTTATTAAGGGTGCCTTTACACGGATTAGTTTTGTTGGGTCAATTACCTAGTTTAGTTTATTCATACATTTTTTAAAGGAAAAAACAAGCTAAGTCAACCTAAGTTAAGGGGAAATTTCTTTGCTAAATAATGGGACACTAGGACCAATAATCTATTCATATAATAGAGAGCATCTATAAGAAAAGATTTTAAAATATTTGGACAATTTTACCCATTTGCTGTATATCACGCTAATGAAACTGTTACAAATACAACATCAGCTGCATCCTTTAAAATCTAGGAGAAACCATACATTAATATCCCCAAGTGCAATACTTAGTATTCACTTTAAGTTTGGTTTGGAGGACTATTGCTTTTGAATAAATTGGTTTTGAGCATGAGGGTTTGTCATGATGTAGTTTAAAAAAAAGGTAAAGTCTCAGTGAATTTGCAATTGTTGATTCTCGTTGTCAAAAGCAATTCATGACCCCCTTGATATCACTTTTAACTGACACAGTGTGACCACCACCTATTCAAGAGACTGCTCAACCTCCCAATACGGCCTTTATCTGATATAAGACACTATATCATACCTGATCTCTCAGCAAATATCGAACCATCTCTATGTTGCCTGTGGATGCAGCCAGGTGAAGGGGTGTCACCTGATATGTGTCTGTGTCTGAGAACCTGAACATTCCCGTTTCCCACAAATAGTGCACTGCAACACTTGACAAGATGGCCAACGGTTAGAATATATAAGAAATATATAAGAAACACCAAGAGGAAAGCAACTTGTGTTGTTTTGGTTCTACCACTTACATGTTTCCTCCAGTAACTGCATGATGCAGGGATGTTTTTCCCTGCAAGTCCACAATGCGTAAATCAGCTCCATACTGCATCATCTTATGGATAATGTAGATGTTCCCTTGCCTGATGGAAGATCAACATACAAAATATGTAAGTTACCCTCTATAGCATGGTATTACCATATTTGGTACTACTAACACTTTTATTCCACCAAGAAATGGGGGAATATAAGTCTGTGAAGAATCCAAATATGTCATCTCTGCTCACCTGCAGGAGAAATGAAAGGCTGTCTGACCTGCATCACATGTGAGGTTAGGATCTCCCCCATTGCTGAGGAAGAAGTCTACCAGGGCTCGGTTTCCATGAAGGGCAGCATAGTGGAGCGGGGTGAAGCCACCCCAGCCTGAAGAGACAAGTGCCAGCATAAACATAATTGTCAGGCTTTTCTAGATGACTCTCACACAAGCTGAGGGACTAACAATCCAGAATCAGTTGATATGCCATCCTGTTGATAGTTTAAACTCTCAGGAATTGGACTCAGGCCTTCTCCAGCTCAATGGCTTTGCGGTGTGTTGTCACAGCTCTCACCATCTGTCCATCAGTGGACAAGTGTCAGACTAACTCACAAATGAACGTCAGCAGAGTTAGATTTCCTGATGGCATTGTAACTAAATCACATTAAGAGGGAACTGGTTGGTCTAATAAGAACGCAGCTATATAGCTATGGGCATTCATGGGTATTCACTATCAACTCTATATTCTATGTATGTATTCCACACACATACCATGGATCTAAAAAGTTTTTTTGTATCATAAACAAATCAGGAAACATCACCGGAGAGGATACTGCTAACAGTAAAATGGAAGGAAGTTGTAACTTTCGGTTGAGAAATTATACTCAATTCAAAATGTGCAAAGCAAAATAAAAATAGCTTAGACTATATCGTTTTCTTACCTTTATGTTTCATAACAGATCGATCATTTTGGACGAAGTGTATACACTGTTCAATATTTCCCCTCTGTATACAATCAAATATGTCTCCACCACTAACGGAACAAACAGGCATCAGATGCATTATGATGGGTGCACAAGGACCACCCGCTAATATTTGTTAACCGATAGAAAATGCAGAAGAAGCAAAAATACACAGCTCCCGATTCCAGGCACTATAACAGCATGATGCAAACTGAGTCTGGAGATCATCTGCAGCGACAGAATCGGCGATCTTTCATTGTGCTAAACTGATTGAAGTGGACTCCTCCCTTAATATTTTATTGGTTAGGAAGGTCACATGACTTTGTACGTCATTGCATATGTCACCGCAGTTGACATGTTGCTATGTTATGCTAATTAGCAGTGTGGTCTGCGGAGGCATATTAGGCTAAATTTAAAACTAGTGTTTGCACAACATCTAAGGACGGGCGATATGCAAGATATGTAAAATAAAACTTAAATGCTGAAGACACATTAAATACGCCACACGTCACATGCTCTGGTTTCATTTACACCATTTTTTTTTAGACAAGATCTAACCTTCGAAGACGGGAGACTATAAGTAGGTGAAAAAAATATTTATTGTACTGTACATTGTTTTTAAACGTTAGCTAGTCTCCAAGACTGTCACTAAAACGTTAGCAGAACGTGACTATTGTGGGTGGCCATTAGTATATGATGGCCACCCATCATACACTGGGTGTGAGATGTATATGTGAGATCAGGGATATATATACTTTCCCCCCCAAATATTTACCTGTTTTAGTATTTTCAGACGTTTGTGTGATCAATACCCACTAGATGGCACTGTTTACATGCATTAGACTTGCTGCCACTATTCAAGCCACCAATATTACATACATTTACAAACTGATCCTTAATAACATATCTTTGTTGATGATCCCTTACAGCCTTCCACCAGACCTATTAGATCATCTTAATATATGTTGTGGTCAAAGTGGAACGTTAGTTGTGACAAAAGGGTGTTAGGTTTTGCGTGCTGTTTTTGCTTGACTTGATTGCATGCTTTTAAAGACCATACAACAAGCCTGTCATTGTAATCATAATCATGGGTAAATGCAGTCTGCTTTCGATTATTTTGCTTTTAAATAAAAGACTTTAAAGACTTGATTGACAGGAAGTATTTTAGATTTAATTTGTGAGTCATGGGTCCATGTCATTGTGATTCATATCAGTCTTACATGATATATCTATAAAAAGAAAAGGAACAACTCCTCTGGGGAGGGCCTATCCAACCAGCTAAACAACAGTTTTTCACTTCTCGTTCTCTAAGGAAGTGAGAAGGCACATGATCTGCACCAGCTGACATGAGTTACTCTACTTGTTCAAAGTTCAGTCGGCTTGGTGCAGATTAGTAAGGGGAGGGCACTTTTACAGGAGGGTCTGTGCTCTGTGCCTGTATACACTTCTTGTCATGCCTTAACGGGTCTCTGCTTGTCTTTTGCTCCGGACATGGAAACAGAGACAAGTCACCCACTCAGTTGGAGTAAAGCAACACAGATGACTACATCCTGTTAGTGTCTGGAAACTCCCAGATGGCTCTCACACAAGTACAGGTATGGATTGTAGGAATATTTTGTAAAGGCATAGTACAGGCTAGAATAGAGTTCTTTTACTTTGAGGATTCTACTGTTTGACATTTCGGACTGCATTACAGTGACCTGTTGCTGTGTCAAGTGAGGTGAGACAGGAGGTGTTTTTGTGTTTGCTGTGACTCTGTCTCTCTCTTAACATCAAACTGGGGAAACTTCAGGGTATTATTCAATTTTCGTGGAATGTGAGCTGCCCTACCCTTTCCTGATCTTAAAATCTGAGTCTGTTGACTCCGATGTTTCAGTGACATACTGTAGTTTTTTTCTAAAATATGCACCTCTCTATATCAGCATATATCAAAATAGGAATAGTGTAAAGTGATATTCAAGTAAAAAGGAAGCAGTGACAGAATTAAACTAACAGCATGTTCCTTTGGCAGGAAGTAAGTTTGTAAGTCAGTATACCTTGAAGGAAAAATCCTAGTTGTGCTTTGACATCACAGTACTTAGGTTAGTTTGACAATGACATATAAAGCCCCCAATCTACCTCTTTTTTTGCTTAAATGCTCTTTACAATGTCATTCTTTACATAAAGGACGAATGAATTATTAAACTGCTGCCAAATTATGATTTAGTAGTAACTCAACTCTACACTGGAAAGAGGACTATGCAATATGGCAAATTTATATGAATTAAGCAATGTTAAAACTTGGTTTCAGCTTGAGTTGAAGAAGTTCTAGACTGTAGGAGAAGATGGCACATGACTGCCAGTAGTCAGTTGTCTCTATCTATCAGTGCAGACTGTGTACTCAAAAGAGGAGGGCATAGTGTGTAATTTAGACCAGATTTATCTGAGGAAGTGAGACAGACCAAGGAAATATCATTAAACCATACCGTGAAGCCTACGAAAACACACTGTATATTCTGATTTCTCCCCAGAACCAGAGCATGAAAGGAGATAGGGTCAATAAGGAAACAGGTGAGCTGAGTTCTTCAGGAGAGTTATCACTCTCGGCAGATTTGAAGACAGAGAAGGTGGAGGGCTCCTGTGGAAGCCCTCAACTCTTACAAGTGCTCAGGGAGCAACTACAAGAGCTGCAAATCAACGCATACACAAACTGTGACTACAAGACTGACCGTGTTCTTTTAGAGCAGAGAGAGGGACAACTGGCCAAAGTTCTGTCGCTCTGCATACAGGTAAGAGCCACAAGGATGGGGTGCGCACATTCATCTCACATTGTTAATCCATTCATCATTCTACATTTGCATTCTGCAGTACACTGAATGAAAAAGTGAGTAGTTTATTTTCTACCCTTAATTGAGAATGTTGGAAACTTGTTAGTTCTAAATAGATCAACAGCAGCTATCATGAAGAAGCACAGTTGATGCAGAGGCATTCCACATAAGGAAATGACAATCTGTCTCAAAATATCTTTAATTCTGGACAGGATAGATGCTTTACCTCATCTTAATTCATTCCTCTCAGTAATCTCAATTTAGCATAAAAAGCAGAGAGAAGAAATGTTTTACTTGCTTTATCACTGCTTGGGATAATGTAGCCAGATAGGACCCAATTCGTTATAAATGTGAGCGTATCGGCATCTTTTGCTGATCTCCTTGATCAGAAGCACTGAAATATGCCACCCAGGACTGGGCACTAATCTTTCTTAGTGAACATTGTCTGGAGCTACATTAACTGGGTGTGTATACTTTAGTGTGAAGCTCTGGTGGCATATGCAGATCCACATGATAAAGAAAAAACATTTAACTTAAGTGTTAATGCTTGTTTATGTTTGTGTTTACGCATACTTAGGTAGTTTATAAGATATCTATTCTCTGTGTATAAGGGGTAGAATTACACACATTCCCTTTTCTGTATTAGTCTTACATTTATGGTATGTAGGGATAGAGTAGAAAACCTGTTGTCTTGAGTGTATTTTACTGCAGATATTAAATTACCTCAGACATAGAATAAACTGGCCTTTGTTAATGAAAGTCCTTTTTATCACCACTGTTGATCTTGGCAGGATGATTAAAAGAGCCACTATTTAAATTCATACTCAACCTTGAAAAGGTTAAGTGGATGCCTTATGACATTGTGGTCTCAGAACCACATGGATGTACAATTAAGAAGACTTGAGGCTTCAGTCAGATGTTTGGCCTTTAGCTGATCCCATTACTTGACTGTCCCTATGATGAACCTGTACACTACATAACGACGTGTGAAGAATTACTGGTATATGGTTCCATTAAATCCTTTATTTGACAAACTGTGAAACTGCTGTTATATGAAAAATAAAATTGTATATATATATATTGTATATTGTATTTATAATATATATATTGTTCTCTTCTTTACAATGTTGCTTAGATTGATTGAGGTGAGGTGGAGGTTTGTTAATGCAAAGCTCACTTTAAAGTCCCATGGCTTTTAATGCGGATGTGGCTTCGACTTTGGACTATAGTACCACCTTGATTCTTTTCTTTTCTAGTCGTTCTCTTTCATACTGAGAGTCAACACACAACTGAGCACTTCAACAAACTGCCAAAACTTCCTTTTTAGGAGGATCCCACAGGCTTGTGATCATTAATCATCCCAAGAACTTTCCAAATGGGCTACAGTATATTTCAAAATGTTTTCGTTGTTTTTACAGAAAAAAAGTAGAAACAGCTGCAGTATTGAAAATATTAGAGCATCCTTTATTTCCTTCAGTTTTTTTTCATGATGGTGTCTCTCGTGTGATCACAGGTTTGTGAGGATGGTGGCAGATTTGAAGGTGTGGATATAAAGGGGCTTGCAGCTCTCACTGCTGACACTGTCATCCATAATATCCACAAAAGACTGGCCGAGCGGCCCGCAGGTAATAACCTCTGCACATATCAGCATATATGATGCTTTTGTTTCATGGCAGAGGGACTTCCTACCACTCTGCCTACTTCTGCTTTTTTGTTGTGCTCTTTTTCTGTCATCAGTTTTTATTCCTAGTTCTAACGTTACCTGTATTGTTTAAAATGGAAAGTAAAACTATCTAAATACCTATCTCCTTCTTTTTCTCTGCTTTATAGTGAACATGCTATGTTTGATTTCTTTCTTTTCCTTTTTTAGTGTAGAACAAATTGTCAATTGAAAAAGAAGGTACTTTTTCAGTTTTTTATACAGATATTTTTTCTTACAGCATTAGGAGTTTTAAAGCAGGTCCTTATCTCTTCTTCCCAGAGATAATTGCTGTTTTAAATCAACATACTGGAAACTTAAGTTTCCTCTTTCTTTCCTCTGTCTACGGGCAGATACTTAAGTGCAAATTTAGTCTTTAAGGCTGAAGTGAAACAGTTGTTTTAGCTTCTAAATTTAGATTTTCTGGCAGCAGTTGGTGTAGAGAAGCAAGCATAGTAGGGTTAGTTGTAGTCCTGCCATGTTTTACTCTGTTCTGACTTGTTTAAGACCCCTGTTCTACTGTCGTCATGTTTCACTCTTATGCATTTTCAGAGAAAGCCCGTGAAGAGGTGGTCTCTTTCCTTAAGCGTTCAGATAAGGACACGAGTTGTGACACAGATGCTGTCTCTGGATGGCTGCTGCTGAAGTCCCTGTTGCTGTTCACATCTGACTCATCAGTGAGTAATGAGTACCAGCTTTGTCATCAATGTAGTTGAAAATAGCAACACAAAGTTGTCTTTAAAACGTCCTTCACATAGTTTAAATCATTTGAATATAAATGTTTCCTTTTCTATTAATCATTATTCTTTTTCTGTTTGCAGGATATTCTGTCATGTGTGAACCCGGGACTGCCTGCTGCTTTGGTGAAATGCCTGTATTTGTTAGTGTGCCTTCCCGATAAAAAGGAAAACAGGGCCATTGAACAAACTTTTCAGGAGCTTCTTACACAGGTTGATAACTTCAGAAATGTCCTAGCAAGTCAATCGATTTCATTTGTGTTTCTATAATGTCTCTTCCTTTACCGTCTACATTTAGTTTAGTACAGTAGTAATAGGAATTCCATCCCCTTTTCTAAAAATATAGAGCCTCATTAAAAACTTCCTCCTTTCAGGTTTTTGTTCAGCTTTGTCAGCATCCAGACAATGTGGAGAGATTGGTAGAGACACAGGAACTTCAGTGTCTGATCATCGGACTCACATCATTGTGGGATCAGACCAGCGCTGAATGGAGGCAGCAGGCCTCACGTGTCCTCAAAGCAGTCTCTGCCGTACCCACGAGAAACACTGCCTCCAGCTTGTTAGGTGACGTAACACAAAACCTACCAGGATTGGGTGTTTCTCTTAAATTAATCGTCCAGTTTGTTTTAAAAAGAGCATAACGTCAAGCTGAAATATATGTTTTGAAAACCATTTTGGGTAAATACAATGACTTGTGTAAATGGCTGAAGTTGTCTTTTACCTGTTCTTCATCAGGCAAGAACTGTGTGCGGATCTGCATTCAAAACCTGTTGCACATCGGTGCTGATGTGTCAGGATGTTTGCTAGCTGAGGTTGCTGTGGCCGTTTTTAGTTTCATCAGAGATACGTATCACCTCAGTCAAGCCCTCTTTATCGAGTTTGATAGCAACAATGGCTACAAGGCCCTTGAAGACATCCTGAAACGGTGAGATTAAAGGTTTGGGAAGGGGAAAAATGCTTGTGTGTTTAGAAAACCAAAGTACTTGGATTTTCATTACATGCCATGAAATTAAGTGGAACTTTGAGATGAACAGCTTCTTTAACGGCTAATGTGATTCATATTACAAGGATTTGTCTGGTCTCACAGTCAGAATCATGAGACCCTATTGTATCACTTATGTCTCTTCCATAAGTTTAACTTTTTTGCTTTTTGTCTCATCCTTGTGCCAATATAAGATGTGAGGGGGGTGTTCCCTTGGACCAATTTCAGCCTGTGGAGGAGTTACTGAATCTAATCGCATCTTTCACCTTTTTTGGAAAAAATGAGCTGAAAGTGGCTCTTTGTGTAACCAATCCCCAGCCTCCAGGCTTTAAGTTCGACCCACCACTCACCAAAGGTAAAAATTAATTACACCTTCAATGAACGCAATCAGGTTGCTATCATTCTCATGGCTGAGCAATTAAGGACACAGTAAGGGGAAAGACCATCTACTCAAAAGTAGCATGCTCATAAACTCTTATTTGGACTTTTATCCTCATTTAACCCACCCTGAAAAACCACCCCTTTCCTTCCATTCCCCTCAGACCCCAGCTCCACCACTCCCTGTACTGCCCTGCTGCAGTGCATAATACCCCTCAAGTTAACAGCAAGCTGAGACGATTATGTCTCAGATGATGAAGTGGAGGCTCCCCCTTTAACTGTGTTAGCATTTCCCACATCCATTCACCACTGGCCTACAGCATCTACTCATCTATCATAGATGCACACACACACCTCTATCCAACACTCATAAATAGAGCTTCAATAATATACATACACACACTCAACAGCCATCTATCACATGAAAGAGCAGAACGGTTTCCAGCAGAGGGACCTGGCACTGCTGACTTAATAAGATTGTGATAAAACTTGTGTGAATGGTGTGAAAATGTATCTCATTACTAACCAGCTTTGTTGTTATTTACAAAACACACAGGTATGTTTTGTCACTTAAGTCCCAAACCTCTTCTCAGTGTTTTGATAATACAGCAAATAAACTGCATAAAAACAGGTTATGCTAGTCTTTCTGAATTTATTGGTTTAACACTATTTATTTTCATCCCATCTGTGCTTTTATAACTCAGTTTGCCTGCAAGATTCTACATTTATTCCATTGTAAATATAAATTACTGTTTGACCTTCTACAAATCAGTTTTTAAGTTCCAAACATCTCTAAGTTTCAGCTTTCTGTACTATGCATTTCGTAAAGTAATACAAAATGTACTTTCTCCAAATTCATGCATTCCACAGACTGTTAAATGTTACAATTATTTGGATGCTGAAATCTTTATCAGTTAAGCCTATTAGCGACTCCCTACGTCCCCAGGTTTGGCAGTGAGGAACCTGCCTGCTTTCCACCTGCTGCAGACATCTTTGCTGCGCTCCCAGGATTCTTTGCTCTGCTGCCAGCTTCTTCGAACTCTACAGACAATATGGGACAAGGACCCGGCCAATTTCTTCCTGTTGGAGTGGACTGTCCAGTCGATGGCCCAGCTGGCGGCCTGTGTGTGGTGCAAACCGGCACCTGTCCAAAAGCTCTTCTTTTCGATGCTTGAAATGGTAGAATCCCAGACACTAAAAATCCCCCTGCATGCATTTTCTGTTTTGAAACAAGCACTTGTAGTCTGTTTAACAGTTTTGCTTGTCTCACAGGTGTTATTCAAAATGAACTACATCCCTCACGAGACGTTGCGGGCACTTCTGAGTGTACTAAAGCAGAACTGGGCTGGGACATTAGCTGGTGGGGCTGCAGGGACAGAATTTGGAGTTGTGGCTCTCAAATGTTTTCACAAGTAAGCAGTCTCAGTATTGCTCTGTAAAGTTGGATCATCTTTTAATGCAACTACAGCAGCTTAGTCACATTTTTTATGAAACAGGACACAGTTATATATCAATAAAGGTAGCTAACACACTTAAGGTTTTGCTTTTCCCCATTATTTTTTTATTGAGATTGAATCCTTTTCTGCAGGATGACTGTGCACAGTGCTATGCTAGCAGAAGTGTTAAGTGATTGGGGATTGTTGGAGCTGCTTCTCGGGGAGCTTCGCAGGAGAGCTAAGATCCTCAGGAAAGCTGGTATAGCGTGTTCCTCCAAACCGAGTAAGAATCCCAATTTTTTTTTTCTCAACTTCTGATGCGTGTTCAAATGGAAAACTTCCATGTGTGTTCAAGTTAAGCAACATACTTGATCCTTATACAGTGTTTTAGTCTGCAAATGAGTAATTTCACAAGTACTGCAGTGTGGCCAAAATGAACAAGCTAAAGTCTTCATCCATAGATTGTAAGTGACACGTGAAAATCTTTTGCTCTTTAGATTTTCAACAGGAGCCTTGTGTTGAGGATGGCGAGAGACTTCTCACAACCGTCATGCTTCAAGCTGTTTCGGCCCTTACTTTACGTTCAATCAAGAACACAGGTGATTTTCCATCTAAAATAGATCCATCAAGTTTATCTGATGGATGTTAATGCTCAGCACTGCTTTTTTTGTGTGTTACAGTTTCAGTGCGAGACCTCGGTATGGTTCCTTACATAAAGATCTTCTTGGACCATCATCAATATCGAGGTCCCACTCTGAGCATCTTGGAGCAGCTGGCTGAAATTAACCCTGATGAATTCATGAGCACAGCCATCGGAGCTCTGTGCTCCTCCACACAGCAGGAACTCCAGTTAAAGCAGGACCTTTTACAGGTAGTTCCGATATGGCCACAGACAGCAGTGCACAAACAGCAGCATCCAGACATACAGCGATCTCAGCTTAGCCATAGAGGTAGTGGTACGACTCCAGATTGAATCCTAACAAATTGTAATGCACTTAAAGCATAATAAGCATGTGAATTTATTTTCTTAGCATGTGGGACTGTGATTGCATTACAGACAAATGCAGATTGATTTGCTAAAACTGGTTTAGCTGTTAACGCTGGACCGATTTGATTTGGCCAGCAGCCCTGTGCTGTGGCGCTCTGAAGATTACCACTTCTATCAGATCAGCGAATGGGACAGAGATCCAATTAAAGCCTAACTAAGTTACACACCTATTGTATGTGTCCATTTTTATAGATGGCTGCAAGAATAGCACTTACTTGCTGATATTGTGTGTACAAGTGTCTACAGTTGTGTTTGCATGCAGGTGCATGTATGTGTGGATGTGTTCTTTGTGCTAACGCTGTTATAGCAGGTGGCAATCAGGTTGGGTGCGACCTGGGTTGGCAAGTGTTGAAAGCCATTGTGATTACTCCAGTTTCAGTTAATCACATTTCCCTCTGCGTTATGTCTCACACATTACCTTCCTGATGGATTAGCTCTCTAAATTCAATAAAGCTAATGTGATTTGCTCACCCCCAAAAACTAGTTACCAGAAATGATTTATGATTTATCTATATGTTTCATCTATTTTTCATGACACTGTTTTAATTGACGAGGAGGACTTTTCCAAAGCCCAGGCTTTAGGCAAAGCTTAGTGCATGTCAAAGTAAATATTCACTTGTATGGAAGTGGCAGAATGTCCTTGATGAAATGTATTGCCTGTAGGTTTGAGTCCACATGCTTATTGTCCAATGATCTTTCTCACTAGTCAGTACTGAGGGTTCTTGAGAGCCCCAACACCTGGGACGCCTTCAGGAAGGCAGGAGGCTTCACTGGACTGCTGTCTCTGGTAACTGACATGGAAGGGGCTCTGTCCAACCCCCCCAAGGCAGAAGTGTGGAAGTCTCTGGGGCAGCAACAGCTCCTGGAGCTGCTCCTTCTCACGCTGCACATCCTGGCCATGGCTGTGCATCTGCACACTGTAAATGCACACCATTTTGATGCCGGTGGTCTGTTTGAAAGACTGGCAGAGGCTCTGCTCCAGCTGGGCTGCTTCCATACTGAAGGTTTCAAGAGCGAGGAGTGGGATGCAGAGTGGTGTTTCTGTCCCAAGGCTGCAGACGATAACCACTTTCCAGGAGTGAGTTTCCTCCAGTTTGCTGAGTCTGCAGAGTGCTGTGTAACCCCAGCAGCACCTTCCATCTCACCAAAGTTCAATCTGCCCATCAGTCTTCGGACATGTATAAGACTGCTTTCCTACCTCGACCAGTTCGCCACAGGGACATACTATCCCCAGGAGTTAAATCTGGGACAAGAGCCTGATGGTGGATGTGATGGAGATGAAGAGAAACTACATGGACCAGCAGAGTTTGAAGGAGTTTATACAGGACCTCCACTTGTCTTCTCAGGATCTGGCCAGCAGTTGATGGAGGATAGATATGGAAGTTTCAGAAGCACTGCACCCAGTAGTCCCACCATTTCCTCAGTGACTCCGTACAGGTAGATAATTAAACAAAATTCATTAGATTTCTTGTTTTGTTGGGTTCAATGGAGGTCCATTTTATTATCTCTTGAGTACTGATGTACTTTTTTTTTTGGTGGTATCTAGTAAGTTACCCTGTGATCAGATTATTCTACATCCAGGAGCAATCCGAGTCATCATGACTCTCCTTCCACATGTGTTTACTCCTGAAGACCCACAGGTACCCTTTGTTGATTCAAATATATTTGTGACATATCCATTCTGCTTTACAGATTGTAGTTTCAAAGAGCAACCCTAACCTGCTAGCTTGTTTTCCAGCCAACATACTTTTCAGTGGTTTCTTGAGAAGAATTTTTAGACCAATTACCTGTAAAGTCTCATTAAATATCTGATAATCCTTTTACGTGGTTGACTATATAGGAAAAGAAAGCCACTCTGAATAGCACCAGTTTTTCCTGTGATGTTTGAATACACAGTGATTCTCGGTCCTACGTTAGTTATTAGCCAGAGCAAGCTGGTCCATTCAGAGAAACAATATAAGCAACACAGCAGCAAAATGTCACTTACATGTCATTAAAGTTGTTTCTACTTCCTGTTGAATTAAATGGAAGCAAAGTTATACACTGTTAAACCCCTCTTTTCTTAACTGACTGTTAATCTTTAGATATAAATTTGTAAAGTTGGATTTTGAACATTCTTCTTCCTCAGCTCTCTATGGAGGTCCAGTTGTCAATGGCACACCACATCCAGGCCATGTTCAAATCTGAACGGAACCGACAGATAATGTGTGAGGGTGGGCTGGTCTCTACTCTTCTCACAAACTGTCAGAGTATGTTACTTTCCCCGAACCACCCCTTACATCTACCTGTCACAAGAATCTTAGAGAAGCTCTCCTCCCAGGCCATCTCACCTTCTAACTTCAGGTCAGAAATATTCTTCTTTTGTTTTTACTGTCTGCACTACTTGCATTCAACATTTTATTTCTATTGTTTTTACTCCTCAGAAAGTTCCTGTGTTTAGGGGATCCTCTCATGTGCTTTGCAAACAAAACAGTCAAGCAAGTGCAACAAGAACCATCGACCGAACCATCTGATACCAGTGGTACGTCTTTGTTTTAATATATGATTTAGAAAAAAATTGTGGAAGGGCATTTATTTCTATTTCTAGAAATCTGTTTCTATTTTAAATTTTTAAAGCAGCTCAGAGCACAGAGGCTGATTCTGAATCTTCAGTAAAGAAAGTGAAGCGGACCTTCAGTTTGCTGCAGCCCACAGGATCCTTTGGCTCTGCGGTCCCTGTCCACCAGATCATCAGTCTGGTGTCCATGACAGCACCACGCACATTTAGACCACACAGAGTCTCTTCCTCACCTGCTTTTGTAGAGTTTGACATGAGTGAGAACGGATATGGGTGAGTGTGATTCTTGGTCCTGTGATGTAGAAAGTAGATGGAAAATGGGGCTTATAGTTGCTGCATCATGCCAAAACATGATGGAAAAGATAAGACAAGCTAAACCTTTACAATCCCTTCACATTGCTACAGTATCAAATACAGTTTAGCAGGGAGAGATTTCAGTGAGGATTTTTTTTTCTTTAATAGAACTTACTGATTTCCATGTTATAATATCAACCATGTGGATAAGCCTCTCTTTAATCATTTTTTAAAAAGTATTATATATACATCAGAATTATAATATCACTAATTTAATTGCTTTAAAAATGTTTTTTTTTCTGTGCTTGTTTTGTAGTTGTCTTTTCCTGCCATCTTTGGCCACGGTTAAGGGTGTGACAGCTGATTCCATTTCTTTTGGTGGGATCGGAGGTGGTAAGTGATGTTATTAATCCATGTGTGAAATGTTCATCTGTTTTTAAGAGAAAAGTGTCTGATATCGCTCTTGTGTTTTAGACTGCAGAGGTTTTCCACCTGCAGCTGGTCTCTCATTTGCCTGCTGGTTCCAGATCAATAGGTTCAGTTCAGCCTGTGATTCCCACCCAATCCGGCTGCTGTCCATTGTGCGTCACATGTCCCGCACAGAGCAACAATACATCTGTTTGTCTATCTCCTTCTCAGCCTATGACGGCTGTTTGGTCATCTCAACTGAGGAGGAAGCTTACACATACCTTGGTAAGAGCAATAAAAGGGTGTGTGATAAAACAGTTTGTTAACTGTTTTTGATTTTCTAATTTCAGAATAGTAACGCAACTCATTTAAACACAGATTATCTTTCAAAATGTCTATTTAACAGATATGATGGAGCCGGAAGTTTCCACTCCGACATCATTGTCTACGTCCTTGCGCTTCTCCTGCTCCAGCATGCTGGTCCCAAATCAGTGGCACCATCTGGTTGTTGTCATGGCCAAAGATGTGAAGAAGAGCTGTCTGACCACAGCATACTTCAACGGCAAAGCACTGGGGACAGGAAGGGTATGATAACAAGAGAGCAATGAGGAGCTGATAATTGAGCACTTTTGAATTCTTAAACATTTTTTTACCATTCAAATAATTCTCCTTTTTCCCCTTAGATGAAGTACATTCATCAATTCCCTGGTCAGTATGTCTCCATGGACCCTACATCTGTTATTGATGTATATGGACTAATAGGAACGCCAGCTCTCTGGAAGGAACATGCTGCTCTTGTGTGGCGAGTGGGTCCATCTTACTTTTTTGAAGAGGCTTTGAGCTCAGAAGCAGTGGGTGGAATTTACATGCAAGGTACAGCATACCTGGGCAATTTCCTGGCTTTGCGCAACCCAGGTGAGTCCAAAGCACTTGTGCAACTCTTTTGCAAAACTCTGTTTGCTTTGAATAATTCTTGCTGGTTCAGATTCTTGGACCTACTTTGTGATTTTTCTGGTTTATTGTTTTGTGAAAAGCAAACTGTCCTCAAACGATGGCATGCAGAAAGTTATCTTGTCATGCAGCATATTTCATACATTTTTTGCCTAAGATCACTTTCAAATGCTGCAAAACAGCTACAGCAACAAAATACTTACATTTTAATCCCTTAAGTGTTTACAGGAATTACATATGGACACTTTTAGTTACAAGTAATTGCACCACTTCCTTGTGTCCAGGCCATGATCCAGACACACCAGAGTCTTTCCCTCTCAGGCTGGTCCCAGAAGAGAGGATTTCATTTGGCATCAACCCGGCAATTTCAGCCATAACCACTGTGGCACAGATCAGAGAGGATTACAATGAGGTGGATTGCAGACTCATTGCAAAAGAGGTAAGCACGGTGAATTGTGGCTCACTGGATGTTTTAATTGTTTGTATATGATTTGATTGTAATTTTCCGTAATTACAGATGGGGATAACATCTCGGGATCACTCCACACCTGTTTTACTCGCTCAGAATATCAGTGCTCACCTGAACGGTACAGCTCGCACCATAGGAGCCGCACTGATTGGAAGTTTTGGTAAAGAGCGTTTTAGAAAATCTTTATTTATTTAATTGTTTCAACTTTTTTAAGATCTAAGGTTTTTCCTTTTTTAGGTGTGCGAGTGTTCTCCCCCTGCTCTGCTTCCAAGGGTTTTCTGTATGTCGGCGGGCCTGCTGTTGTTCTCAGCCTGGTTGCAATGGCTCCAGATGATAGCTCTTTGTATGCGGCTGTTAAAGTTCTTATTTCCGTGCTGGAGACAAACCCAGCCATGCAAGAGGAAATGAATCGCATTAATGGATACAAGGTTTGTCATTTCATTTGAGCAGAACTCTGATCTGATGAGCAGATATCTTATTTAATGACATAACAGTTGTTTTCTGTTTATATGTATGATTTGCTCTCCTTGTAGCTTTTAGCTTTCCTGCTCAAGATGAAGAGCAGTCTGGTTGGCCATCGAACCTTTCAACTGACTCTGTGTCTTTCGAGTTCTCTGGAGATGAGCTGTGGCTCTGGTTGCTTGCAGAACACGCCTGCTTTGCAGGCTTTGATGTGTGACCTTGAGGTAAGTATCCACATTTTAGCATAAATCTTGTTTCTATTTTTCTTTTTTTGGTTTATGCAACATTTATTTGTAAAAACTAATGAAAGCAAAGGTGATCTTTTTTTTTCTATATTATTTGTTAGGTTTGGCAGAACACAGTGGACCACCTGGATCTCTCAGTTCTAAACTATTTTGCTGAAGTCCTGAGATCTTCAAGGTAATTTAAACATTTATCAGCATGTGACCATAGCAAATACATATTCCATCTGTGACCACATTCCTCTGGTCTGGTTGCTCTTATCAATTTACTGCTAAGTCACATGGCCAACAAGTCATGGAACACAATAAAGAGGTTTTCATTCTAGATTGACAGACTTCATTGGCTGTTCTGTCAACACCTGAAGTGGCCTGTCATTAATTTGGAACTGTAGAGCAGAAAACGTTGAGGGAATGGAAGACCAAGTCACTCAGAGAGGCTGAAGAGAAGAATGGATGTATGCATGGATTTAATATAGATCTTTTCTGTCTGTTGGAAAAAAATTCTATCGATATCATTGTGTTCTCTGCAGTGACAACAGGAATGCGATGGTCATGCACAGTGTGGGCCTGCTGCCAAAGCTGCTGTTTGAGTTGTCTGATCCCACCATGACCATTCAGAAGGTTAAGGTTATTTCCTGTATCATTACATCCCTCCTGAAAGCTCACTTGAATCCTCTGGACATGAGCAGGTAATGTCACCAGTGACTCCAGAAGTCTCTTGTCACACAATTTTCAAAGATTCATGCTAAATCAGATTTTAAAATGTAAATGTTTTTTTTTTCTTTTAATGTAATAAGGGTCGGGCTGTTTCTGCTCAACACACTACCCCCTTCCAGTGTGACGGCTGAAAGCTGTGAGATGTCTGACGTTGATCTTTCACAAGATGTGCCAGGTTAATTTAAAACATGCATACGCATTTCTTAAATATATGAGAAATATATATCATATATGTTTAATCTTTGACACAATGTGTTACTGATACTGACCTTGGTTTGTCTTCTTTGTGCTGTAGCTCAGACTTCTGGTCCAGCCAGCGTTATTTGGATTCGCAACCAGATGCTGCATGTTCTTAGTGAAATTCTCAGTTCAGACAACCTTTCATCCAATGAGTGAGGATATTTTTTTCATTTTAAGCAGAAACAAAATACCAAAGAAAGAGAGAAAATATCCTTTCATTTTATTATTAAATTTTTACTGACTTCATTTTTTTCTCTCTTTTCAACTAGTCAGCAGAAAGCAGCATTTGATTCTCTTGGCAATGATTGGTTCCTAAACTTCCTTCAGGACCATCTCCATCCTTCCACCTTGAAACTGGGTCTTGTCCTGCTCACACAGTTTCTGTCAAGTCCAAGCCAGCAAAGCTCCTTCAGAGAGAGGGTGCTCCCAGGCACACTCATAGAGGGCATGGAGGAGCCATTTGCAGTCATGGGTGCATAAAGTTTAATTCATTAGTTTCTGTATTTGGTAAACAATTATTTCCAAACTTAAGAAAATGATGATTAGTTATGCTTAAATATTGTTGCAACACAAAAACTGTGAAACTGAAAAACTGTAGTTTATTATTAACGTGGCCCTGAGAAGATAATAAAAAAACTGTTGCTGCTTTCAAAACACTAAAACAAAAGGAAAATCTGAAAACTATAATTCATAAATTGTTGTCAAGTCATACAGAGTTATTTCAATGTGAAGCTTCATGGTTTATGAGAATGTCATACTTTAATGGGGTGCTTCTTTGATATATCCTAACATTTTAATTAAAAAGATTTTTTCTGTCATGATTTTCTTGCCTTGTCACCAGACAACCTCTGTGCTGATCCCTGGTCTCATGAGTGCTCGAGTGCCACTTGTCCAGGCTTTAGTGTTTTACGAGTGCTGCTGATCAGACACTACCACCTGCCTGAGGTGTATGAGGCTCTCGCTGCTTTGATGCTTGGGAGCGAGACCAGCCATATTGCAGCGAAGAAGGTGGGTCACCTCGTATTGAAGTGAATCTCTCTGTTGACCTTTTTTCATAATTATTTCCATTATTTATCTCCTTTAGCTGCATTTGGATGATACCCTACAATCACTGATAGACAGCCGAACAGAAACACCTGCCCAGCAGCTGTGTGCTGAGGCTGCTACGGTACTACTGGAACTGATCAAAGTTGTCATTACTAAGGTTGGAAGAACATCATCTTAGATATTGTCGATAGATTTCCACATGTTATGATTAAACTAATCAAGTTTCTTTTCTTTTTCCCTTTTAAAAGTCTGCTATTCCAACTAAGCACATGTCAGCCACTGATGTATCATGGCAATTGCAGCTTCCAGCAAGTGTGATGCAATTCTTTTGTCTGGTCCACAACCTTCGACCCAGAGACCCCCTCTGGGCATCACCCACCTTTCTGCACTCACTTGCTGCTGTTGTGTATCCCCTGGGGGGTTCAGAGGTTTGTCTGTTATCATGATTTTGCACGATTAACACTAAAGTTTGAATGTGTGTGATCTCATTGGCTGTCTTGCTTATTTACCCCAGGGTGGTATGAAGCCTTCCTGTCATGAAAGTGAGGATACATTCAGCGATCGTCCAACGAGGAAGCCAGTTCTTGACTTCATGCGTATTCTGCTGATGGACAGTCTTCTTAATGTGTGTGCCAGCACCAACACACATCCTGTGGTTCTGCTGCTAGAGGTGAATTCACTCAGGGATGAGCTATCGTTTGCCATTTCACCTATCATAATGTCACATCAGCATTCACTTATGGAATACAAAACCTAATGAAATGCATTATAAATTAAAAGGCTTCTTCAGAATTCAAGAATTCTGCAAAACTCTTATTTCTCCAGAAGGTGCCACTCTATGCCCAGTTTCTAAGCAAGGCAGAGCAAACTCACTGATGATGAAGTCTTTTTCTTCCAGAAGGGAAAGAGCATGAAGAGCTGTTTTCATTCTGAAAGAATTAACCTTCATGCATCGACCCCATGTTTTTTAAAATGAACCATCTTAAAGAAGCCTCTCGCTCTACGAGTCATTAAAGAACAAAGCGCCATAGAGGATCAAAATATTCACTGATTAGTTTTTTTACTACCAACCTTTTTTAAACTTTTAATGTGCTCAAATGTTGCAGTTTTGCCCTGATGGCTCATCGCTAGAACAGAGGCAAAGTTTTCAGGGTGAGCTGGTGGAGATTATTGTGAACATCGTCCACATACTCAGCCATGAGGAAGACAATTCCACACATCTGAGCCCACAAGGTACAATTACAGTAAAATGCATGCTTTCCATATGACGTTTGTTTGACAAAACATATCAATGCCAAATAAAACATCTGAATTCTTTACTCTTACATTGTTCCACAGACTGTTTGAATGGGAGGTCTGAAGGGCAGATGGGCATACTGATGGAGAATGTGTTGCTGTTCAGTAAGACTATGCTGCAGAAGCTATATGATGGAACATTAATTGGAGACTCGTCGACAATTCTAAACTTCCTTGCAGATTGGATTATGGTGGTGAGACAAGCATAAAAACAGACCACAAAATATGTGACTAATTTATACTCACAGATGACATATACAGTATGCTTTATTATTCTAGGCTCTGGAGAAAGGTCAAGCTCAAAAGGAGAAGACCGTGTCGGCCCTCTACTCATGCACCAACAAGGTCCTGCTTTATTTCTTGTGTCAACCGCGACATTCCCAGGAAGAAAAGGAAGAAGTCATCAGGGCACTGCAGACCTTCATGGAACGCTGGGACATTCTAATGGCAACTTACAATGCAAATGTTAACTTTCTTACTTGCCTTCTGCACTGTCTGTTACTGATTCGCTCTGGCAGGTAATGGTAACATAAAACTGACAAATATTTTCACCAAAGATCACCCGAAGTTCAATATTTAGTTTAAAATTTTCACTTTTTGTAGCTACCCTGAAGGTTTTGGTTGTGTGACACAACAAAAACGCATCAGGAAAAAGTCATCCAGCCCGTTGCTTCCCAAAACTAAACATTCTGCAGACCTCAGTAATGGACTTAAAGACGGTGCGACAGGTATGAGGTCCAATAAGAGGGGAACTCTTTATGAGACTTTATCACTCTAACTAGGTTTACGTCGTAGAGACTTCTGAGTGTATGTTTGTGTATTCCAGATGACAGACAACTGGTGTCCTTAGCAGAGGCCTGCTGGTCAAAAGTCCTTTTAGAGAGGCAACACATACTCGAAGAGAGTTATAAGATGGAGTTCTCGGCAAACGACGCTGCTGATGCAAAGCCTGTTGGGATGACCAACATCAGTCCTCTTTGGGAGGAGACGGCACAGAAAGCCTGGTTGCTATACACAGGTGAGTCCTGACTGTCCTGGTACGTGCTGACTTCAAACATGTTTGCTGTTAGCAACAGGGTGTTAACATTTAGCATATTTTCAGAATCACAGAAGAAGAAGGTGGCCAGCACCTCTCAGAAGAGGTATGATGCCATCAGCAATGCTATTCGCTCCATTTTGGGCAAAGGTCAAGAGTCAGACAAATCAGAGGTACGTACACACTCAGAGTTGGGTTTTCACGCAGCGTAGGACGTTGAACCTGCTCGTCTTCCTGGAGGAAAGTGGGGTTGTTTCCTTTTCCCAGCTGTTTCTGCATCCTAGAGGATACCAGACACTCATCCCAAAGTAGCAACTGTGCTTGTGCTTCGGGCCGTCCAGCCCTACGGGGGTGTTTGATTATTTCTTTAAATAGATTTGGATTATCACAGCTGATTGCCCCTGAGTGGGCTTTGTAATTGATATCTTTTAGGCCTATCCATGGGAACACTTGCCACAACACACTGTTTGCTGCTGAAGGTTAAAGACACATTTATTGTTGTTTTTCTCCCTGAAACACGTGGCCCACATCATTAGTTCCCCCACAACGCTTAAGACGTTGAGCCATCTGGAGCAGGGAGCAGGGACATATTACTCAGGCACACAGGCATGAAATTACCACGTCTGGGTGTCTGTCTCACACCAACAAAAGTGTATGTGCGTTCTTGTTTGTGCATGTCCCTTTCCCATCGAAATCATGTTGGCAATTACAGTGGTACCAATCTGATGAAAACATTATTCATTTGATGTTATTCTTTATCATATCAGTCTTTGACAGGCTATCAGAGAAGGTGATGAATTGTTTTTCTGTCTGTGATGCAGTGCAAGGGAGGGAGGGATGGTCTCTATCTTCCTCTTTGCAGTGTGTTGCTTTTAAGAGGTTGCACACTAGGGGAGGATATTCAAATAACCATCAGCGATGGTCAGTCATCTTGTTTTATTGTCCATTCCCAAAAAAAGAAGAACGAGTTATTAATACGTTTCTCTGACCCCTGACCTTTTTTTGGTATGTAACAAGCTTTTAGTCTTCCTTTTCTGTAGGAGAATCCCTGGTAATGAAAGGCATAATTTCTTGGTATTGCATGTGTATTTTTATTCACCAAAAAAGAGTTTCAGTGTAGGTAATGTGTGAGAATATAGAAATTGATAGGCAGACTATATCCTCGGTCAAGCTTCAGTGCATTCCTTCCTGAGATTTATTTCATCAGCGAATGCAGTTTCCATAATCATATCTGTGTCCTCATATTAGAAAGATAATTAACAGCACTAATGATCACGTTAAGTTCATTACACATTCACTGCCAGCTCACAATGAAGTTGACATTATGTTGCCTTATCATCAAAGGTGGCGTATTGTTGGGAAGTCATTAAAATGGAAATGAGTGTGATGTTCTGATGTTAATTGCAGAGGGAAGAGATGAGTTATGTATTTAATGCAACATTTAAAAAGCCAATGAGGTTCCTATCTGCTAAATAGGGTAATTAATGCTATATATTACTTATGTTTGTCCAAATGAAGGAATGAAATTAGAGAGGATGACGCCGACTTGCTGTTTATCTGTCACAACCCAGCTCTAGTTTGTAAACTTCATTAATACACTCTTCTGTCTGTAATATTTCTATAATCTCCCTTAAAATTATGCCTTCATTTCTTTTTCTGTACGGTTTTCTCATTTGGATTCACAAGCATTCGTTTAGAGAAAGAGTTTGCTGTCTCCACAGGGCTTGTTAAAGTTTTTAGTGAACTTTTGCCCATGGGTTTACTCTGTAAATTACCACAAATGTTTGCATGTCGTATCATTCAGAAGTGTTGGGTTACTCTTTTTAATGTGCTTGGAATCAATTATTTCATCCATGGGGCTAAATTGCAGAACGCAGTATTAGCATCTGTAAATAAAACTCAATATAAACCGTTGCATGATCACTCAATTAAATGGCTTTCCTGGGTCAGCTGTAAAGACGGACACATGTTGTTTCAGTAGTCTCTGAGTGAGCACTGCTGTGATGATGCGTTTAATGAAGCAGTTAACTGTCAGAATATGATCCAAGTGTGTCTGTTGAACATTAGCATCCTGCAGTGTCAACACACCTTCATTTATTTGATTTTTCTAGATTTGTTTTTTCTCTTAATCAAGAAAACAAAAAAAGACGGAGACGCTAAAGGTGCACACACAAACGTACCTTGCCCTTTGATGGTAGTGTTGCTCAGTGATATTAATGTTTATGTTAATTAGATCACACCAACAAATGATTAAATTTGTAGACAGGGTTATTGTAGGACCGTAGCCACTAGCTTATTTCGCCCAGTGAATGCAATTTACAACGGATGTAATTGTATGAATGCATTGTAATTGCATAAGGAAACAACAATTGCTATTATGCATACACAGTTTTTGTGAGCATGACGCGTGTGTTTGTGTGTGTGTACCATATGAACAAAGGCAAGAGTGATTGTGCTGTACCTCTTTTCATTTGCAGCTATTTTTCCTCTTGTTTCTTTTTAGGAGTTTCTATCCTACATGGACTCGCATCGACAGAGAGGCCAAAGCATGTTTGAGAAAATGAGAGCAAAACACTTACAGGTTTGACTATTTAAATTATTTTCATTAAAAGAGAAAAATTAGATTTATTCTGTTTTTTTAATATCATAAGTTTCTTTTATCCTGGACTGTGTCTGCTCTTCAGTTACGAGCGTCTGAGTGGGAGCGTGTGAGCTCCCAGTGGCAGTGTGTGGAGGCCGAGCTGCTTAGGGAGAGAGCTGTGTTCGGACCTGGCCCGGGGGTGCTGTTGAGCCAAGACTGGGTGCAAGACTCTGCTGAAGGACCCAATCGCACTAGATTGCGCATTCGAAGAAAAGCCCTGAGACGTTCAAAACTGGTATAGCAGATTGAAGCAGGTCTTGCTCAGTGTTCAGTCACTAAACATACTGTATGAAGCTGTATGAATGAAATCAACGAAATCATCTTGATATCACATGTTAGTCAGGGTAGTACTGTTCCAACATTTTTGGTACTTAAACTACAATCCTCAAAGAAGTAACACATTGAACATTTTCACCTGCTCCTGGCCATTACTTAGAGTGCAGGTTTAATTAATCTGAATTTAATACATTTGTGAGTCACAGAGGCACTTGTTTTTCTTTACATAGTCAGTAATAGTAATGATAGTATGCTAATGGGGCTATATCTTTTTACAACAGGTGCTAGGGATGCTGCACCTGGGTTTGAGGTCTGAAGAGGGCAAAAGTCGAAGTGAAGGTGAAGCAGGTAAAATAACTGGCCTGATGAACTTCTTCTTTAATGAAAATCCAAATTGTGCTTTCAGTACTAAATTTCACCATTAGACAGCACTATGTCCTTCTATTTTTTTTACCTTACAGTTTGGTTTTATTTTATATAGTGACAAAAAATAATTTTCTGTTTTCAGAGCCAAAGATTTTGTGTGAGGTTGGTGTGGAGGTTAAAGAGGATGAAGTGGAAGGAGGACAATTTAGTGACCGCCTGACATTCTTTCCTGCTCTGAATGAGCCTCAGTCTGTCACTGACGAACATCTTGATCCTTTCACCCATCAACCCTGCTCCCTCACACAAGACTGCCCAGACATACGTATCATCCTGCAGGAGCTTCACCCTGAAGATAAGGTACTGGGGCTTAAGGTGTTATCTGCTGAGCTGAAAAGAATAGTCCTGAATAGAACCACAACTCCCTCCTACCCTGTTAATATTCACATTTCTAATTATCTGATGCAGACTAAGGGATTCCAATAGCCCAGCGCTGCTGTCTGAGCTTCATCTTTCCTCATTAGTACCATATTTTAATGTTGAGGCCCAGCACAGCTCTTCTCATTCTTATAGTGAGTTAAAAACCAGTTCACATGTTGACAGGGACTCTCATCGCTCCGGCAACCAGCCGCGGCTTTTAATGTTTCTGACTGAAGTATTAATAAAAGCAGTAGGAGGTGATGCAAGCTGTCTTACATCTGCTTAGTAAGTGTGTGATGTGTGCAAGTGTGTCCTGTTGTCTTGCAGTGGTTCAGTGCATGACTCCTGCTGAGCTTCCTGTCAAATGAACACCGTCATTAGCTCTGAAAAATGCACTCACACACTCACAGACGAACACTCACACAAAGGGAGACCCACTCATAATTAGCTTGCTGGCGCCAATAGTGTGATTATGACAGTAATGTGTGTGGGGAGAAATCAATGGTCTGACATTAGGCTCTCAGTCAATAAAAGTCCTCCTTTTCACTCCTCCATCCCATCATCAGCTAAATCACCCACAGACTGATAACGCATATCTGTCTGGACCACAATAAGGAGATAAGAAAATAAGTTTAATTATTATTATGTATTTAATTTTTTATTACAATGAATTCAACTAGTTTAATCCAGTCATTGTTATTGTAGCTTGTACTCACTGACCAGCTCAGAAACTGATGTAGCTGAGCTCAGACTCCGTGACTCCGCTTAAACACTTTCCTGCTATAAGTTAACTTATTTTTCTTAGCCTGTCTGTGTGCGCGTGTGCGTCAAGACAAAAGGTTCTGATCAGTTATCAGTTCTCCTATTTTGTGTGAGGCAGTGATTAATTCTCCTAATAATAGCCAGACAGGACCTCGTCCTTGCCCACAAAATGTGTGACTGCACATCTGGGGGTAGGGAGCCTGATTTGATTTGTATAAATTGCGAGGGGCCTGTGGGTATATCGGGACCCCATATGGTTTTTTGTCGCCTGTCCCAAAGGACCTGCAGGGGGGCCAGCGCAGGGAGATAGCCAGGTGCAAACAGTCGTTGTGAAATGAGGGGAGACAATAGAATTATCTACGCATTATCACAATGCACTTAGCATTAGCTCCAACTAGTGCTGAAAGCAGCATGTGGGTTCATTGGGCGCTGGATGAAACACTATCGCTCGGCTGGAAAGGTATGGTCCTCCTCCTCCTCATCATCAATTGGCTCTGATAAGGAAGTGTTCAATAGTGTCTTTTTAATAAGGATTAAAATGTGTAATTAAAACAATCAATCAAAGAAAGCCTGAGGTGCCTGTCTGTCTTCCATGTCGTGGAAGTGTGCTTATGTGTATTGAACCTCTCTCATGGGACTTTGTGTCCTTCTTACTCTATAGGTAAAGGCAAAGATGTGTGTAGTGATGGTGAGTAGCCTCAGAGTGACCGAGGGTTTGTTGCTGTTTGCGAAGGACAGCTTGCTCTTGTGTGAGGGATTCACTCTGGGTCCTACTGGAGATGTTTTCTGCCGGAGACACCACCCCAGCAGGTAAAGCTGGCCGCTCAGTTGTCACATTTTTATTACTGCCCACATAGGTCAGTCAGATAATCATCACCTCCTGTGTCACTCTCTGCCAGTGTGAGAGATTCCTTTATTTCCACCATGCTGAGTAAAGAGCTGCCATCAGCCAGTTGCAGACGCTGCCTATATGAGGACATCAAGGAGGCTCGCTTCATGCGGTTCCTCTTAGAGGTCAGATATCTGAGTGATCACACTAATAGAGAAAAATGCTGAAAATTCAGTGTGGATGTTTTTGTGCCATTTCATATTTTAGAAAATGGATTTCTGCATTCCAAATCTTTTAAAGGCAGTTTCCTTCAAAGGTTTTTTCTTTCTTATTAACTCTCTTTTTTTATCGTTACCTGTGACCTTCAACCACAAACGCAACATCTTTGCTGTACATTTTATTTTTTTGTTCCATTAGATATATTCAATTTTTCCCCCCAGTTGAATACATCATGTATGTGTTATACAAAAAATGAATTGTTAAAAAAAAAAGCATGTCACATTCTCTGGCAGTATCTTCGCTTAAGCTTATTAGTAAATCGCTCAGTGTTGTTAATGTTGAGTCCTACTTTGAAATGGGTAAAATGTACAAATATATTGTGACAACATCAACATATCTGCGTTAAAATAAAAAGATGTGCATCTTTGTTGCTACAGGACAACGCAATAGAAATATTTATGAAAAACGGACACTCTGCTTTCCTGGTATTTCTAAATAAGGACCATGTCTCTGCATACAAAAGGTGACTTGTTTATATGTACATCACATCAAAAGATGTTTATTTCCAGCAATTGTGACTCAGTTGTGACTCTTCATGTTTATTGTATCCTCCCCCTTCAGACTAGGCACAGTCGTACCAGCTTTGAAAGGCAGAGCCGTTGCTGAGGTCATTGCCAATGCCAAGTAAGCTGCTTATTGTTACACTCGTTCAAAACTCATATTTTGAGAATTGTCTATCTCAGTTTATATTAAACCTATGAAAATATTGTTTTGCCAAATATAGTTTTGAACATGCGTATTAAAGTCTTTTAGGTTACATCCCTTCCAAAAGCCCTAAGCAGGTTTGAAACAATGATATCAGCAGATGCTTGGACATGTGATGGTTTTCTTGGATTCCAGCTTTCGTTTGATCCTCCACACATCCTGATTCATCCTGGCTACTGAGTTTGGTGTCATCAGCCCAGAAAAATTCATTTTCTTGCGCTCCTCAAACAAATCACCACTTCGTTCTCCTCCATCTCCTCCACACCCTGTTTTAAACCTTTGTGCTTCACATTTCTGAATATTTTCTTTTAGCTCCGACGTTTTCCCTTCTATGTCCTCCTGAGCACATGTGAGAGGATTTCGCTCAATGTTCACTTTAGTGAGGTTGCGTAAAGCTTTCAGGAACTCTGGTAGCTTGACGAATAGGTTATCATACAAGCCTATTTCCTGGAGATTTTCTAAGTGTTCAAAGGTGGGAGGTAAGGCCTTCAGCTGGTTTAGTCCGAGGTTTAGACTCGTCAGGTTGATGAGACGACCTAGTGAGGAGGGTAAACCGCCAGAAGTTAGGCAGTTGTTAGCGAGGTTGAGATGGGTCAATCCCAATAAGTTGCCCATGGACTCGGGTAAAGACTGCAGCTTGTTACTGTGCAGATCCAGCAATGTTAGTGTTGAGAGGGCCCCAATGTTGTTAGGGAGGGCTTCTATCATGTTACTGCTGAGGTCCAACTCCTCCACATTGGTAAGCTTAAACAGACACTTGGGGAAGACGGTTATGCCCATGTTACTAAGGGTGAGTCTGCGTCTTCCATCCGGGGTTGTCTTTATCGCCTTTTTGGCGGTCTTGAGGGTCACCTTTGTCCGTTTGGCTCCCTTTTTTTTGGGCATCGTACTGCAACGCAGAGAGAATTGCTGAACAGTTCAGATTGAATTCTCACCTAAGCCTCCCTATTGTGTCAGTTGCCCCAAGAGACTGATTTACAATAATTAATCTAATCTACACACCCATACACTTCTGCAGGAAATAAATGTGTTGTGTATATGTTTAAGTGTAAGTATGTGTGTGTAAGGCTGATGTGATTTATTCCGATACAAGGGCCTATGTATGGCCTGGGGCAGTGAGGAAAGCATGCACTCTGCGGAATGAGAACTTGAGCAGCGTGCGGGTGTGTGTGTCACAGTGTTGTGTCTGCATTAGTGCATGCTCACCCTGTGTTGCCCATGGGGGTATTTAAGAGCACGACTCTCTAATTAAGGCTAATACCAGGGAACAATAGGAGAGAGGCAAGACTGGGTAATACATACAGCAAAACAAATGAGTGTTGAAGCTCCCTCCCCATTCAACTGATTGAGTTGTTTGGCTCCTTTCTGGCAGAAAAAGGTGTGTGTGTGTGTGTGTGTGTGTGTAGGACATCAACATGTGCGCTGACAGACGTAGAGGCACGGTATTATCTGTGTATGTGTGTGCACAAAGAGTCAAATCAAGACTTTGATAAATGATAGTTTGGAAGTGTTGGGAGTATAATGAGGGCTTAGCTCTTCTCCCCTCCCTGTCTAAAAGAGCAAGGTGTGTGTCTGTTTGTGTCTCTGTTACACCCCAAGGCCCTCTCTCGCCTCATTCATCATCCTCAGGATGAGAGAGGTTATCCACTGGTGCTTGTTCCCATTATAACCTCCTATAGGAAACTATTGCATGAAATTATTGCCTGCAATTAGATAATACACACTGAGCCAAATAAAATGATTGATTTAGTGTAGTTTTACAAAATAATTTGGTCAAGACTTTATTGATGTTTGAAAGTGGTTACACTTATTCTTTCAACCCATTCATTACATGGATCCTTATTGAGTGTTTTAGCTAGTAGTCTTACAGAAAACTTTTATCCACATTTTCAGCACGTATAAAGATTTGTACTCACCATATTTTATCTTTGTTTTTCCTGAACCAATGTTGATCAGATCAATTGGATTCCCTTGAGTTTTTAGAAAAGCTCTTTTGAACCTGTACAAAAAAAGCCAAAGTAAAAAGAAAAGTTACTTTATAAATGTCAAACATTGGAAGACTACATGTAAGATGTGGCTAGTTACAAGACATTGTAATCAAAATACCTGCTAATCCTTTCAAAAGAAGAGAGCAGGAATGCACTGTTTCTAAAGTCGAGGTTCCTCTTGTTTGGCAGTGTTACTTAGCAACTAGAGTGTTTGGCGCCAGACTTTATTGCCACATTACTGTTGCACAGAGGGAGAGGAGATTTCAGAAGCAGCTGATCATTTTTCCAATTTAAATACATTTAGGTTGCTGCTCTGCAAATAATGAAATGTTCCACAGAGTTGTCATTTTTCTGAGATCAGTCAGTCACGCATTCTGGTGGACCTCATTAAAACAATGCAAGAAGAGAGCCCTTTCTCTTTTTTCCTCTGAATATTGAATTTTAAAGGAGCTATGAAGGAAGAAATCTTTTGATAGAATGCTGTTTTCCCTATTTGCCGAGTAATCTTTCATCTTTGTTAACCAACACCGCCTTAAACATCACTGGATAACTCTGCCCACTACACATAGATCGCGATATGTTTTCACATAACCTACAGATGGCACCATGTGATACAATCCTCCACATCCTAACTCTGTTTTTTACGTGTCCTGCGGTTGCTCACCTCACTCTCAAAACTGCTCCTACAGCTGTGTACATACATTTTCTGTTTCCTGTCCCCTACTCACCTCCATTCTACGGCTGCCCTACTTTAAGCTTTGCTACATTTAAACTCTTGTTACTAGGCAACACAGCAAGCAAAGAATCTTTCTGTTGTACTGGGCTCAGACACTGTTGCTAATGCAAGGCATTTGTGTTTATTGTGCTCTAGAAAGACTCCTGTGGTTGAAAAGGCAGCCCTAGTTAAATGGCAGGTAATGTAATAAACACTGCCCCCCCCCCCCCACACACACACACACATTTTTGCTGGAGTTGGTGCCCAAAGAGTCAGCACCGTATGATCGTTCAATTGTTCCATTAAGCTACAAAGTTTTTGTTTGCTTTATGCTCGTCTTTTCTGTCCTCTAGAAGGGAGAGATGAGTAACTTTGAGTACTTGATGCACCTGAACACCATTGCTGGAAGGACATACAATGACTTGATGCAGTACCCTGTTTTCCCCTGGGTTCTGAATGAGTATCAATCAGAGGTAGATTCTCACATGACGCCCGTAACTGTCACGCTGCGCAGAGTGTCACAGATTTGGTCCTCTTATGTTCAACAGATACTGGATCTGACAAATCCTGCAACTTTCCGCGATCTGTCCAAACCAATGGGAGCCCAGACAGAGAAAAGGAAACAGATGTTCATCCAGAGATATGAGGAGGTGGAGAACAATGAGGGTGAAGGTATCTTCGCTTGATTTTTAAAATTTTCTTTTCACCCCAGCGAAATAAACTTTTTCAACCACTCTACTTGTTCATCCTAAAATAGTTTTCTCATCCTAACAGAACTGGCAGCTCGTTGCCACTACTGTACCCACTACTCCTCTGCCATCATCGTGGCCTCTTTCCTTGTCAGGATGGAGCCTTTTTCACATACTTTTCAAACACTGCAGGTGAGGCCACAGCCAGCAGGAGTGTGAATAAGCAGAGTTTCCATGTCTTTAAATTCTGCCGTCGGATTTAAAATATATGACTAGTTTAACTATACCTGACTGACTTGTTTCTGACCTTTCTATGTGGTTAAGGGATTTTTAATGAAAATGTAGATGATGAATAAAAATCTGACCCCACTGATGTCGGAGCTGTATACAATTAAATATTACCTCAAGAGGACATGCTTTATGAACAACTTACTGCTGCCAGTCACTCTTCATAACTTGACATTGTAATGTAACACATAATTTTTTATAGACATTAGAGTTGAATATAATGTAAAATCTAATGAATATAATGCAAAATGTCTCCCTCCGTTTTATGCAGATGGATTCTAGATTAAGCATCTAAAATAAGACGTAACAAATCTTCACATACACATATTTAACAATATATGTATAAGATTTTTTCTGGGATTATCACAGGAGAGGAAAAAAAAACACATTTGTTGCTTTGCAGTCTGTTTTCACAAACCCAGAAACCCTTCTGCAGACACATGCTTCCTCAAACCTCTTCGCCATATATTGCTTTGTCATCTGTTTTAATTTGAGAAATAATTTTGCTAATAAAATGAATCTAATTCGAGCCCTTTTCAGCACTCATCATCCTGTTTTTGGTATTAAGGAAAATTGTTGAGAGAGTTTAATATATATGCAAATAATTATGGAAAGCATCTAAAAGAAGCTGATACGAATAGCCACAGGTTTTACCAATTTCCAATACAGTATTCAGTTGATTATAATGAAGAGGCATGCATATTTGATAGTCAGAATAAAGTAATAAAGATGTTCATCTGGTGAATCGGGATGTCTTTTTGTCCTCTGAAGCATATAAGTGGTGTGTAGTAATATCCATAAATGAATTTACATCTCTAACCTGGTTTACTTCTCTATGTGGTTTTTGTTCAGTAATTGTTTTACTCTAAATAACATTCCTTCTCCTGAGATTTTTACCAGAATTATGAAATTTCACATAGAGAAGAAAAAACTTCTCTGAGAGCAGAAATAGCTTACGCATTGTGCCGAACAATGTGAAACAGGGTTTCCTGCGCTGACGCAGGCAGCTTTATTAACAGGCCTGATTCCCAGTTTGCTTCGGGGATGCGCCGATGCTCTGACAGAGGATTCTCTGCTCTGCCCTTAGGGAGGCTTTGACATCCCAGAGCGGATGTTTTACAGCATAAAGAAAGAGTGGGAGTCGGCCTCCAGAGACAACATGGGGGACGTCAGAGAACTGATTCCAGAGTTCTTCTACCTGCCAGACTTCCTGCTCAACTCCAACAACATCCAGCTAGGTCAGAAAAAAAATCCAAAATGAAAATCAGATTTTACTTTTGAAGTTTTTCACCCCATTTAAATTTAAATTTGTGAAGTGCTTATGGAAAAGGAAAGCATTCATCTACCGTATTTTGTGATTTTTGTCCACAAATGTCATAAAAAAATTAGAAATCCATGATGATTCAGACATCAATGCTCTGTGTTTCAATCCCAATCTTTTTATGCCATGTCCATCTACTTTTCAGGCGGAAAATATTATTTTGTTTTCTTCACTACATCTCACTGACATTTTCTTTTCATTTGTCTGACCTACCTCCTAACTCCTGCTCCACTTTTCTGCCAGATAAACACAGTTATCAACGCATTTCCCCCCACGTCTTTAGCGCTCTGCATACTGTCTCATCTGAGACAGAAAGAATAAACTTATCGTCACTTTAAGACTTTTCTCAAAAGCTTGATTTAATCTCTGACCCCTTGAATTATGATCTGCTGGGCGGTTATTGTGGTATTTGTGCCAAATTACACCCCTTAGCATTATAACTCCCAGAGGTTTTCCTTTAAAAAGACAGATATTTATATTGATCATTTTAAATATCTTAACTATTTTAATATGCCAGCACAGGCTGTAGAATGTACATACCTTATGCATTATTCATATGCAATGCTGTAAATAAGAGTCCAACACATATTCAATACTTTAAACTTGGCTTTTTTTCCCCTTTTGTTTTCAGAAACACATTCCTGTGAATTATTTTGGCAATATAAGAAAATGCCTCCAAACAATAAGTAGCGGTTTAGCTAAACATATCCTTATGGGCTATAAACCATCAGAAGACATTAATCTGTGTTTCCTTAAAAACATGTTTAATTGATTTCCCTCCCCATCAGTCATTGGCAAAGCCTCTTGTACCATTTGCACCGGCTAGCTTCTGCTCCTATTATTTTTGTGCATTCTGTTTCTTGCATAACTCCTACAGCATCATTTTGTAAAGATATGTTCAACAAAGCCTGAACAAAGATATTGTTCAGGCTTTTTATGTGTGGAGATATGTATGTATGTTCTTGTAGAACACACAGCAGGAACAGGAGCAACACTTCAAACACACTACTGCAGTGTAGTACGCCAATATTCTGTGCATAGATGCTAAGTTTTAAATCCGAATCAATACAAGTGCTGTCATGCACATTCATTTTCCTTTGTTGACTCCACAGGGTATCTTTCACTTGCAATTCCACATTGATGTGATGTATCCATATCTCCTTAGGTTGTATGGAGGACGGTACTGCTTTAGGAGATGTTGAGCTGCCTCCATGGGCAAAAGGTGACCCCCAGGAGTTCATTAGAATCCATCGAGAGGTCAGTAACACCTAACCTCTCTGGGCCTGTCTGTTCCAATTGGCCAGCCTAGCCTGTTATGCTGACTTTTCCCATGAAACCTAGGCACATTTGTCAATAGCATCTGATGTATGTTAACAGAAGAGACACTGTTTTAGTGCCTCTCGATAAACAGTGGCTCGACGCTTGGTACTGAAACAATGTTGACTGCAGTCATTTTGCCCTTATTCTCTCTGCAGAGTGTAATGGAGACATGTTATTCATAGCAGTCACTGTCTTATTCAGTTCAAGTCTGTTCTGTTAGTACTGTTTTCAACTATAATACACTGTTGTTAATGTTGTTGTTTTTTCTGTCAAGAACATGCATGAAAACCATGCATCTGAGGTTTAAATGACAAACACTGAAATACAGCAAACTAATTCATGCAGACACAAGACTTTCCCTTTTTCATAATGCTGTTATTTCTTCCAGTTGTTAATGGGTTGAATATTCTCTCTGTGTCTTTTGTCAGCCTCCTTTTTCTCCTACACTGTTAGGTTATTGTGTATCTCTTTGGGTCTAATTTCTCCAGTATGACCCTCCCTTTTTCCATTCCTGGGGCATCTATGATGGTTATCACTCTGTAATCAACTGAACTACTCACATTCCCCATCATTCTCATAAAATTAGTGACTTTAGAAGATTGTTTTTTTCTTCCACAGACAAATTAACTGAGGACAATATGTCCTTGTTATAATGTTTTTTTTTTGTTCTGTTTCTTTTTTTTAATCTTTTCTTCCAGGATGGGTTCATTGCAGCAAGGATATAGCTGGCCATAATGCCCACTTTCCCCTTATTAACTCTCAAAAACCAATCTCTGGCTAATTCTACCCAAATTGTTCTTTAATTCTTCTATGAAGATATGTTCATAACACAGCTGTTAAACCTCCTGCTAGACTGGACCTCTAAATCTACTTTCAGAAGAAATCAGTCTTTACCTGAATAAAGTCATTGGCTTTGCAATCTTGGAGAAGTTTTGTGTGTTCCAAACTCTGATAATAACAGTCTGAGTGATGGTTCTGCGTGTACAACAATAACAAAGAATGTATCACACTTCTGTTTTTTAAGACTGTACAGTGTAGTTTTGTGTTATTGCTTGACTAGCCCGTTTTAGCTTGTTGAGTCTTGTTCTGTTTGTGTTAGGCCCTAGAAAGCGACTATGTGAGCTCCCACCTCCACCTGTGGATCGACCTCATCTTTGGATATCGGCAACAAGGCCCGGCTGCTGTAGAAAGTGTGAACAGATTCCACCCTTACTTCTATGCTCAGAGAGGCAGAAAAGATGCTAAGGATCCCATCATCAAGAGCACAATCTTAGGATATGTGAGCAACTTCGGCCAGGTTCCAAAACAGGTAAAATAATCATAAATACCATCCTGAACTCTTACTTCTGCCGTAGGTATGTCATATAATTTTTTAAACATTGCGTTTGTTTGATAGCTCTTCACAAAGCCCCATCCACCTCGCAGTGGCTCCAAGAAAGAAGGATCATCGCCATCCCGTCCAACTCCGTTTTTTCACAAACTGGATAAACTTAAGACTTCTTCACAGCCTTTCCGAGGTACAGCCACACAAAACAAGGGGAGGATGTGGGAGACCACAGCATCCCACGTTCAAGTCATAATTATATTACTGATATGAAAAACTGCTTTTAAACATACACATCTTTCACAGAAGCAAAAAAACGAAAAGCAAATTAAATGTAAAGTTGGGGAACTCTGGCTAGTGCTTGATTGAATTTTAGACTTTGTTTTATTTTGCTATTATTATGTTAAACTATGTTTAACTCAAGAAGACTGAGGGGCCATCACAAACCCTGCATTTACACCATTTTAAGGAAAGCTGAAAGCAGATAGTAAACTCTGCTTCAGTGTGTCTTAAACTGTAGCAGCTGTTAATGCTGATTAATGGGGCAAAGTTTGAAGAGTTAGATTGGCTTGTATCACCTAATTTGTTGACCTTTCTTAGGGTTAAAGGACACAGGTAACATGGCTTTGTAAGAGTAACAGTAAAGAAATGTGGTTTTAAGCACCCTCAAGAAATCTGTGTAAGCTATTTATTGTACTCACAGTCAAAATGCTTATATTTCTTTAAATAAAAGGTAAGAACAAAACATGTTTTAGCATAGAAAGTGGATTTTCTTTTTCAAATAAACACATGAACATAGCTATTTTCTGCTGAGCGTACCACATGTCACTTCTTTGGCACTATTTTGTGTTGTTCCTCTTTTAATTTATCTCTTACAATTTGGTGTACATTATTATACACAGGATGTGCCTATCAAGGGAACCATTGAGACACAATGAGAATATCCATAGATTAATTTATCCTACAGAAGGGTAGAAAGAGCTATCTGTTAGAGCTACAATGTGGAGATGACTCTTCAGCTGAGCCCTATTTAATAATCTGAATATCCCTACAGGCCCACTGAGGGAGAAGAGATGAATCTGCAAATGCTTGGGGAGAGATTCCTGCATATTACATTTCATATTAAATCTAAGAGTGTCTGATCTGATCAATAAGCAGATAGAGATGAATAGCAGGAGGAACGTTGAGACAAATGCAGACAGAACTTCTTTCTTGGGATTTTAGAGCAGGATTGGTGATAGGATGTAATAATTTCTGCCTTTTCCTGCATGAATAGGTCAATTACTAGCACAGTTATGGTCTTTTCCTCACCCATATACTCATGTGTTCTGTCTGAGAACCAGGAATACCCCCAGGATCAAGCCGCACTTATTGTGACCTGAGAGTACCTGTTTTAATTGCCCGGTTTTCTCTGGTCAGTTTAATGAAATTCTTTGCAAGTTAACTGAACAGCCAAACTTTTTAAAATGACATCTGTGAAAGCAATTATCTGTAATCAGTCTGGCAGGTTCATATAGGCACACAAACTGCAGCAAGAGCTATCTTTTTCGTATACGTTTTTTCGTTGCAGCCTTTGTTCCCCAGACATTTTAGGGGAAATCATCCTGTTCTTTCTGACTGCATTTCTCTAAACCTTGCAGAGCTTCCAAGAGGTCCAGTAGGTCAAATAATATGCCTGGAAAAAGAAGTCGTGGTGTTGGAAAAAAATCGACTCCTCCTCTCTCCTCTGCTCGGCTGCTACTTCAGCTGGGGATTCCCAGACAACAGCTGTGCCTTTGGAAACTATGGCACAGACAAGGTGCGTATATGGAGATTACAGTATGTTATGGTGGCATTTCTCTCGTCAGAGCAAAACTTGCCGACACTTTGAAATAGTTTCAGGACAAAATGAAACAAAGACAAAGCAATAGCCGTGCAGAAATGTGTTTTAAAGATAGGTAGGATTTGGTTGTCGTGACCCTTTAATTGTAACATAAAAAAAAAATAGAAATTCAAATAAATAGTGCATTTTTCCAATGTCTGTATGACCAAAACCTGCCAGTGCCCTTGCTTCACGCCTTCTCACGCATATTTAATGTCCGTGAAAAATGTACCTATATGTCTTTGGGATGTTTACAATTACTCCTGATTATTTATTAGATTCAGTTTGATCTGTTCATAAATATCATTATTTGATTGATTTAAATAATTAAATCCATATTATCATATTTCAATACAAAATTTTAAATGTTTAAATATTCAGAAACAATTCATCAGCTACTGCTGCATCATTGACTTTTTATGAAAGAACATTGGTAATAATCATGTTGCAGATGCTTCTGCTTAAACTTTAATTCAAATTGCTTCTTGACAAATAGATCAATCACCACGAATAACCTGTACTGTTCCTTATTTACTGATAGTGATTGATGAATGTAATGATCACAAGAGCAATGACAATTAGGATGCTCTTACATAAATTTATGACTCAGTAAATAATGATTTTCATTTTTATTTGCAGAACTTTGCGGTAAATGAAAGTTTGTGCGACTGGGGCGAGACGTTGTGCGCCGCTTGCCCCAACGTCACGACCATCATCACGGCGGGAACCAGCTCTGTCGTTTGTGTGTGGGATGTGGCCGCCAGCAAAGACAAACTCAGCAGCATGAAGCTCAGACAGGTTAGTCAGTGTGCATGGTTCGGCTTTGAAAATGACAGAATTTGGCCTATACAGAGTTACACACTGTAAATATACCACTGTTGTTATTACCAGCCATTATACGGTCATACGGATGCAGTGACGTGTCTGGCTGCCTCTGAGGTCCACAGCCTGATAGTGAGCGGCTCCCGTGACCGTACTTGCATCCTGTGGGATATGGAGGAGCTAAGTTACATCACCCAGTTAGCAGGGCACCCAACCAGTGTCTCTGCACTGGCCATCAATGACCTCACTGTGAGTCCATCTACTATATCTACGCTGTGTGTCTTTCCCTTTTCCTTCCTTTAGCACTTAGTCGTCATGTTATTTCTCCTGAACTCACCTCACACAACCAGGAAGGGATGATTCCCAGTGTTGACAGCATGTATATGCTCTTTTGGAGTATTTTACTTGCCGTGTGCGTGTCTTCACATGTATCTGTGCACATTTGAGCATGAATTTCAATCTTCTCTGTCCAAGGGTGAGATAGTGTCATGTGCAGGACCTCTGCTCTACCTGTGGACCTTGAAGGGCCAGCTGTTGACTTGTACCGCCACTTCCTGCGAGTCTCAGGCAGACATCCTGTGTGTAAGCTTCACACAGCGACATGAGTGGGATGCCAGGAATGTCATAGTCACGGGCTGTGCAGATGGGATTATTCGGGTGAGTTTTTTTGTATACAGGTCGGTAGAAAATTGATGGCAGCTCTTAGACATCTGTACCTGTGAGTTAGGGAATGTTTTGCAGTCTTCATACAGTATACTGTACAGTATTCTACGGTAGTCATTTTTTCAATATTAGCCTCTAAGGTGCCACCTTGAATGTTCATTGAAGTTATGAATAACAACATGTCAGTTATGTATGTTACGACAGTTTTTGCTGAGGATTAATATAAGCATACACAGCCTCTCTGCAATCAAAACTGCAAACTCAAAATTGTTACTACCTTGGGAGAGTGTCCATGCCACATGCACAGCACGTACACACAAAGGCTATCATTACTTTATCATTACTCTGAAAGTGTGCCGTATGCGTATGTGAGCGTACTTCTTATTATGTTGAATTATCTCTGTGATTTCTTTTTCTTTTTTTTACTCGTTATATGTCTTCCATACAGATATGGAGGACGGAGTACACTAGAACACAATTACCTGGCCCTCCAGAAGAGCCTGTGTCCCCAGGGCAAGACCGAACAGAGAGAGATGGTAATGTTACTGGCAGTCCGATTACAAATGCATATGGATGTTTTATTTACAACAACACAAATAATGTGAGTGGCTGACAGCCACAAAACTTTAAGCAAACTGAAAGGTAGCTGTGTTAAAAAGCAAGATCTTCTCATTCTTAATGTTTAGAAAAAAATAAAAGAACTGTTATCTATCTGTTAGGGTGAGACAATCATTTTTAACCGCTCATCTCAGAGGTAGACAGCTTTGGTTCCAGATGAGGGCTCGTATTGCTCACCCTATCCCTCACTAGCATAAGGGCTAGCAGGAATTATGTTGTTATAAAGTTATTAAACATAGAGGCAGTAAACGCTGATGAGTAATTCCGCTGACGTGTGTGCGTGTGCTTCTGTGTGTGTATAATTTAGAAAGCAATAATACCCAGATCCAATTTGGCATATGTTGGTTACAGCCCCGCGTCACCTCATAGGAGTATTACGCTTTCCAATTCACTGAGTCTTTACATAACCCCAAAGTTTTTATGTTTTAGATATTTTTCTCTATTCTTCCTCAACCTTTTTTTGACCGAATCCTGGACAGTCTTTGTGTGAGGTCATTTGGGTTAAGGTTTCACATGGTTCAGTTTTCCTTGACAAGTGGATGTGTTCTTTGCATAAATCTACAGTGACCAGCACACACCAGGTCAAAAGCTGGAAGAGACTTCTCATGCTATGTGAAGAGTTGTGCCAAGACCAGAGCGTGTCACAGCGCCGCTACAAAAGCAGTCCAGCCATCACCGCTCTGGCCATGTCCAGGTACAGCAAATATCCCACCCAATCTGATCAAAAACAAACAAGATGTGGTTTAGGGCTACTTACGTTAAACTGAATCTAATCTGTTAATTTTGTAAATACATAAAGACTTACACAAATTTCAGTTTGAAAAGGTATCCGTGTGCTTTAAAACAAGGCTTTTTGTCTTTTCCTCTGCGTAGAAGTCATGCAACTCTGTTGGCCGGTGATGCCTGGGGCAGAGTTTTTACCTGGACCTGTGAGTGAAAGAAGGAAGTACCCAAACACAGAAAAGCCCCCGGCCACCTTCTCTGTGTGATCCGTCTACTCTGAGAGAGACTCTGACAGATTAATGAATCAACCTCTCAGGTTTGACTCAAGCTGAGAAGCAAAAGCTGCTTCCCATCAGTTGCCGTGTGTGTGCATTCATGGAATTAATGTAACCCGAGATTGAAGTTTATTATTAAATAGAATATTTACTTAATGTATAAGTATGTAACTCTATATTTTTCTCTGTAAATATTAAATATTAATTAATTTGAATAAACATAGGTGGCACTGACCATGTTTGTCTTTGATAGACAGAAATCTAAGAAAGTTTGTATATTATTTTACTCAGTCAAGAAATGCAAAAAAAACTAAAGGAGAACTGGAAAAAATTTACGCATTCAACTGTGAGAGATAGACTAAATATACATGCTGTTGTACAAAAACTGTACTGCAGTATGTATGCAAAACCGTTTGACAACCTTTTAATAATGGAGCTAAAATCATCCTCTTAAATGCTGCAGGTCAAACAACATTGAAGTTTAAAACCAATGCACACAAATAAACATTTTTCACCACTAGTGTTGTACCACTTTGCTTTGGTAAATGTTTGGTAAGTGGAAATGTTTGTGGCATGAGCAGTTCAGGATGTTTGCATGTGAAAAGCTGTCTGGCCTTTGTTTTTCACAATGTGTTTTCGGTTTGCTTTGTAATGCTGTGTATAACTGCTTTTTTTGGGCCCTGATTCTCTATGGTGTTATGTGGCTTATTTAATTATGACACTGGGTTCTGTTGAGGTATTCTTTATGATTGTCACAGCTTTTTGTGTTTATGATTACTCAAGGACAGATACTTCTTTTCAGACCCCTCTCTGCAGGACCACACACTCAGATCCATTTGAGGCTTCACAGACCAAAACCTAACCCTGTCTTTACATCGGCTGTCGCCTTGCAGATCAGTGTGCATACTTAGGCTCCTAAATACGGCTGGGTTGTTGTGACTGTGGGGGTGTGAGGGTTTCTTGCGTTCTCTCTCCTTGTGGCACTCATGCACACGCGCCACTCCTCTCCATCATAAAAGAAGGGCTCTCTCTCTTTAACCTTTGTGTGTGTGGCTAATTGTGCTAAGTGGAGTGGCTTAATAGAGTGGAAAATAGTCCTCATAATTTTCCCAAAGAGCGAGCAATGACCTTCTCTAAAGACAACAGCCATCTCCATTCTCTCTACACGGCTGGTTTTATGATATGAGATGTCAAACTATCGGGTTCCTCAGAATAATTAAATCAAATAAATTATTGCACCTAGGCAGAACCATCTTGTAGCCTAACCCAATTATAATGCACTGTAAAGCTAATTATTAACCATGATTACAATTAGTCTAATTTGAATAAATGTAGTCATTAGCGGGTTCATCCCAGTCAGTGAGTGTGAGCTGTGGGGGATATGGCCTCTCTCTTAATCTCTCCCACACACTAAGTGAGGAGTGTGGATCATTCTCTTTCGCCAGAAACTTCCATCTTCATCCCATTTTTCACTATGACCTTCACAAAATGGTCTACATCTCCTTACCTTTTTCCAGGATCTGTATTTTGTGTTTATGGCTGTAATACTCTGATCACATTTTGAAATCAGAGGCATGAGTTGGTGCTGTTTATTTTCTGGTATTTTATTAGACAGTTCGTATGAAAATGACACATGTTTACTTTATTGATGTGAATCATACTTGAGGTTTGATGCTACTCCTGCATTGTCTGACTGCTAAACATGCTGGTTTCAGTTTGGTCATGAATTAGAAACAGAGAAGCTGATTTAAAAAATGACAAACAAGTTCACTGGCAGGTTATGGAGCACATTCATTTCTCCTTCGTCAGTCTGCCTCAAACTTCAGACACTGAAAGCACTGATGTGGTTTGGGCTCTTTTGTCAATTTTTTCCTCTGTGAAACATATTTTAGGCATCTTAAAAAGTACAATCTGCTTTGAATCAATTATCAAAACTGCATTTGCGTAAATCAAAGACCGCAGACCCAAGCATGTTTTTTAATATGGTGTATTAATACGTTAATGATAACTGGGTTTAAAGCTGAGTGTTACAGTGTCTTATGATGCCGCAATAAAAGAGCCTGGACAACAGTTCCTTTCCACGCAGTCTCCTGAGTTTATACAGATTAGTTTAGAGCAGAACTATAAACATCTGGCTGACAGGCCAGTAATGCCAGCAAACAAAAGAGCAGAGTTATAAGCCCCAAAAATACTGTTCTTTTGGATTGGAACTTCACAGAGCAAGGACACAAAGCCCCACTTACCAACGGATGTGGCATACATCCATCCAAAAAAACATTGCTGGATGCCATGCTCCTAGTTCATAAATATAGTCCTTTGTTTGACACTTCAATTCGGTCAGAAGCGCGAGCCTCTGCCCTCGCCAGGAGGTACCAGGTCGCCATGTTTACAGCTGTTTCTCCTGGAAGAGGATCTGAGCGTACACGGTGTCGGGGCTGGACGGTGCGGGGTCAGGGCTGCAGGGGACTGGGGGCTCCTGCCGGGGCCTGACCAGCTCCAGCTCTGCGTATGTCAGGCTCTCTTCTTGTATCGCTCGAGGCTGGAGGAGGAAATAAAATATGCACTTTTAGCTAAACTAAAAGAAAAGTAGCCTAAACAAGCACATTTTTCTACTGAAAACATTGCAAAGAACATATCTTGCCTATTTTTCTTTCCAACAACCGTCTCATCTGTGTTTCTCAGCTGCAGAAACTATGTGTTTACTGGGTTTGCAGGAGCCCTCGGAACATTAAGTTTACTTGAAAACATTTGGTACAATAGGAGTCTTATCCAACAGCCTCAGATCTGCCTAATTGGACTAATTCAATCCGTATGTGCGCGCAAAGAAAATGCTCACATCTCCAGAGTTTCATTTCACAACAAAATCTCTAGAACAGCATAAGTAGAAATACTGATTGTCCTTACTTTGAGTAGTTTTCCGTTGTATATACATCTTTGACACTTTTATTGTAGATATAAAACCAATGAAGCACTCTAAATAAATAATTGTGTTTCAGAAGCAATAAAGCTAAATAGAATTATCAAGCTCATAACTGAATGAGGAGATGGCAATAAACTCTGGTAGACAATCATGTGGTTGTGAAGCAAATTCCCTCTTGCATGCAGCTCCATAATAACTCTACTCTGAAAGAAAAAAAAACCCTGCTTTTTAAAACATAAAATATATGTGTTCTGAAGCACTGCTCGATAAGTGCTGGTTTTCGGACAGAAGGCTTTACGCTTCACTTAGGAGACTTACGGGGGCAGATCTCCGTGCCTTGGACCTTCTGGGTTTCTGAGGTCTCTTTGCAGCGACAGGCACTGAAAAACAACGACAACCTCAGCGACTCAAAACAGCCTCCAGGAGAAAGGGCCGACAAATATGAGCATTCAAAGTCACGGTCGTCCTCAGTCTATGTCAAAGTTTAGTTTAGAATAGAGACAAGTGCTTTAGTTTCCATGTTGTTGATTTAACCTCTGAGAGTTTACATTTCACATTCTCAGACTGTGTTCGTCTATATGCTCGATGTATACTGTCTTGCCATTAAAACTGTTTTTCACTGGAGGTGGGTTTTTTTTCTTCTTTAACCTCTAGCCCTTATTTTGGGGGGGCTGGGGCCTCACTTAACCTCAAGTGACTGTAATGCCTCCGACTGTGTGTGGAATTCGACACGAAAGTCAAATAAACTCAATGTGAAAAGACAGTAAAGCTGAACGAGGCTATGAGGTATGGCTAATGATACTGTGACTGTAGTGTCAGACTAATCCTAAATGCTTATTGATTAAACTTGATAATTAAAGCCTATATCCAGGTTGATTGTACCGTACCTTTGACTGGCATGGGGAGCAAAGCCTCTTGGGGCGGTTTTGGTGGCACCAGTACTCGTCGTTTGTCAGTTATATGGACTGTGTCTTTCCTGGGTGCTCTTGGCGATGAACTGGAACAACTGCTGGAGCTGGTTACAGTCTCTCCTGAGCTGTAAAAAGCAAATAAGATGGCTTTTCAGTCAGGAAAGCACCCAACAATCATGACTGGAAAAATGATGTCGGGTTGATGCTATTTAATGGCTTATTTTTGTTTTTTTAGATAACATTCACAAAATAGATTAGCACAATTAATAGATTAACACATAAAACCAAATTTTGATATTTTGGATACTAGTATCAGCAAGTGTTTACAGTTTGTGGTCAACAAAGCCCAGATAGTTCAATTTCTGTCTACTGATATTGTTCAAATGTTTCAGTTTAAAAAAAAACTATTAAAGCGTTTACTCATACCTGCTCTCTGGACATTTGACAAGAAGGTAACTGGCTGTAGAGAGAGAAGAAGCAACAAGAGCTGATTTTAGCTGTATTGTGATTTTATGCTCATCAAGAATGTTTTTTTTACCATACAAAAATGGAGAGAAATAGAAGACATGGTTTAACCTTTAAGTCTCTGTCTTCTATAGAAGTACTGGCAGGTGAGAACCAGCGTGAAAAAGAAGATGGACAGTAGGCCCAATGAGCAGATCAGAACAGCACACAAATACACATCTGAAGGAGAGAGTAAAAAGCTTTAGTATAGTGGCATTGTTAGGTGTATGAATTACACAGAAAAAGTTCTAGAGATGACAACAATACCTGCAAATAAAATCCAAACTCCTTCACTGCTACCATCTTCGGGGGTAAAGTGCACTGAGGAAACAGTTATTACAGAAGAATCAGCAAAAAACAGCACATATAGTATGAAGAACTGTGCCCAGACAATGGTTATTTGTAAATTGCTGACGTCTGTGGGCACTGACCCAGCTCAGCAGACAACATGAGTAGTTTCCAGAAATATCCAAACCATGATGAGAGTCTGCTGAAGTGTCAGCCAAACCCACCCCAGAAACGTGCACACAGGCCTTGACGTTTTGCTGCTCTTGGACAGAGTTAGGGGGGCTTCCCAATGCTTCACATATCAGCTTCTTTTTATTGGTCACTTCAAGCATTTCAGGTTGCTGTGAATGGCGTGGGAGCCACACAATGGCTTCCCGACATGGAAAACTGCACAAATAATCTTTCTATATATCAAAGAAACAGGCCATAATCTGAATGGACTTTACAGCCATTTTGAGATTGGCATAAAAGTGTGATCCGTGCCAGTGAAACGAGCCTTCAGAAGTAATTAACTAAATGTAGGTGTTACTGACTGAATTCTATCCTGAAGAGCAGTGTCTACTAAAATACTAGAATTAGAAAATATCATAAGTACTAAATACTTTTAGAAGTATCAGAAGACATACGAGAAAAAGTTCATATTTAGATTTAAAGGCCAAAAGTTGGGATTCAGAGTTTCAAATGAAGGCTAACCATCCTCTCATCTGGGAAAAGTCTTTAAGATAAAAGTAATTAAGTGACCTACTGAAAACTGCAGAGAGAGGGCTTCCCCGGGTTGCAACTTTTTCCTCTTTGTTTACCCTTGTAATGTTGTTTTTTGTGTTTCTGGTTGTGTGGTCAGTACATGTTGGAGATGCCTGAGGTCATGTGGCTTCCTCACTGTGCCCTGAAAATAGGGCGCAGGGCGTTGTCAAATGGCTCTGTCTAGAGGAAACCTCAATGCTTTTCTGGCATGAAACTGTTGAAAGGTAAACTCCAGCTGTAATTTGAAGCTATGCAAAATGAACAAAACAGAGCAACAACAACCAGAGACAAAAGAAAATTTAATGCTTCTACATTTATACCGTAGATTTGCTTTTGATTGAACCTTGTTTTGATTCATGCAAAACGCTTGGGTACGTTGATGAAATATAATATCTGAAAACATGCATGAGCAGGGGGAACATTGTTTTTTGTCGAGTTTTGCCCTGACCTGGGTGATACCTGTCATGTTTAACTTTTCGGGCCAAATAATGGTACAGCAAAATTCTAAATCTTCATGAATCTCTGATGAACCACTTTATGCCACTGCTGATCAGTTTTCAACTGAACAGTGAGAAGTGATCAGTGTTACGTGTGATTTTGATTAGCTCCTAAGCACATTTTGGTGGTTTGTGTGTCATCTATTATTGTCGGAAACCTGGCACGAACCAATCAAGTTGCTACATATTTCTTAAGGATTTTCTCCCGAGGCGAGCATAAAAGTACAGTAAACCCGAAATGCTGATGTCATTTATTTCTGAGTTGAAGAACACTGCCAGCTCAGCAGCAGTCTACCTCTTTGCTCCTGCTCAGACACAGAGTGATACTGTCTGTGGCTGTGTGAGATCATTGTTTTGGGATGGAAATGCCATAAGTCTGGGGTCACCCTCAAATGTAAAGGTACTTCTACTGCTAAAGGTGCAGCTAGAATCAGAGAATGCATTCAGCATATTATCATGGATCCTTGATATTTGTTCAAAATCCTTGTTCTTTCCCTTGTGTGGCTGTTTTTAATGTTGGATTAGTTGAGGAGTGAGCTTTTGCTGTATTGGCAACAATGGAGTTGTTCGGAAAAGAGTTTTCAGGGAAATTAAACCAGAAACAGGTTAAGTGGTGCTGTGAAAAAGTGTGTATGCGCACTCGAGTTAACGACAGGATTTTGCCAAAGAAAAGATATTTGGCTGTCATATTTGGCAAAGTGAAAAATTACTCTCAAAAAGCAGAAATCTCCAATGGTTTTTCTGCCCACTTAATTTAGCCCTGAACCAGAGGACACTACTCTTTAAATTTGACCCAGAAAGGATAGACCGGGAGGATGCAGGTCAAGAACAAGCATCAAATCTAAAGCCAGTTGGCTGCTATGTTCAAAGAGGTTCCTCAGGGAACTTTTCCTTTTGTTAGTGCCATCTTAGTCATGGAAATTAATAAATAAATCACCCAACCTGAACTAATAATATATTTTTTAATTTACTTTTCTTTCACTACCAATTCTAGCTCTGACATCTTTGTTAGGTTATAACTTTCATTTGGAATGATATTGGATGACATGATTTTCTTTCAAACTCACATTTTAACTACTCAGACTGTGTGCTGACAGCAAGATCTCTTTTATGTTTAGTCCTGACTGTCATTGTGAATCAGTAGACCAAGCTGGAAGTAGTTACAATTTTAGTATAATTTGTTTTTGTTTGCTCTGTGTGTATTTAGTTCAAAGCCCTTCATCTTTTATTGTTCTCTGCATTAATCAAAGTATATCCTCTGCCACTCTAAGGACAAATGTGAATGTGGAAAACATAAAAAGGATCCAAGAACAGTTTCATTTACCTGTCAGCTGTATGGTACTGGATCCATTGGAGGATATTCTCCACGTGTTTCTGTATCTTCTTATCTCCTGGACTCTACAGCTGTAAAAGCCTTGATCCATCCCTGTTACACTAAAGATTAACAGCTGGTACACCTCCCCACCTCCTTGATCACTCAAACGAAACTTTGGCTGGGGAAAACGTCGGGTGTAGTTCCCGTACAGCTTCCTTTTCTTAATGCCCATCTTCACAATCAGAAACTGAGAGGGTCCAGGAGGGGAAGTGGGTGGAACAGTGGAGGGAGGCACTATTGTTGGAGTAGTGAGAGGAGAGAAGAACCAGCGAAGAATGAGGACGCTGTTGCTCCTCTTCCTTTGGGACACTAGACAGGACAGTGTCAGGTTTTCTTTCTCTGCTACAATGACAACAGGCCCTGGGGTAACTGTCACGTTCAGGGCGTGACATACCTCTGTTGGCACAAAAAACAAGTGACTCTGATTATGCAATCTCTTCTTTTTTGTAATCACAATTTAAAAGAGTTTATTGGTATTTCTATGGGCACATATATTATGAATGTGTTTGCTCATTTTCAAATATATGCAATCAAGGACTGCAGATATCTTCTGGTTTATGACCATAGATTCGAGCCAAACCATAAAACTGATTGTTTTCCCAACAAAATTTCACCATCAGAAAATAATCCTTCTTGATTATTCAGAATGACTAAATAGCTAAAGTTGGTGAAATACTCTATAAGTTTGAAAAGTTTTTATGAATAAATGTTTCATTAAGACTAAACTAAAGTACATCCACAGTGACTTGTAGGATTTATGCAGTTGAAGCTCAAACTCTCAGTTGTTCTGCTCACATGTGTCATTCCATCACCAGATGGGAATTTAGTCTGAGCTGTGAAAAAAGGCATGAAACATCAGAAGACAAAACTGATCGTGAAATCTCTACTTTGTGTTCTCTTTTTTTTTTTTGCTTTGCTGGATGTGTTTTAATCTGATGCCAGGAAGGTCATGCCTGTCTGGAGGACCAAATAAATCTGGGCACAATATGTGGGATTTGACCAGCAAAGAGGAACTACAGGTGGGGAGCGTTTGTCCGTAGTACAGTTCAACCCGCATAAACGCAAGATAACGCCAACCATCTGGTCACCAATGCCGCCTCACACTTGTATTTTCCCTTCTTATCTGACGTGACAACTAAGCAGCAAAAGTGGCTCGAAAAGGAATGAAGCCTTACAGAACTGAACCAGAAATAACTTGGCTTTTTATTGTTCAGAAGAAAGATATAATTTGGCAGTTTATAGAATGCAAATTATTCTTAATTTTTCGCTGATCACAACTTTCTGCATGAGAAAACTGCAGTCCTTTTGTTGCTTCAAGTTGCACACAAACAAAACACATGCAAGTTTAATCAGTTGGAGAGACAATGCACATGGGGAAATTAGTTTTACACCAAAGTTCTACAATACAGAACTGATTTCACTCTTGTGTGCATGGACAATTACTAATCAAAACATGCTTTCTTTTCCTCTAGCTGCTTGCTCTATTCTATACTTGTTGTTCTGTTGTAAGCAAGTTCAACTTACCTGCTATGAGAGCCTTAGTCAGGACAAGGACCACTATAGAGAAGTACATTTTCCACAGTCTGCGAATCCATAAACCTAGACAACTGCACAGCACTTACACAAGCAGCTACATTCAAAACAGAGCCTGGCTGCACACCCCACCAGAGCCCTTACCCACCATTAACTCTACTCCTCTTTCTCCTCTTTTCTCTGTAATACGAAACAGAAAAGGCTCTGTTCCCACTTAGAAACTCCCACTCTCTCCCTCACTCTCCCTCTGACTGGCTCCCGAACCTCTCTCTGTCTTTCCCAGAGTGTCCTGAAAAACGTAGGAAATGTCATTTCCTGTGTTCCTGTGAGTGGGTCTTGGACTGTGGCCCCATACCCCAAAACTCAGAGACCGTTTTCCGATTGTGGTGGTTTGTTTGTGCGGACGTCTACCTGTCAAATTGGGGGTAGTGTGAGTGTCACATTTGTGTTGGGCTAATCCTTGTCGTTGATGTCACGTTGAAGCTTGCAAATACTGATACTTTCATGTTCAAGCTGTGTATTTTCTTTATACGCCTGTTGTTGATCATGAGTTTACGGCCATGTGTTTGTATGTGCGTGTCTTTGTGAATGTGCTGTAATCTCTCCCCGTCTAGCTGCTGGACAGAGTGACATTGGTTGGTCCGTGGCTGTGGTCGTCAGACTGTCCCAGTGGTATGAAGCCTGCTGCTTTATTGGGCAGGCCAAACTGCTGAGGCAGGGCTTCTGCTGGTGCTCTGTGCTCTGCCAAAGCCAAATGGAATTACACAACACATTTAACCCTTACCACCGTGTGTAGGATTTACTTGAAAAGTATGGATCCAGTAGGGAAGATTACTTACTGAGCTCCTGAGTTCGTCTGTTTATCAAGAAAATGCCTGTTTTAAAAATTCTCCCAAAGCATTGTACATTCATTTACGTTTTTGTGTAAACATGCTAAAGCGGAATGTCCCTCAAGTTAAAAGTTAATCTTAAATCCCAGACTTAGCTCTACTTAAAAACTTGCTCCCCCCTGCCCCGCAGTGGTCAAATCTAGTTACTACTTCTCAGGGGATCAACAATAAATGAAGCCAGGGAGCGCGTGAAGAGACTCACCTCAGTCATCTCATCTAATGACTTTGCAACTCATGAAAAGAAGAAAAAGCACAAAGAAAACCATGTTTACACAGTATCATTTGTTCCATTAGTTTGCATAACAATATTAATAGTAACAATTGTCTGTGTGTATGTTTTGAAATGCCTTAGCACCAGCAATGACGCTTTGTGATGGTCTACTACAGTCTGTAAAAAGTGCTGATTGTACTCTGGATAGAACTCTGGTTCCCAAAAAGATTCTGGGTCCAAAAAAACAATAAAACAAACAAACAAAAACAGTAACAATATTAATGATGACACAATCATTTCCATCAATAGATCATCACTTTTTTTACCCGAGCTGCATGACCATGTGATGTTATACCTTTTAGATTTAAGATTTTGGATTTCAGTCTTTCCCATTTGTAATAGGACACCGCTAAATTATTTCTTGTGTGTAAAATTTGATGCATCTTTTGAGACACACATTTTTATAATGTATAAGTATAATTTCATTACATCATGACTGTATGAGCTTTTCCCAAATTATAAATATCTATTAGTACATGCATCTATTAGTCCATGTATTACCTTTAATTTTCAAATGAGTTAAATGTAGTTAAGCATTTTGATTGAAAGATTATCTTTCAGTGAGGTGTTGTGTGAGTCCAGTGGTTGAGTTGCTTAGATTTCATATTTCTATGTTCAAATGTTCCAGCTACATTTGCCTTGTTTTTAAAGAGAAAGCAAAGTATAGGATGGATCGTCTAAAAGGACAAAAAAGTGTTTTTTTTATTTTGGTAGTGAAAGGAAATACACATAGCATTTATATCTCTTTTTCTTTATTTAACATCTTCACATATTAATGTCAAAGAAAGTCAATGTGATGTGATTAAACTGACCAGAATGAACTGATTTTCAATGTCAGACTACTCTGTTTCACAGCAATACAGAAACATTCCCACATGTCCGACTTCCGTTTGAAATCAAACCTTAAAAACAACAACAACCATGTCATCTTCAGCCTATTTTGACTCCATTTCTGGATACACAAACTACACTTTGCATCATTTAAATATCTTTGAAACTTTAGGTTTGAAATAGCATGCATCATTTTAAGCCAGAAAAAGGCTTTCTCCATCAAGGGAATGAAGAAAACTTTCAGTATTCAGAGCACACACATTTCTTTCTAGGTTCTATTTGATTTATAATAAAGTATGTCTAAATATGTTGTGTTTTAGTTTAGCTGATTACACTGTTGACAAATGAGACATATCTTAGCTTCTCACATTCAAAGTCATATGGAATGGTGACTCTTAAAAACAATAAGTAAAGAAGTGAACAGTGAATCTCTAAAAACAGGAGCATTGATTCAAGAGTAGGTTGCAGGGATATTTTTTAAAAATACAACCCAAAAACAAAATAATATTTTCATCACAAAAATAAATATTCCATAAAATGTTCCAGTGTATGTATTTTGATGTTTTTTTTAACCTTATTGAATCTGTTTATCATTCTCAGTTCTCACCAGTCAGATATCTCCATGAAGTCCTCCAGCTCACTCATGGTGATGATGTCACGGGGCTGGTATTGCGACAGAGCTGTGTCATCATTTTCACAAACTGAACTTCCTGCCAGCTGACTGTTTGTGTCACACTCTGATAATGACTCGATTGATACCTGCGTACCATCTGCTGGGTTGTAGGTTTTCTTTATGTCATTAACCGTGTCCATGTATGGTGTTTTCTCTGGACTGTAGCGATGCCTCTCAGAGTTTTGTGTCATTTCTGGGGCTGAGTTTGTGTAGCTGTGGCTCTCCTGAGGGTGCTCTGGGACCTGGTGGAGCGTTGCATTGACTGATGACATGTTCGGGTGCGCGGAGTTGATAGCGGCTGGTTGGTAGCTTGGGGAATAACTATGGGTTTCATAAAGCATGAAAGGCTTGCCAACTATGGAGGCCTGAGAGTGGGGCTTCTTGTGTGACTTCATCAGGGTTTGGGTTTGGAGCTGGGGCTGTGGACCTGCTGATCGTGGGTGAGAGCGTGACATGCTCTGGCCTGACTCACGCACATTCAGCTGGACATACTTTCCTGTTTCTGGATCGAAGAAAGTCTTTGTTTTCACTTGAACAGGCACGTCCACGACAAAATACTGACCAGAACCGAGATCTTGCAGAACCTTGCGCTGGGTCAGTGGGAAGGACTGGGGATAGTGGGTTGACTCTACATGGTACTGTGCCACTGGAGTTTGGTTAGCATGAAGGAGAGTGGGAGAAGAGGGAACATGAGCAACTGTCTTAGGAGTAGAATGTTGGGAATCAATGCCAGAAGCATGAGGAGACACAATTGGGAGGGGAACAGAGGAAGAAGCCTGCGGCACAGGGATGGGAAGCGAGATTGGACCAGTGGCATGAGGGGAAGCATGGAAAGAGCGGTGAGAAGATTGTTGCTCTGCATGAAAAGAAGGCAAGCTACGTCCCGATGTTGGGGCATGAGCAAGGGATACAGGGTGGGAAAAGTGAGGGGAAGCCACAGCATGGCGATTGGAGGAGCATACCTCAGTGGAGGAAGAAGAAGGAACACCGGAGGCTTCTTTCTCAGCTGCAGCTGGGCTTTCCGCTACAGCTTTGGAAAGTTCCTTCTTTATCCTTCGAGAAGTTAACCTTTGAGCCCTGCGCAAAGCTTTTTCACTCTTTGGTGGAACAGCGGGAGGTTTGCCCATAGACCGAGACACATCACTGCTGAAGCTACAGGCTGACTCTGGTCTCTCGAAGTCAAACAGGCTCCGAACATCTGCCAGGTCTGCTGCGCTGGTGGCAAAACTCTCCATGTCCTCTGACATGTTGCTGATGACAGAGCGAGACTCGTCCTCATCCATAACGATGCTTCTCCTAGAATAGGGCCTGTGGTGAGAAAGGGAAGTTGAGTAGTCCTGTGATGATGATAGAGACAGGGAACCAGACGATTCGCCGACAGCAGCCAATCGGTGTGTGTCAGGATGAACAGGAGTTCCAGAACTTCGTCTTCTTATTTCTTGTTCATCGTCTCCTCTGTCTGATGACCTGTCGGTGGGCGGGCCTATCCCTAAATCCTCCCCGTAGTTCTTGTGGAAGCGTGGTTTGACTGACTTGGTAAATGGAGAACCTCTGATTGTATTGTCCTTTACTCTGAACATTGAGGGCTTTGCTCCTAGAGCAGGAGAGGAAGTGTTGGAACGGGGTAGAGATGGGGCAGGAGATGCGGGCGTATATGGTCTGTAAGGCCTAGTGTAGTATGTCAAGTCATCACCTGATTCAAGTTCATGTGGGGGGTTCCTTTGTTGTGAGGGTAATGGGGAGGATTGCTGTCTTTCTTGGAGTTTCCTGTCTGTGTCAGTTGATGTGATTGCATAGTACTGGATAGCATCCACCTTCTGCGCTGCTCTTTTCTGCATCTCCATTTGAGCAACCCTTGACTTTTCTCTTTGAACAGCTGCATTTGCGTCACCTTCTTTCTTTTTAGGTTGGATCTCATTTTCTCTGTTAGTTAGTATAAATTCTTGTGTTACTCCCTTCTCCTCATTGAATCTCCTACTCTCATGACTGCTTTCTTCAGTTGGTCTCCTATTTTTTTCTTTTTCAAGAGCTTTCTTGTCATTTCGTTTTCCCTCTTTTTCAGGTATTGTCAATTCTTCTCTTAAATGTTGATTGTATGTGGTTTTTCTTTGCTCTTTCGGGTGTTGCTGGGCTTTCAGATGTTCCTGGACACGCATAATCCTTTCATTATCTGAAATTTGAGAGCATTTCTCATCCCCACTCCTTGCTCTTTTCTTTTCAACAAAATCATTGGCTGGTGTTGTCACTTTAATTTGTTGCTCTTCAGCAGCTCTCCTCTTTTGCTCTTCCATTGCTGCTCTCCTCTGTTGTTCTTCTAGTGCACCTCTCCTCTGTTGTTCTTCTGCTTCTCTCCTCTTTCGCTCCTCTGCAGCTCTTCCCTTTAGCTCCTCTACTTTTCTCCTCTGTTGTTCTTCTAGTGTTTCTCTCCTCCGTTGCTCCTCTGCTTCTCTCCTCATTTGTTCTTCTTGTGCTGCTCTCCTCTTTTGCTCCTCTGCTTCTCTCCTCTTTTGCTCCATTACTTCTCTCCTCTGTTGTTCTTCTAGTGCTTCTCTCCTCCGTTGCTCCTCTGCTTCTCTCCTCTTTTGTTCTTCTAGTGCTGCTCTTCTCCTTTGCTCCTCTGCTTCTCTCCTCTTTTGCTCCACTGCTTCTCTCCTCTGTTGTTCTTCTAGTGCAGCTCTCCTGTGTTGCTCCTCAGCTTCTCTCCTCTTTTGATCTTCTACTTCTCTCCTCTTTTGTTCTTCTAG